TTCTGTTTTTGCGAAACGGCGGCGAGCTTCGAGAAAATTAGGTCACAAGAAATTNTAGTGCTAGTTAACCCTGTTGATTTTTCATTGAAAACCGTCACGTCAATTTTCAATGCAAAATCAACAGGTTAAACTAGCACTAAAATTTCTTGTGACCTAATTTTCTCGAAGCTCGCCGCCGTTTCGCAAAAACAGAAAACATGTTACGAATCAGAATTTTATAAGCTTTCTAATGTTATAGGACATGAAGTGTAACTTGAAATCCCGCTCAGATAGTTCCCTAGTTAGTTTGAATTTCCCATCTTTCAGCCGCCTTCCATCCGACTTCTTTCCTATCTCCCATCCGTTTTTGACCGTTTTCATCCACTTTCAGTCTGATCGGTTATGCTAACTTTAGTTCATATTGAGAATTTAAAGGATATCGCATAGTTAACTGGACTAAAGTTTGTGCTAGCAAAAAAATTGAGTGAGGTTTTGTATTGGGCTCAAATTTGACTGAAAATATTCAAATAATTCGTCAGTAAATTGGTCAAGTTAAAAAATATTTTATCAACTTTGAGTTGAGTTACCGCTGGTCAAAGTTGCTTCACTTTATAAAGATCACAAAGGCGTGTAAGGAACATTAGACCGTTCATCTTTGGACAATCATAACAATACCTAGACTCGAGGGATTGCTGTGAGAATTCAGTAGCTTCGCATCAAAAGTAAAATTGAATTTCTGGCAATTTTCGTGCCTCCAAGATACTTATGTCTAACAATAAGGATATACTTTTATACTGTTCTTTGTACTGTAGCATGTATGCTATAACTCTTCCGAAAAATATTATTTTACCTTTCTGGCAATCGGAGACCCCAATGAATACCCAATCACATCGACTTTTCTGTGTGTGAATGCAGCAACCACTTGAATCATGTATCTCACCTGAAACCCCACCACTTTATACTTATAGTTATGAGAAATACTAAACCTGTTTTATATACCCACACTTCATATCCACCAACGGTGCCACAGTCTTCCCACCATCTCCATACGTCGTTGCAAACACATGAAAAAGATCAGAAGTTTAGTAGAAAGGTTCAAAAGGTGATATCATTTTCAGAAGACTACACTAAAACGAGTTTCTTGAGGAACAATGACTACGATTACACTTGGAAAAAGAATAAATGTTCTGACCAGTTCATCGCTCCAGCCAGCATTCAGAAGATGATGACGGTGTCCTTGGAATGTACCGGCTGTATTTGTGATCCCGTGGACAAGCACTACGGCTTGTTTACTGAAATAAAATTGGGGTTCGATTAGATAAAGAAAACAAGAACTGCCTTTTTAAGAATCATATTTGTGATCATCTGTAAAAACATCAATATAGGATCTTCTGAAGTGGACAGCAAAAAAGTTTAGCAAAAAATCATAGACCAAGGATTAAAGATCAATTGCTCAGGTAGTACAGTAGTCCAACCTGCACATCTAACTAGCTAAAATCAAGTTTTTAGCTTTATTGTTCGCAGGACGCAATCAGCTGGGGGTGGTGAGCGGCTAGCGCGACAATCACCTCCCAGATTCGAAATTTATAGTAGTTGGTTCCAGAAGACTAATTTATTTTCCGAATGAAAAAATCGGAAATTCATTCACCTGGTCCTTGTACTTCCATCATGTGTACCTCCACCATAACTTCCATGGGGTCCAATATCTCTTCTTGCCAATAAATCGTTGATTCCTTTTCCGTAATTATCAATCAAAAATTTATTAAAGCTTGGCGAGAAATCAGAAGAAACCGTCTTAAAATAGAAAAAGACGAAAAACAGAAGTTGGCGAATAGAATTCATTGCCATCTAACTGTTTAGAAAAAGGTCTCGGTCTTTTATCTATTATAAACCTCTCTCGATTGCCCCGTTCTTGTATTACAATCATTTTGCGGTAACTGTAAGTGGTTTTCGCGTTTCACTTTCATCACAAAACAGATTGGCAAAGAAGAAAGAGAAGTTGTAAGAATAGAATCTTAGGTTGCATTCGGAATCGTAGTTTTCTTCTGTTTCTATATAGAATGAACACGGAATTTCATTCACAGATGTTTATTCCTTCCGTATACGCATTTAAAATTGTAGATTAGCTGCATTAAAACAGAAAAGATTGTTGGTATCTTAACGGGGAATTGAACGGATTATAGTTATTCAAAAAAGAGATTGGATTGGAATGAGTGAACACAAAAAATAAAATAAAAATATCAGTGAATGTTGTTTATGCAGTGCCGCCTCCGCGGCCTCCGCGTCCTGGTCTGTAGACTCCTCGTGTTGGTTTGGCTCCTCGAAGTGGACGTTGACGAGAAGCTTGTCGAGCAGAAAGTTGAGCCTCTGGTCGCTCCTCCGCGGTCTCATTGCTGAAAAAAAGAACTAGTAAAATGAATAATGTACTGACAGCTAACCTGCTAGAGCATTGATCGTCTCGTTCTGCCTCACGGATACCAGTTGGAAGACGAACTCTTTGCATGCCCGAGTTTCCACCAACACCAGCTCCAGTTGGATCAGCAGGAGCGCTTGGCTCGTCTAGTCCCACAAGAGGGTCACGTCCCTCATCTTCTGCCTCTTCGACAGCTGAAGCAGCCTCACGGTCTTGATCGTCCAGTGAAGGTTGTGAATCTGAAAAACAATGTTTTGCGGAAACAAACAAGTAGGTATTAATCACCTTCTCCACCTAGAACGTCTTCCATGACGTCATTGTTCGAGTCCTCGATCTCAATTTCCTCGATATCATCATCATTCAAACTCTCAGCATCGTTATCATTTTCAGGAGCGTCATCTTCGTCTGAGATAACAACGACATCGTCTTCGTCGACTTCCTCTGGGGCTCGATCGTCTTCATACTCTTCATCATTACCGAAACTGTCATCATCCTCGTCTTCATCTCCTTCCATTTCATCTTCGATCACTTCCTCGTCATTCTCCAAATCGATGACTTCATCTTGATTATCATTCAAAGTGTTGTCATTTGGATCCTCATCACTGACTTCGTTCTCCATAGCCAAAACTTCTTCATCGTCATCCAGTTCTGGAATTTCAGCCTCTGAAAATTAAGAATTCGACAACCGGCGAGAGTTGAAACACTTACGATTGTTCTGCTGTTGAGTCTCGCTGCTTGTGACAGCTTCATTTGGACTTTCGCGTTGACGCTTAGCTTCGCTCATTTCGAAGTCGTTCGCAGCTCTCTTCCGGCGAGCGTCAGAGCTGGACACTCCTCCCATGCTCGAACTGTCACGTGACTCTCCATCTGAAGATCCAGCTGAAGAGTTATGGAAATCTCGGTTTCAAAAACAAATTACCATTTGCAGATTCAGATTTCTGTTGATCAATGCTACCACTGACTAAACTGCTCTGACCGGCGGCCCCTTCGGCAACACTTTCTTCGGGAAGAAGCATATTGTCAGCTGACGATGAAGTCGTAATCTTAAAACATACAGTTTGATACGAAACTTGCTAAAAGCCTTTACTTCGCCTCCAAACATCTTTTGTCCCGTAGTGATGGATGAAGTTGTAGTGACCTGTGAGCTTGGATTGCTTGCTGGAGTTGTTGGTACCGAATCAATATTGGGAAGAACACTTCTTTTCTCGGCTTGAGGTTGAACAGTCGTTGTCGATGAAGACGAGAATAACGACGGGGCCGGAACTCGAACGGAAGATTGGAACATATGCGGAACTGGTAGACCGGATCCGAAAGTGTTGGTTGGAGGTGTTGGGTCTGGAACAACTGAAGGATATTGGCATCAATTAGTTTCATTATGAAATTACCTGGAATGTTTTCTGAAGGAACTGGAGGAATGATATCAATTGGCTCATTTGGAATAGAAGGTGGAATAGGACGCTGCTTTACTGGCGAGATTCTCTGCTGAGGTGTATTGGTTGGTGGTGCAGGTGCAGGAGGGACAACGTTGGAAGAAGTTGTTAGAGCCTGTCTTCCAAAAGATGATCTTTTTGCTGCCGAAGGAGATGGATTTTGTACAGAACGATGACCAACAGTTTGATCAGGCTCAATCGGGTCCGTTGTTTTGGTTGGTGTTTGTCTGAATTGTGGCGCTCTGGTGACACCCAAAGATTTTGATTCCATATCCGTTGAGGAACTGGATTGCTGTTGGTTAGTGAGCACCTGAAATGAGAATGATAATAATAATGGATGCTAAAAATTAAGACTCACCCGATTGTTTTCAGCCAATTTCTCGTTCTGTTGTCTCAACTCGGTGAGCTGATCGGAAGTCTTTTTCAAAGTTTTCTCCATGACACTCATGCGTAGAACTTTCATACTCGCGTTCTCAGCTTCCTTTCTTGCTTCATCAATCTGAGTTTGTAGCTCCGCAATTTTCTCTTCGTAAGATTTTGCTTGTGTAGCAAGTCTAGATTCACAATCGCCATTATTGCTACTAACTGGAGCAGCTGAAGTCGATGGATCCAATCCTGCCTTCAAAGCAGTATTCTGAAAAGAACCACATTTAGAAGTTTTACTATCTAGTGATATTCCCACTCTTTGTGAATTACACTACGGAATTATGAGGACTACAAAAAAGCAAGAACAGAACCGGTTCAGCTTATATGAATCTCGCAATCTCGAGAATAGCCGCGCATGCAACCTGTCCGACGCATGACCCAATTGCCCATGAACTAAAGCAAGCAAGCGCCGGAGAAAATATCATCGAGAAGCTATCATAAGCATTCTCCTAACGTCATATATTCTTCAAAAGCAGTCGACAATGCTGCCGTGGCTACTATTCATATACCTTTTCCAAGAAATTATGTCTCAAGGAGCTCCAGGTCAGATGCCTTTCTATGCTAATACTGATCCAATGATGTCAAAATTGTCTCAAATACAGTTTGCAGAAATGCCAACCATGAAGGTAACAATTCCAATGTGTCATACAAATTCGAATAAATTTTAACTTTTTGTAGGGTGACAAATATCCAGATGTCGATGCTCATCGTATCATCGCACCGATCATCAGTCCAATCATGGAAGTCTTCGATCAAATGAAAGAAAACCAGCGAGCGCGAGATCAGGCCGAGAAAATAAGAAAGGATAGAGACGACCATCCATTAAGCACGTCCCGAAGTTTATGGGAAATGTTTCAACGCCTCCAGCAACCAACAACCACTACAACAGAAGCTCCGCCATTAATTGAACGGCTATTCAAACCATATATAGAACCTTGGCAAAAACAACTGGACGATTTTTCAAAAGACATGGCTGGTATTACTCTAATTCCAACTACTACAACTACTCCTGCCCCAACAACAACTACTACTCCTAATCTTCTTGAAAAATCTCTCTCTATGTTCTTCCCGTCGCTGCGAAGAAAATCACAATCTATTCCTACACTTCCACCAACGACAACGCCAACTCCACGCTTGTTTGATCCAGACATGTTCGATCGGCTGTTTTTCAAGCGTGACAAAAGACAGGCTACAATAGCTCCTGCTCCGAAGTTTGACTTGTTCACTGTTCCACCGCCACCACCACTTTTTCAAGAATGGGAGAAACCTATCCTGGGCATCGCGAATCCTTTCACGCTGAATCCGCTGATGAAAATGTTCACGACTCCATCTCCACCGCAGACATTGGCTCCACTACCGAAAATTCCCGAACCAAACCCTTATGAAACAGCCAAAGGCTTGCCAGAACCGCAGTTCAAACTACAGGACCCATTCTATAATCCCCTATTCCCAAGCAGAAAAAGTAAGATCTTCGACTTGCTTGCAGGAGGCGAAGCTGGAAGACTACTGGGATAACACGGATACTTGATATCTAATTGAATAGCATATTACTTTGAGTATCTCATAATAATAATTATTATAATAACTAATAAATGCTTATGAATAAACCGTTCACAAACCTCATCACGATATTTGATTGCAAGCTGACGAGTTTGAGTGAACTTGGTATGGACATCCTTTAATTTTTCCCTGAAATAAAACAATGTCTGAATGTAATGATCAAGCAAAGCTCACTCTGCTGCAGTCTTAGCTGCTTCAGCAGATTTCACACGCTCGTTTGTGGTTGCAAGCTCTTGACGTGCAATGTTCAACTGGCTCTTGAGTTGTTCCAATTGAGGTGCCAAGTTTGTAACTTTTTGATTTTGCTGAGCGCGTTTGAGTTGCTCGATTTCCTTCTTTCTTTGAATTGCTTCTTGTTCGGAAGACGCAATTTGACGCCTCTGTTCCTCGCTTTTGGTAGTAAGCATCAATTTCAGCTTTTCAAGCCCTGCATTCTCTTTTTGAGTCTGAGCGAGTTGAACTACCAGTTTGTTCTTCTCTTCAGTAAGTTGTGCATTGACATTGTGGACAGCAGTCAGGGATTGAACTTGTTCAACTAGATGAGCTTTCTCAACCAATGAAGCAGTAGTGGCTATCTTTTCTGTTTCCAAATCTCGAATCTTCTGAAGGAGATCATTTCTTCCTCGTTCGAATTCGGATGTTTCTGCGCGTAACCGTCTCATCTCTACTTCAGCATTCATAGCTCGGGTAAGTGCTTCTTCCTTCGCTTGACGCAGGAACTCAATTAGTTTTTGAAGTGGCTCCACTAATCCGCTCTGAGATGATCCTCCATCTCCGACATCCATTGCGGATCCGCTATCAGAAAATCTTGAACTCAACTAAAACGATAAAACAATTAACTGGCTGTCGATAACAAGAAAACGTACCGATGTGTATTGCGACGTCAGCTGAGACAGTTTTTCATCATTCTCGGCCTGTTTTCTTTGAGTTTCCGCTTCCAATCCAGCAAGTTCTTCGGTTTTCTTCTGCAGTTGTCGTTCCGCATGTTCTTTCAACTGATCAGCTTCATTTTTCGCAGTCGTCATTGCGACAAGAGCGATACTCGCGCTATTCAACTCTCCTTGAATACGTGCCCGTGCACTTTCACTATCAGAAATACGCTCTTCGAGATTGCGCACGATTGTCGAGTGTTGCTCCAAGGTTGCTGCATTTCGGGCAGCATCGTTTCGGCTATTGGTCAAACTGTTGTTGGCGATCTCAAGTTCTCTTTTGGCGTTTTCCAAATTGGCAGACGCGACTTGAAGTTGACGGCGAAGTTCGGTTGTTTCTCTTTCGTTTCGAATCGTCAACTCGTCGTAGTTTGTACGAAGCTCATCAATCTCAGATTGACGAAGATTTAAGGATTCAGTGAGTTGCTGTGCACGTTCTTCCAAACATTTGGTGTTAGCGATGAGTCGATCCTTTTCCAGAGCTCCCGCCTGTTCTGTTTGTTTCAGATTCTCTTCGAGAACGTTGTAATGTGAAGCAGATATGGCGTTCTCGGAATCCATTCGTTTTTGAGTTGTTTCCGACTCCATAAGTTTGCTCTTAGCTTCATCCAACTCACTCTCAAGATATTGATTACGAGTCTTCAGTTGCAAGAACTCTCTCTTCATACGATCTGGTGTCATACCGCTTGTGTCTGCACTGGTGATTTGACTGTTCACCACGACAAGTTTTGAACGCAAATCGGTCAACTCCATCTCATCTCTAGCGAGCTGCTCCTCTTTTTCAACCAGACGGCTTCTGACAACTTCCAGTTCTTTCTCCAAACGTTGCTGTACCAACTTGGCATCGTTTCTAGCATGTGTTAATTGATCGCTCAATCGAGTAGTTGAAGCTTTCAAACTATCACGTTCCAATTGAAGAACTTCTAGTTGAGTGTTTGCGTGGACCAATCTCTCGGTCTCAACTCGCGATAAAAAGTTGGCCATTTCAACCACTGACATTCTCTACAATCAAAAAACAATTTTTCGGAGCCTTTCTCTGATAACTTACAATTTTCTCCTCCTTCTCCGCACTTTCCTTCATGAAGCTTGCTGTCATTGTCAAGTTATTTATCTGCGTTCTCGCATCATACAACTGATCTTCTAATGCCCTCACTTGAACTCTACAAATAAACAAACTTAGTCATAACTCAGCGCTTCATTAGATACCTCAGACCACCAGCTTGTTCTGCAGCTTCCAAAGCTTGCCGGCCAAGATCAACAAGTCTACGTTCTTTTTCAGAATCGGCAGCAGTGACTTTGTTAAGTTCTGCCAGTGCCACGTCCCTTTCTTTCAATGCAGATTTGTATTCCTGTTCCATCACAGCTGTATTCGTCTTTTGAGCATCAAGCATAGCATTAAGTTTTATGTTGGTCTCAGTGACAATGGCGATATTGGCTTCTGCGCTCTGGATTCTCTGTTCTTGTTGTTGTTCGTGGCGGGCAGAGTCCGCTTTGAATTCTTCCGCGTAGCTCTTCAGACGTTCGATAGTTGCTTCACATACGAGCCTCGCGGCCACCGCTTCTTCCGCTCTCAAGCGAGCAGTACGTGCTTCGGCAGCTGTTACACTATCCCTCACTAGTTCCTTGAAATGTTCAGTTCGTTCTTTTAGCTGAAATTGTAGATATTGTATGAAAAATCTGAATACGCATTACGCTGTCGAATGCCGCCTTCGTCTTCTCCACTCTTGTCTTCAACTCCTCTTCTGACTTCTTTGTAACAGCTAGATCAGCTCGGAGTTGAGCCATTTCTTCGCTTTGGGCGTTGATTGCTGCTTGGGCAGCACTAGTCTTTGCGTTCTCTATGTCTGACTCAAGCTCAACATTTCGTCTTTGCAGTTGAACGATGCTTTCATAAAGTTGCGGGTTAGGTTCATCGCTCCAATTCGGATCTCTCTGACGTTCTACAGCATACAGAAGGTCAGCGTTCTGAAAATTTATTATTTTGATGAACAACGAAACAATTGTATGCCTCACTCTTTTGCTGACGAACTCGAAGTCTCTTTGATACTTCTCCAGCTCGGCGCGAATGTACGCAAGATCTCGCTGAGCAGTGTCGCGTTGGCAGATCAGCTCTCTTCTTTCCGATTCTGCTAAATCGAGCTGCTTCTCGAACTTATTATTTTTGTCGTATAGTTCCTCAGCAACTAGTCTTTGCGAAATCAACTGCGGCTTGCTCTGATCGATAGTTTCAAGAAGTTCTTCAAGTGTAGTTCGAAGATTCAGATTTTCGCTTTCGACTTCCGTCAACTTCCCACGAACGCGTGCATGCTCCAGAACAAGACTGCTCAACGACTGTCCACCTCGTAAGTAGCGTACAGTGTCGGCAGCAGCAGGAGCAAGTTCAGAAAGTTCTTCTTCGGAAACATTCAATTTCACATCACTCATGCTTTTCATCATCTCGCTGGCCTTCGCTAGCTCAGCACGAAGTTGAGCGAGCTCCTCGTCCTTTTGACTTATAGCTTCAGCATGAGCAATGTTTTCTCGCTCCATGTCGTCTTGATGCTCCTGGAGAACTCTTCTGACCTCTGCCAAAATGTTTTCTTGGGCATCCAGTTGGTCTTTGAAGTGGTCAGCAGCGTTCTTAGCCTCTTCCATGGACGTTTTCATGACTCTTTGAAGATCGACCTGACAGCGAATCTCGTCTTCCAAATTGGCGATTTCTGTTGCTTTCGAGAGTTCAGTCTGAAAAAATCAACGAATCGTGGTGAAACCTAACTAGATTTTTTACGTTTTCGATTCTCTTGCTCAAATCACTGTTTGTGAAAGTGAGCATATCAACCTTCTCCGTTAAACTTTCGAGTTGGGCGCGCAAGAGATTGATCTGTTGGTTATATTGAAGACGCTCATTTGCACCTTGAATATCCTTGTTGCTAAGTTCAAGTCGAAGCGAGGAAACTTTGTTGTCCCGCTCAGAAACTTCCTGCATGAGCCATCGTTTCGATTCAGCGTAAAGACTACGTTCAGTATTGTACTTCTCTCTTTCATACTAAAAACAAGTGAAAATTACAGCCAAATTGTGACTGCATACCTGAATTGTTTGAACTTCTTTCTCCAAAGCTTCCTTGGTGTACTTGAAATTCGCTAGCTCAGCGGTGAGTTTTTGCACTTCATCGCGTAACGTAAAAGTCTCCAATTGAGCTGACTGTGTCCACTTCCCTGCTTGAATGGCTGCAGCGTCCAGCTCTTCTTTTTCTATTTTCAGGCGAGCATTTTCAGCTTCCAGCTCGAGCTGAAAAAATTATGATATCACCAGTTCTTATTCATATTGCATACTCTTTTATCTGTTAGCTCGTTCCGTTCAGCTTCAAGAATTCGCTGGCGGCCGGTTTGATCTTGAAGTTGAGCTACTTTCACAGATAATTCATCGCTCAAACGCTTGTTGACTTCTCCGATCTCTGTCAAACGGTCCCTCACATCCTTCAGCTCCTGGTTAATGTTGTGCGATTCAGTAGTCAACATGGCTTTTTCGATTTTCCAGTTTGTCTGCTCGTCGTCCGTTTCCACAGGCAACGGCGCAGCCGAATCGGTCGACGGAGTGTCGACATCCATTTCTGAACAAAGATAGACATGAGTTTGAAATTGTGTCGTTTAGCAATGGAGGATGTTATCAAGGAATATGAGAGACGATGAAATGTTTTCGTCATTCGTTTCGCTTCAGGTACAAACGAAAATCATCGAAAAGACTGAAACCGATTTAGGATTTTACTTTGCCTAGGCCCCACAGATTCTGAAGAGAAAAAATTTCAGGGGAACCTGGGCGGAACATAAATTGCAAGCTGCGCATGGTTTTGCCGCACAGTTTTTTCGACACTTTGAAATGTAGGTTTCGTCCCTGACTCCGCACATTTATTTCGGAAATTCTTCGCATTGATGTTATCAAAGCAATAGAAAAAACTAGCTAAGCGATCTCTTTATATGTTAAAAGAGAACGCAGTGTGTCCCAAGAAACGGGTCAGAAAAGGCATCCCAGTATTTAAATTTCGCAAAAAGTCTCAATTCGCCGCCGAAAGCTGAGTATCAAAATTTTAAACGATGAGCGAAAAAGCGCGCGCGCGTTGCAGCCCGTTGATTTTGAAGAAATTGATCATGATCTATTGTCGGAATTAAAGAACTGTCAGCCGCCGTGTGTGCAGAATGAGGCCACGCCCCTTGCAACCGCTGCATGGTTTTCCGCACGCTTCTGAGATTCTCGTATTTTAGAGTTTCTGTGCTATTTTTTTTTTGATAAAAAGGTAATTTAAGGACGTTTTCAAATTCAATTATGTCGGAATTTTCATTGAAAAATAGCACAAAAACTCTAAAACACGAGAATCTCAGAAGCGTGCGGAAAACCATGCGGCGGTTGCAAGGGGCGTGGCCTCATTTCTGCACACACGGCAGCTGACAGTTTTTTAATTCCGACAATAGGTCAAACCTAAAAAAACACTTAAAAATTATTAAATTTCTCCTGGCCTACGAGTTTTCTCCTGGCCTACGAGTTTAAGGCGCCTTTTCTGACCAGTTTCTTGGGACCCAAGTGAGAACGTCCAGAAACCTATAAACTCTGAAATTTCCAGAAGAAAAAGCCTACTTAATAGAAATGTGTTATTATGGATGTTAATAAGTTTTCAGTGGTTTTCAGGTTATTATCAAGGTTCTATAGAATTATTAGCATGGAAAAGTTCGGTGAAAACCTTGCGGTGGTAATTAAAGACAATCTGAATTCTTGCAAGCCGATAAAAAGTGTAGGAACTGGAAAACCGAATAGAACGTTTGCGAGAACACAACAAAACTATTCGAATGCTGGTTCATTGTTGCGTAGAGTGTTTGCGTAACTCAGTGATGCGGCATCATACTTGACGACACTTTACCGCATTCGGGGGGATTCCGTGCAGCCAGCTGTCTGTCATCTGTGTCATCTTTTTGTCCTCGATTTCCGTTTGAAAAATATTTTTTCTTTTTCTAGGTGGTGAGTATGGTATCCAAGATTTTGATGTATGGGTTGCCCTCAGCCGCTGTTGCTGTGGGAACTGCTTTACTCAACGAAGATAACCGGAACACAATTTTCCGAAAAGCCTTTGCATTCACTCAAAACCACACTCCGAAATCATTCGATGAGCACTTCCCTCGTGGTGAATGGGACAAGAACTGGGACTTGTAAGTTTTATTCTCTAGGATCAAACCAAATAAACGCAAAATGTTCAGCCGTGATCCAACTAGCCTTGTTGACAAAAGTAAGTGGGAGAAAGCCGATGAAGTAGGAAAGAAGAAGCTTCTCGAAGAATGTAAAGCAACCGCTTCTAGGAACATTTTTCTCATTCGTCATGGACAGTATCATCTTGACCGTGAACAAAAACACCTTACAGAACTAGGTATGCTATAGTCACAAATTCAGGAATATTTTATTTTTCGATTTCAGGTCGTGAACAAGCAGAGCTTCTCGGAAAACGTCTTGCTAACTCTGACATTAAATTCACGAACATGACGATGTCTACAATGACTCGTGCTACTGAAACAGCAAACATTATTCTGAAACATCTTCCTGGGGATTTGCCTAAAAGTTCTTCATCGCTTATCGAAGAAGGACCACCATATCCACCTGTGCCAGATCATAAGACTTGGAGACCACTGGACCCCGTAAGTTGTAGGCTTGACGCCTTTATTTGAAAGTACATAAAAATACATTGATGTTGAGGAGTTCTACACCGAAGCTGCAAGAATCGAGTCGGCATTCCGCAAGTTAATTCACCGAGCTCCTCCATCGCAGAAAGAGGATTCCTATGAGCTCATCGTCTGCCACGCAAACGTCATCCGCTACTTCATCTGTAGAGCGTTGCAATTTCCTCCAGAGGGTTGGCTTCGCATGTCTCTTGGAAACTGTTCCATCACTTGGCTTGTGATTCGTCCGAAAGGACACGTGTCTATCCGTTCTGTTGGTGATATCGGACACTTGACTCCAAACAAGATCTCATTCACATGATTCCGTAAAGTGCCTTCCAATAAGTATCATCATGACCGATAATTTTTGCCCTGTCGATTATTCTTGAGTATTTTTTTCTATGTGTAATTTATTTTATCTGCTGAATGAATGTTTATAATTCTAAAAAAGTGCCTTTTGCGTACTGCGGGCGCTCTAATGCGCGGAGCACAGCCACATGGTAAAATGGATGAGCCGCCAGAGCTTAAAACAAACAAAATTAAGGGCTTCGACGGGGGGTGAGTAGTCGTCTTGACATGCATGTAATGTGAAACGCTTTTCACCGATTCGGGCGCCCCGTTTCCCAAAAATGGCCTGTTTTATTCGTCCTCTTCTGCTCCATTTAGGACTCCGCCTCTCTTGGACTCTCACTCTTTCAAGTGTTTTCACCCCGACGATAGTTTAAGAACACTTTGAACTGCTCGACTTGACAAGTGACACGGCAAGCAGTGTAAAAAGAAGGCGTTGACCTAGGTTATAACTTTTCATTTCGACTTTCTCGATTTGCGGATTTCATTCTGGCCGCTTTGTTTTCATAGTAATTTTGAGCCTCCAAAGAATTCGAGAAATAGGACAGCTCAAATTTCAGAACAACCGTTTTGAATTGCTTTTTCTTTAATGACCTGAATTCTCATAGAAAAAGGACTATTTATTTTTCGAACTTCATGTGATGGGATATCTTCTTTTCGAAATTTATTGCTCAATCTGAAAGAAAGTCGTATAGCCTTCGCCATAGCTACCGTAAAACCTGTAATAGAAGAGCCTCCACATTGTCAAGTCGGAGCTTAAATATCTTAGCTCCTATCAAAGACATCAAAAACGTGTAACCTAAAAAAATGCCCTACCATAGCTATAAGCCATAAAATCGCTGATCCGAGCCCTGCATGTTTTTTCGGCCCGTTTCGTCTGTAACTTTGTTCAAAGACAAGATTCAGTTCTCCAAATAGTATCATTCCGTAGTACTTGTTGGGTCTCTCATATTTTATTTAGCTGGTCCAAAAAAATGGACTTAAAAAGAAACTATGGCATGGCCCACAAAGGACCGCCAGGGTCCCGTTTGTATCATTCTTCCATTCGATACTAATAACCGTCGGTATGCGCATCATCTCAATTAGTTGACTACGGTATTTTAAACCTGGAGTCATGTCGATCCATCTTATTTTTTTCGTAGGAGAGCACCAAAGGGCCTGGTCGCAGAGTTGACGTGCCATTGAATGTCACACCCTCCGAACCAAATTAGCAAGTAGTCTGTCACTTTCGTACTCTTTCTGGAAACAAGGTCCCATTTTTTTGAAAAATGGGGACCTCATCAATTTCTGGCGAATGGCAACCTCATCTGAGATGGGAAATGAAGCAAGCTCAGATGGTACGAAATCTCTTTTTTTTTTGGAAGAGAGCCGTGAAGAATCATTCATCACCCTATTCCATGCCCATCCTAGCATGGATCTCACCCATTTCTCTTTTCATTCCTTCTCCATCTCACCTCCTATTTTTAGTGTTCAAGGGAAGTAAACCATAACTCTTCACCACCGAAATAGATCATTAGGAACGCCCACAGAACGGAAATGAAAACACCTGGCCTTGTTCTACAGCTCTTCATCGTTCCATTTCCTTTTATTTCTCTGTTTTCGTTTTCTCTTTTTTTTCTTCCTTTCCTCCAACAAGCTCACCAACCAACCAACATATCTAGTCAGTCTCGCCAATTTCCATTTCTCCAAATTTCCTGCTATTATTCATAGTATACGCCATTTTCGATTCGGTGCCTCTCACCCACTACACACAAGGTCTCGTCTCTATTATTGACTTTCATGGATGAGGGATAAAGACGTCTGAAACGTGTCATCGAGTAGTCGTTTCGATTCTCATGTTTCAATTCGGACGACGACGACGTGTTTATGAGATGTCATCCGTCTCTTTTGAGGTCTCTATAACGACATATCCCCCGTCCCCGTTTGTTTCGTCCATTTTAGTTTCAATCGTTTTTGTGCATAACTTTCTTGAATATTTTCTTAAATAACTGTTTTTTAAATATTCTTCATAAAATGCTCCCCAGTTTTCATTTATCAAGAAATACTTCTAGCCAAAATTAAGGATCTACTCCCGTTCAAAAAATAGGAAACTGGATTCTAGGCGGGTTTCAGCCGATTTCAAGTCCTTCTATGGTTGATCCAGGGCCATGTTTGATATATTTTGGAACTATTTGGACCAATTGAATCTTTTTATCAGTTTTTGTTTTTCCCACCTGTCCCTTTCAGTTTATTTATCAACCAGTTTTTGGACCATTTCAGTCATTTTTGGCGTGGTTTTACCTTTGGTCCTACCGGTCCCTTTCAGTCTCTAGTTTTGAACCCTTTAAACATCTTTTTTGGACGATTTGGATCATTGAAACCATCTTGGTCACTTTGGGTCATTCTCGCCAACGTCTTGGTTTATTTTTAGGTCATTCGGGCTGTTATTAAATCATTTTCATAATTTTTGGTTTATTTCTGAGCCTATTTCTGGGCGTGTGGTCTGATTTTAGAGTAATTTGAACATTTTTGGCTAATTAGGTCATTTTTGGCTTATATATCTGCGCCAGACTGTGCAAGCCTTCTGGAATCGTCGTTTAGAATTTTCTCCAATGTTTTATGATCTAAAAGACTTGAAGATTCTGTATGTGGTTCCATATTCATCAATCGATTTTTCAATTTGTTGGATACCGAAAAAAAAAACATTTACTAGTTATTTTTGAGGCTGGAACATCAATTTTTAGGAACATATGTATTTAATTACCTTAAAACCTGTAAGAGAAGGGCCGCATAACTTCGAGGCGATGTATCTCGGTTCCTATGAGAGATATAAAAAATCTGTCAACTGATAAAATATTGGTGATGTTATGATAAATAATTTATCAGTTGACAACTTTTTTCACAAGAAATGAGACAATACAGTTCAAACTTGACAGTGTGGGGCTCGTCTATTACAGGTTTTACGGTAATTAGCATTAAAAAAATAACTTCAGCACAACTCTAGTTTTTATGATCAGTTGAAAAAGGCCAGCGTTGGCTATAGACTGGTTTTCAATAAGCTCATAAATTCGAAACATATCTTTCGTCTAACATTTTTCTTTCACTCTTCTCCGTTTTCTCAATCCTTAAGAAAATCCTAAAACACGCTTCAGAAAATGAGAATTCCAACGTCGTGACGATGCTCCCTCTCCAAGGATTCAATATGACCTATCCACGAAAAGGTGCGTTTCAAATACAGAGGGCACACATCTTCCTCTAGAGGAAGCTTCTTTAATATATATTTCGTCTATAATGAATAAATACTATTGTGCTCATAATTGTTGACTCTGACCCCGAATCGTGACCTATTCAGTGTGAAAGCAGGTTTCAGTTGCAACAGGAGCAGTAGAATTTACTAATTTCCAGGAGTAATGCCGTATCCATCAACCTTTCTGTACAGAGAAGAACCATCGGTCAGCACAACGGAATGTTGCTGTTGTTGGCTGTGCAGACTTCTATGTTGCTGCTCAACAGTGGACAGCCAGGTACACATTTTTCCTTTCTCTTCTCTTTTTTTCCGTTGCACGTCTTTCAAAAAAAAGGGAATTGGAAAACTCGATTGCCGTAGTTCTTGAGAAATCCAATTTCGATGGCGCCTAATCTTCTCGCATCAGTGCACTCTTTTTTGAAATGGAAAAAAGAAGAAAAAAGGGGAGAAGAACCCACTTTTGAACGTCCCAACCAACCTTCCCTCTGCATTTTTAGTTCGTTTTAGAATCTCCATAGAATCAGTTACCAAGTCGTAAATCTTTATGCGTTTTGTAACCAAGAACACCTTCTCTCTTCTTCTTCTTTTTTCCTTTTTCCACTTCTATTCCTATTCTACTTTTTCTATGTATTGTTGGAAGAATCAGAATCTCCTGGAGGAGGAGAAGAATCAGGTAATGGAGTGGAGTATATATATTTGTGAATAACGAATGAGTAGTATAGATTTCATCACATGTTGTATGAAAAAATTTCTGGAAAGAACATTTATTTCTATGTCTTTTTCGGTTTTATTAATTTTGATTTGTCTTTGTTTTCTGTTCAACTACATTAGGCAATTGATATGTCCTATACATAAATCTAACTCTAATTGCTATGGGTTTTAGATGAATGACATGAGTGAAATCGTAATTAAATGCGATTTAATCCAAGACGCTTCTTTTGATTCAAATATAATAAGGAAACATATTCGATGTTTCTTCTTCTTACTAAGAAAAAGAAGAAGGAAGACAAAAGAAGAAGAAGAAGAAGAGGAGTCCATGTCTTTTGGTGTGTGAGCTGAACTTGATTCGAAATCTATGTGGTTTGGCACTGCGCAGACGGGGTGGGTCGTTTTGGTCCGAAGTGAGAGAAAGAGCACGTCTCCCAGAGAGAACGCAGTCAGTGGCTACTACTATGAGAAGCGAGAAGGGAGAAAAAAGGGGAGGGCAAGTATGAAGAAGAAAAATACGAAGAAGAAGAAGAAGAAGCTAGTAGCCGTTGGCTCAACTTGCTCTGCGTATCTCTATGTCTTCTGAACTAGCGACGAGAGCAACGGCGACTTGTATGTGTGTGTGCCCACTCGAAACTAAAAGGAAACGAGATCGATAGACGGATGGCTACGAGGCCACCGACGAAGCTCCGACGAAGAAGGAGAAGCCGTCGTCGCCATCACCAGCACAGCAGCCTCTTCCTTCTCTTTTTCTTCTTCTTCTTCTTCTTTGCATCACTTCGTTTTTTCGCCCCAAGTTTTTAGATACACCAAAAGGGCGTCTCATATTCGTCTTTATTTCTGCTTGAATTATTTCTTTTCTGAACCATTCCTGGGAAAAAGTGCATATGAGTTAGAAATTCTGATCGATCGCACGATGATGATGACGTTGTTTCATAATTTTGACATCAAGAATTAAGGAAATCAGATCTTAAAAACATATACTTTAAAACCTGTATTAAAACCCTTCTATTGTTCCAAGGTACCTCCGGAGGGCCCTTCTTTTACAGGTGCCCTTCAATTAGAGAGGGTTTATCTTTTTTTCTGGCCAGATTTTTCAAAACTTTTCAGCGAAAAATTCAGCGAATTATGGTTTGAACTTCAAAAAAATCTACAAAATTTCCATATTTGAAGGGGGTCCTTCTATTTTTCCGAGCCTCTCTCGGAGGCCCCTTCTATTAGAGGTGCCCTTCTGATACAGGTTTTATTTTTTCATAACTTTGACATTAAAAATTTAAGGCAAAGAAATCTTAAAATCATACAGAAAAAATGACCTTCATATACCGTAAAACCTGCAATAGAGGGGCTGAGCCAATTTTTCTCGGTTCCTGTCAAAGATATCAAAATGTTGTTAACTGATAAAGTGTTTATCATAATATCCGAAGTGTTTTGTCAGTTGACCCATCTTTAATATCTTGCCTAGGTATTGAGATAATTGAGCTCAAACTTGACAGGTCGTACGGTATTCTAAAACTGCGGATTTTATCTAATTGTTATTATCAAGGAGCACCATATCCGAAGATTTGTTTCTTCGATTGGAAAAATATAGTAAACTACCCCACATAGGTTTGAAAACATTTAAAGCTTGCATTCCCTTTTTCTGAATTCATTCACTCTCTGGTTTTAATAATTCTATTTGCTTTTCTGACAGTGAAACCAGTATCTCTTCCTTCTCTCCCTCACACCGAGAGCATATATTTGTTTTCGAAATTCATTCTGCCACGAACTCAAAACAACGCTTTCTCAGCTTCCTCGAATTATTACTCTTCTCACGACGACGAAGGTATTCCAGTATTTCTTTCTAATCAGAATTCGCCTGTGATTGCGGAAGAAGTCACGCGAGAAAAGACCCATTAATTTTTGTGTCCTTTCCTCTCTTCCCTCTTTGCTTTTTCTTTTTCTTCTTCTTTTGCTTCATTCAATGCCCTTCTAACTCCAAGCATTCATCGTGGTCCATCCATAGGACCGCCCGTTGTGCCTTCATGTGCATGTAAGGGTACACTTCCCATACCACCCTCGCTTGTGTTCTAACCAGAACTTGCGAAATTTCAATTGAATTTCTTTTTTTCAGACGGCATTACGCGATCGCATGAATGCCAGCCAACCGCCTCCAGGTAAGATATTAGGTTTGAAATTTAGTTTTTTAATATTGTTTCAGGAGGCGGAGGGCGATTGCCAGATGAAGTATACAGGAAGATCAAGGCAGTAGATCAGGGACAGAGCACGCTTACACAATCTGGAATTCAGGGACTCAGTGCTCGAACACTAGACGAGTAAGTATTTTAGTTTCTAAAATTTAAATTCTTCAAAATGTGAATCAAAACTTCTGTTTCAGAAATCAACGAGGTGATTTAGTGTTCCAGTTAGTGGAAATCATCAAAAAACCAGGGCAGTCACTAGGATTATATTTGAGAGAAGGCAATGGGAAAGATCGCTCTGATGGAGTCTTTGTATCGAGATTCGGAGACAACTCGGAGCTTGCAAAGTGAGTTTTTATCTAAAAAAAAAGAGTTAAAAATTCAAATTCAAGATATGGAGAAGTGATGCGACCCGGAGATGAAATTCTGACGATAAACAATGTAGAAGTTTCTTGATGAGCATCGATGACGTAGTTTTGATTCTCAGTATACCCAGAAGACTGCTTCTTAGGATACGGTAAGATAATCTTTGCTAGGTGATAAAATATAATATCAAAAACTTTAGATTCTCAAAATCTATGCGACACGAAGTGATAACAAGTAGATCCAGCGAGAGACCGGTGGTTGTTTTTCATAAAGTGAGTTTTTTTGAGAATTCATTGAATTCAGAAAAACAAGGAAATAATTCTAGTATGACGACCGGCGAGATAGTGAGACCAATGCTCCAATTCTATCCCAACCAACATCGACGGCGAACACTTGGTTAGGAAAAAAGAGTAGACAACAAATGGAGGTGAGTATTTGAACTTTTAAAAATGATTCAAAAAGTTTCTACGACTTAAAAAAAAAGACAGATCTGAAACAACTCAAATAAAATGCTGTTCCCCTAAAATCTTTTTTGATCATTTTTAAAATGATCCCTTTCAAGGAAATAGTCTCTGCTGCCATATTTCTTATTCTTCCTAAAACCGACTGTTCTGACATCGTCTACACTTTGAGAAAAATGATAAATCTATGTCCATCCAAACCACTTTTTCTCTCTCCTTCTCTTATTTTTTAACATTCCCTTTTCACTCTTCTTGGTCCCACTGTGGTCGTTGTTGTTCGTCTTCTTTTTCTTCTCCGAAGAAGTTGAGGTCTGCTTCGGGAAGGACGAGGTCACTGGGGATGGGCATTGGGATGACAAGAAGTGAACAAAAAGGAAGGACCGACAACACAAAGAATCTGCAATTGACTTTCAGAATGCGATTTAGTTTTTATCCAAGTTTTTTCCCTCTCAAACTGGTAATTCGAACCCCTCGATGCACTTTCTATGGACATTTGTGATTCTCTGCGTCTCGAGTAGAAATCGATGCCAGAAGCTAGCCAATTCAAATGAAGTTTCCTCCATGAGATCACACTCTTTCCAAATAATCTGAAGTGCATCGCACGCCTATTAGAAATTCCGCAATCTTCTTATTGGTATCCTTTTCTTTTTTCTTTTTTTTCTATTTTTCCTGTGCATCCAGTTGGTGTGCTCTATCAAAGTGCCGAAAACGTCTTCTCATCGGAAATTCAGGCGACCGCTGGGCGTTTCGTCACGACGGCTTCGGCTTCTGCTTCAGCCACGACGACGTCTTCTGCTTCTTCTTCTTCCCGCCCATTTTATCCCCTGTTTCTCGCACCCACCACATATCCCATTCAGCACCCCCATCCTCCGATTTTATGACACACACACAACTACACCGAGGTGCCGAATAAATTGGATTCGTTTTTCTTTTTGCTTCCAAATGTTCTTCTAGTTTCCGGATTGATTTATGTTCTGAAAACGGATACCACGTGTCTTCTCCAAAAAAAAGTGGAAGACGTCCAATTTGCCAGTGTGTTCAAAAGTAACAAAACAGGAGGGAACTTGCATCAGTCGTTTTCTGTCTCTTACTCTGTTCTTCCTTCCCCTTCTGTTCCTACTTTTTGTGCCCAAAAATAATTTGTCGTCTTTCCGTCAATTGATCGTTTACTTATCTGTCCGTGACGGCTTCCCTTTCACTATGTTTTCCACCTTTGTACGTTCTTCTTCCAACAAACACTCTTCTGAATTATAGATACCAAGACTTCTAGGAATCTAAAGCTTTCTATACTCAATTTTCAACAATTTCCAGGAGATGCGAAACGCAACAACGACATCTACAATGCGTGCTGCCCATGCCAGCACCTCATCTCCGCGTAATCACTTTGCTCCCAGACTCGTCAACGGGCATTCCCAGCCAATCGGTGTTCCGTCTGCATCTTCCGCCTCCACCAGCGACCATCATTACCAGCGGTTTGTTCATTTGCTCATCTTTTACTTCTCCCAATTTTTCCTCTTTCCTCGAGCGAGAAAAAAACTGAGAGTGAAAGAAAAATTTGAGAAGATGCTTTTCTGACGTTCGAGAGTATCAAATGGCTACTTTCAGATTCGCATCGGAGCCGTCAGACTCAGTTTCACGGACAGCTCGAGTTCCGCCTCCGCGACTTGCGTCCGCAACGGTTCGGAGAACGGAAAGCTTTAACTCGGCACCTGGAGTTTCATCTGTAAGTGTCACTTTCTATGTTCAGAGACTAAATGTCTTTGATTTCCAGAGTGCCCCTATGTACACGCTTCCTCGATCTTCGACGGCAGTTCCTCCACCTGATATCATCGGATCAATCCCTCATTCTGCACGAGATCCTCTAATGCGTTCTGACCTTCCCTACGATCCACTGACTGGCCGCTTGTCTTCTTCAGTTCCTACAGATCCGTTATTGTCTCGTTCGCTGTGCTCACCAATCCTCCCGAGAACTCTACGACAGCCAAACGATAGTAACAAGAGCAATTCTTTACCTCGTAGAAGGATCATGACTGGTTTGTTGTAAAACTTTCTATTTTAATTTCCTTTTTGATTCTGTTTCAGGTGGTAGAAATGTGAAATGGAGGAACGACGTTGTTTCAACATCTGATCTTTGTGGAGAAGAAAGCGACGGAGCAATATCGGCTCCTGAATACTCTTCACCGCCGTTTTCCAGACTAACCCAACGTAAGTAATCGTCCGTTTCCGCAAAGCTAATTAGTACTGACAAGTTGTCACACCTCAAAGGAGTAGGAGACCCGTATTTCTTGTTTCCCTCATGTCAAATTATCGCATCGACTATAGAATAACTGAAGACGTGGAGACTTAGACAAAGTGCATTAGAGGCACTGAAACAAGCGCGGAAGGAAAAGCACGCGTAGTCCAACAAGCACGACTATCTTGACCACAAAAGAACAAATGGAGCGGAAAATGTTCCCCGAGATTCTTGAAGAAAAAACTAGACATCCAGCAATGTTTTGTGTTTATTCCAGAGCAACAATTTCGCTTGTCTAATGGAAGTCCTGGACGTACTGTGAATGACATCTTCTCGGCTGCGGAGTATAGAAATTGGGCAGGACCATACGATCCACGTGGAATGTATGGACCGTATCCACCTGGACAAAGAACTACAAGATGGTCTCATACATATGGAGAGCAGAGAGCACCAAGGACTTCATCACTGCCAGGAAGAACAGTTTTGGCTCAAAGTCTTGTTGGAAGTCCCGTATTACCACGGCATCCACCACCGATTGTTCAGGATAGGCCATCAGCAGTTTTCGATAGATATCATGTTTCACCATTGATGAACAGAAGGGCACCATTGAGAGCTGCTGGACCTGGAATAAATGTGGACCGCCTGAGTGTGAGCAGTCTGACTGGAATACTTTATGTGCACATTTTGGAAGGAAGAGGGTTGAAGATTCCAGAAAAACAGAAAGGATTGACAGAAGAGATGTATTGTGTTCTAGAAGTAAGAATTCTTGATTGGTGTTACGAATCAAAACAAAAATTTTACAGGTTGATGAGCAACATCGCGCCCGAACTGGAGTATCCACTATTGAGCAGAAATTCAAATGGAGGGAAACATTCCACATTGATGTTGTCAATGCTACAGTTTCAAATTTCTTTGTCTATTCATGGCATCCACAATTCCGGCACAAACTCTGTCACAAAGGATCGTTGAAACTACTGGAAGCATTTGTAGTTGATCAATTGAATGACGATCGAGTGTTCGCTTTGAATCTTGAACCACGTGGGCAACTAATCGTTCGAATCGGATTCCACGATCTCCAGGCGGTATTCAGAAGAACTGTGAACCCAAGATTGAATGGAGTGTTTGGAGTTCCATTAGGCAGATTGGTTCAGAGAGAACGTCGAGACACTCCCATCGTTTTGACCAGATTGATTCAAGAAATTGAAAAGAGAGGAGTGGATTTGAGTGGTCTCTATGTTTGTGAGTTTTGAAGATTGTTTTATTTGTACTCAAAGTACAAAAAATTATTTTAGTGTGTGGATCTGTCGAGAAGAAGAAAATGCTCCGTGCCCAGTTGGAATCGAATCCTCTTGGAACAGATCTCAATGCGGAGAACATCCCGGACACAAACGTGATTGCTTGCCTGATCAAAGACTTCCTTCGAGAGCTTCCTGAACCTTTGATATCTCCTCAAATCCATGGAATGCTTCTAGAAGCTGCTACAGTTGCTCTTCCAAATGATGTTCAAGCGAACCGAACTCTAGTTTTGAAGATCATAGACTGTCTCCAACTTTCCGCCAAAAATTGTCTTCTGCTGGTTCTGGATCATTTGAGTACAATTCTTTGCTCTTCTCCGCACAATGGACTGACTCCTACTCGATTATCATTGGTAAGATACATATCCCCTTCTGAAAGTTTATTCTAGTTTTTCTTCTTTTTTTTTCAGATTTTCGCCCCTCTCTTATTCTTCTGCCTCGACGCCATCTCCCCGTACACAACATCACCAACTTCAAAAATGGCAGCAGTTAGATCATTGGACATGAATCAAGCGTCGTCCAGTCTTCAGATGATATTGTCGATATGGCCCTCAAGAGTTAGTGAGTTGGTCGAGTTCTTTCCTTTTCCACTCAACTATCCTACAGTAATCATCACCACGTGTTTCCATTTCCAGTTTTTTGCACTCTTTCGTAACCACAAGGAATAAAGTCCTCTGAAATCTTTTAGGACCGTTATGCATGAAGCATGAAACACATTGAGAATATTATCATTAGATAGATTAATCTTAAAATGTCTTAGATTCATATTTCAATTTTTTTCAGACAGCGAAAGCGGATCAGATAGTCCGGCCACGTCAGGTCAGAAGGGGGGAGGGGGAGTCTCCTATGTCTCGGAATCGCAGTGCTGATTACTTCCCAAAATAGAAAACCAAAATGTTGATCTCCTAGGTGCCTCGACCCGTTCCTTTCATTTCAATTACCGGTTTATAAATTCCCCCAAAGAGAAATTTTCGTCGAATTCATGTTTTAACCCATTTCTATTCCACATATAATACTCCCTTTCTATTATTATTATATTGTCAGATTTCAAATTTCAAATTTCCTCCTTTGTCTTTCTCTTACCGAGCAATATAGGCAGTGTTGTTTTTGCCAATGCTCTCCTCTGAGTCTTCATGGGTTTTTTCGTTATTTTCAAATGATACAAATGTGCTCACTAGCCCGTTTTTTTTCTATTTTGAGTTTGATAACAAACAATTTTATTATTTATGAACAAATGAATCCTTGTTTTTTTGTTAATTTGTAATATAAGTAGTATTTGAATTTTAGAATTCCAGAATCGAGAAGGTTCAGAATGTTTTTTTCTGGATTTCCATACATATTCTTAGTTCGAATTTGAAATTATTGAAAAACGCCGTTGAATGCTGGAAAATCCTAATTCGAAATTTAGAATTTTGTGGAATTTCGAAATTTTTGGGAATTCCCGAACTTCAGAATTTTAGAATTTCAAAAATTTAGAAGTTTTAGGATTTCAAAATTTCAGAAAATTTAATGAGTATGAAATTTGGAATTTTCAGGTTTTTCATAATTTTTTCTTAATCTCAGAAATTTTTGGGAATTCCAGAACTTCAGAGTTTTAGAATTTTAGATATTCAGAACTTCAGAGTTTCAGAATTACTGAATTTTAGAATTTCAGAATTTCAAAATTTCAAAAGTTGGAATTTCTGAATTTCGGAAATTTGGAATTTATAAAATTTAGAATTTTTAGGATTTCAAACTTTTCTGAAATTTTTGAACATTTTGATAATTTTCGGAGTTTTTCCTGTTTTTTGAACTTCAAAATTCCAGAAAGTTTCACGAATTGGGAATTTGGAATTTTCAGGTTTTACAGAAATCTTACGGAATTTCGGAATTTTCAGAATTGAAAAAAAAATTCAGAATTTCAGAATTTGTTTTGAATTTTTGAAAAATAAATCACGAAAAATTTTCAGAATTTCAGTTCTTCTGAATTTTGAAAGCTTTGTTTTAAACTTCTAAATTTCAGAATTTCAGAATTTTTGAAATTTCAAAATGTTCCGTCCGTATTCGCCACATTAAAAAAAATATTTTCAGCGGCATTTTTGGGAATTTCTGATTTTGTCGAACTTTTTTAATTTCTAAAATATATATTTTTTTTTTTAATCTGCAATCTCAGAAAAAAAAACTAAGTCAATATTTCATTAAATTGTGCCAAATGGAAGGAACCAAAAGAGATTAGTTTGGAGTTTGTTCAACTCACTATTAGAAATACAAAACATGATCCCGATTTCTAAATCTTACATCCTCTCCCTCCTAATGGTAAGGACATGCTCTCGTTTCCCTCTCTTTCTCTTTTTTCGTCCAAGTCCCCTCCGTTTTCATGGTGTCTTCTCCCCTCCCATAAAATCTCCATGACAACGTTCACTCGTTCCTTCTTCTGACCTTCTAAATCGACTAAATTTCCACTCATTTCCTCTTCTCATGTTCAAATATTGCATTTATATTATTTTTTGCTACCTAACAAATGTTAATGCACAGTTCCGCTCTCAAAATATTGCATTCACTACGGCAGAAAACTGTACAAGGATTCAATTTTTCAATAGGATTGAGTTGAGGTAATTTGCAGAATAAAAATATATTCAGAGTTTGGTTTTTTTTCTAGATGCGAAACATGTCCAAATTCTACAGTACCATCTGCTGATCAATTATCCTGCAAATGTGACATTCAGCAAAAAGAAATTTCAAGAAGTGGATTCATACCTACTTGCCAGGATTGCCCTTCAGGTCTTCTAAACACACTCTAGTCAATATAATTTTTGAATTAAGGCACATTTCCATCTCCTGACCAACTGGAATGCTTGAATTGTCGAAATGGAACATGCGATTGTCCACAATCGGGTGTATTAATATACCGAGATGTTGCTGGTCATCTTTTGTCAAATGGAGCATTTTGTGATTATTGTGCTGAAGGATTTTCAAAAAACGATGACGGAGAGTGTAAAAAATGTGATTATTCTTGTCCTGGTAAAGTGAGTTTCCAAGGGATTTTACATATATCTTTTGAGTTTTCTGCCTACAGAAATTCACAAATTCCGATAAAGTTTACACAAGGATCAAGCTACAAAACGGAGTTGAAATGAAATCCAACTACATCGAAAATCATTTATCAACCGAGGCAAAATCCTGTTCTGAAAGGAATGTTCAAAGTTGTGAAGTATGTTCGGAACAATGTTGTTGGCGGAATAAAGCATTTTCAGGCACTAGCAAATATATGTGTACTACAAAACTTTGAGGCTGGATTCTCTTTGAATGCTTGCGGACTTTTGGAAAATATCAAAAGGTCTTTCAATCCATGGCAAAATGCTTGGGATGCTCTGGCAAATACAGATGATTCAGAACTGGAAAAAGAGAATGTGATAGATCATCAGTACTTGTTCAAAGATGATTCTCGTTTTGAACTTTTCTTTGCGAGGTACGTTTCAACAACTTCCTAGAAATTATGTATGTATTGCTTCAGATATGATGTAAATGGGACATTTGATGGTTTCTTCACATCAGAAACGATTCCTTTATTGCTCTGTGGAGATTTTCTGGACCCGTTTGCTCCATTTGTTTTCGGAAGAAGATTCTACAAAGAGTGCAAAATAAGAAAGGAAGCGTACAGCGATAGCTTCTTAGAAAGAAAACTTTTCGAAGTCTATCTGAAGTTCACTGATGAACAAGGGAGACCCAAGTTGTATCCAATGCATGTTCTGAATAGTGCCATTCGAGTCAATGGACAATTGCCCAACTTTGCAAACAAAGATCGAAATCGGTGGATTCTTACTCGCAGATTCTATTTGGTGGATGACTACACTTTACAATTCGATAACTCAACGAGACTTTTGAGATTCGCGGCAAAGATTGGAATTAATGTGGTTCTCCAGGTATACTTTTACTTTTCGTTTTAAAAATTTATAATTTTCAGAGAGACAGAGATGGTTATATAAATCCACCATATTTGACGATTGAGTATGATGACACAACAGAAGAGAATCTAGAAAACTCTCTTGAAGTAATGTACCACAAAGATCCGTCTGGATATGATCAGAAGCTGACGATTTGTTTGTCGATAGTAGTCCCACTATCTTTATTTTGGTCTGCTCTATGCTCATACAGTTGGGGACGGAGACAAGGGAAACCATCTGCTGTGGATGCGTCCTCCATTCTCTATTTCTTCGTTTGTGAAGTTTCCGTTCTTGGAGATGTATTCTTCATTATATTTGGATTGATTGCTTTCTGGATCACTTTTGCGTACAAATCTCAGACTTATGCTTCATACAACATGCTTAGTGAAGACCAGGAAAGATCTCTGTTCCATTATATCATCTCTGCACTTGTTCTCAAGTTTTTCGGGTTGCTGTTCACAATGGGAGCTTTAGTTTTTCAAGAAACGTTCTTCATTGATTGGGAGAGACAAAAACTCAAACAGGTATGCCACTTTTTGAGAAATGCCGTTAAAAAAACAAAAGAAATTCAGACTGATGAGCATGGGATGCCTCTGTCACGAGATCTGAACAAATCAACAGAAGCAGAGCCTGTTGTTGTGTGGAGAACATATCTGATTGCAAATGAGTGGAATGAACTACAACAATACAGGAAAACATCTCTGGCGCTTCAAATTATCATGATGACATTGTTGATGGAATACTTTCAAATAAAGAACTACGCATTGGTGGAGCCTGGATTTGAAAGAAGTTGGTTTTTGATGTTGTAATAATCTAACTTTTCTTTATATTTACAGATAGCGCAGACTCTGCAACTACTCTCTCCATACTTCTTAGTACGCTGGCAATAACTGTCTCCCTTTACCTATTTTTGGCTTTTATCCAAGTCTTTTTACGAGTTCTGATCGTTGAGCGCATCGTGACTGACCCATTTCATAATTTCGTTGATCTCTGCTCAGTTTCTAACATCAGGTGAGTGCACTTAGCGGTTCTTCATTTTGTTCAAAACCCACTTTCAGTGTACTTTCTCTTACTCACTCTTTGTATGGATACTACATTCACGGACGATCTGTTCACGGGAAAGGAGATGCTGGAATGAGTGAAATGAACGAATTCTTGCAGAGGGAAAGGGTGGGCAAAGAAATTTGTATCCTTCTTTAAAAGTTACGTTTCAGAACAACTTGTGCGGATTTAGAGGACTGGAAACAGGGTCAGAGTTACAAACCTTTATTGTAAACCTTCCTCAGATGTTCCGTTCGAAGTATGACGAAATCTCCGCGATTTCTAAGCAGACGACATCTGGAGTTGTGGGACATGAAGCTGTTACAGCCAAGGTTTCTTTCAAAAAAGTTAAACTATTCTAGAACTTGTTTCAGATGAATGCCACTGTCGAAGCTCACTCCCAGATGAACTCGTTTTTGAAAAAGTTTGTGGATCATTCGATATCAGATATAGATTATGTTGTCCGAGATAGACCATTTCTTGAGTCACTTCTCGACATGGAAATGAGTGATACTTCAATTACTGGAAGCTTCACTAGGTCAGAGATAACAAATGAAAATGATAAAAAAATGTAATTTTTCAGAGACCATGTGGAAATTGCCTACTCTCGATGCTTTGTTTATGGAAATGAATGGGCTTGGACTTCATTCGAATGTCTAGGATTTACAGTATTCTACATCTGGTCTGGATCAATATATCTAGCTGGAGCAGTTGTTTATGTGATTTCTCATATTATTCGAATGGTTTTCGGATATCTGTCTACAAACCATTTAATCAAAACTAGTTTGGTTGATCAGCGATTCCTAGTTTGAGCTATTTTCTTTTTTTTTCGGAATTGAAGTAAATTGTACATATTTTATATAGAACTATTATCACAATAAAGATATAAATAACATAAAAATCAGAGTGAGATAAATGGAAGTTTTTGAGCTGAATGAAAACCAAAACTCGTCAGATAAAACTGACAACTCTGTCGTAGTTTTCTCTTCTGATGGAGGCGAAAATGAAGTATTAAACTCTAAAATCTGCGAAGCGTGGAGTTTCAACGAAGATACTGGTTTCCGAGACTTCATTGTGTGCTTTCGACATGACTCTGAAAATGGATAAGGTTAAACGAGACAGGAGAAAGACCCTATCTATTTCAAACATACGTTTTTCTTCAAGAATCATGATGAGTTCCTGGTTTTTGGAGAAGTCTACATTCCTTTCGCACTGATCACCGGTCGCAGCCACGTATAGTTTCCCATCTTGGAAATGAGTCACAAAACATTCTTTTTCATCATGTCCTCGATTTGTATAAATTAGAAGTCGGTCATCGTGCTTCCAAGATGCCAAACATGTGTACGATTTTGCTGGAATTCCTATGTTAAGTTATAGGCCAAATCGTTCTGGATGGTTCAGAAGATTCCGATCTTCAAAAGAAAAAGAATCGTTCGAAAATGAGAAAAATGACATCGAAAAGAATCAAAGTGATATTTTTGCGCTGCGGTGACTGGTAGCCACTCAGCGATTTTTTTTCAGTTTTCATGAGATCAGACCCATAACTTTTCTAGATTTGTGGTATTATGAAGAAACGTTAAGGTGTTATATCCAAAAACTCAAACTGACTTTATTTTGGGATCAACAGCGTCTGGGCATTCTATGAAGTAACTTTCTAAAACGAACGTAACTCTACTTTGAGAATAATCAAAACAGATTGTGAACTCACAGTCAAAAATAACACCATCATTGCAATGATAAGCCAAAATGTCCATTTTGGAAGATTCATTGCAATCGAATACTACATCGTAACAGTATTCTTGATCTAAAGTTTTTGGGGTGGAGAAGATTCCAAAAACTCCACATGGATAAGGAGAAGTATTCAGAACAACTGAAGAGAACCACGGTACGTTTTCCCATTGAGTATTGTTCCTGAAAATAGTATATTATGCTGATGATTCCAAAGAGAAACCATACGTGCAAATGCTGGTATTTGACTTATCCGTTGGAATGCTTGTCTTGAATTCAATCAGATTTTGGCTCCTAGCATTAAAGAGTAAGCAGTGGTATCCAAGAGGCTCTCCGCTGGAAATATAACATTGATATCAAACTTGAAATTTATTCCAACCATTTTGTCTCTGAAAAGACCATGACCCTATCTTCAAATGTCTTAACACAATGAGAAATCAACGGAACTGCTCCAACATGATGCTGTAGATACTGTAGTTCGTTAGAAGAAACACGCATTGAATCGAATTCTCCCTGCATCCACACTGGAAACGCACATGGAGCAAATGGTTTTGCGATTGCTCCGGAATGAAAGTAATAACTGTCGAATGCAGTTTTCATAGAAAGAGAAGAGCAGGATGAGTCATTAGCGAAGTACAGCTTCCGAACATTTGTCTCCTCTATGACAATCTGAAACTTTTTTGTTTTTGAGAGAAATTTTTGATTTCAAACAAACTCCGCATCGATATTCTTCATTTTCTTCGTTCTGCACTATGAAATATTGCTGATTTTTCCTATCTCTCCAAGATCCGATACATCGGAGAGTCATATCTAGAATTAAGTTATTTGAGGTTTAAATTCGGAAAAAATTGAGAAAAATCTACCAAAATCTGGAAAAGAGCAATTCTTGAATTGAATGTGGATTTTTGAGGATGAATCACAGTTGTTGGCCTGAAGTCCGATTCGCTTATTTTTCTTTATTCTGGTCTTACCGTAGTTCCTTCTCCAGATTCACAGCTCAAAGCAGCGTCATTCATTCTGTAAGAGACTTCAAACCGCCCATCAATTGGACTGCAACTAGCTGCTTGCTCATCAGAAGTGCCTGAACGTTTAGATTTGGAGTTAAATAATCTTCTTAAAACTTACGAAACAAAAGTGCTCCGTCTGATATTGTTACAAGTGCTGAGTCAAAGCAAGTCATTTTTGCCTCTTTTTCAGTTTCGTAGCAATTTTCTTCTAAAACAAAAATTATTATATAGGATAATATGAATCGGGAAGTAACCATATTGGTGAGCTAAATGAAGAACATTTTGAGAAAGTAGGATTGGTGTCAGGCATCGAAAACAAATTGGACGACCCATTCTTCTGTGAAAAATGTTGTTTTTCAGATTCAAAATTAGTTTTTTACTTCAATCCCATAATATAGGACGGCCCATATTTGGTATAGCAATCACCATAGTTGCTGATTGATGTCGCCGTAAGTGTGATCTGTAATGGAGTTGCAACATTTCGAAATCTTTTGAAACTCACGTCTTCGTATATGATATTCTGTCTTCCAGTTCCTTCAGCTGGCATCAGATCCTTCGATTGTTTTCTGTAGATTCCATGAAGAGAACTTTCTATTCTACATGTCAGACAGACTGAAAACCTGATAATAATTTTACCGTTATCTGTGGGAAAACTTACAGTTTTCAATCGAAAAAAGCAAAACAACGATGATCCACATCTTTTGGACTGAATGTGTCATTTTGACTCTTCGAATTATTCGATGACCGGACTCTATTTGCGTTTCGAACACAAGTACATGATCCACTTCAACCTACTTCCTGCTCTGGCTTGTTCATTGTGAAGAGTTTATTCAGGAAGATGTTGTGGTCACTCACTTATTACATTTATTATTATTTGACACAATTATTATGAAATATTAGAAATATGGGTATTGGTAGAAATTGGGATTAGGGATAAAAACTGGGAGTCTTGGATCATAAACCACATGTCTTCGTCTCCTGGGCGGTGCTCTTCGAAGTGGAATCATTGGTCGAGGTTCGACTTGGAATGCATTGTAGAATGGTGGCTGAAAATTCAGGTTCCACATCTTTCAAAAATCAAAGACAACTTACTGTATTCAAAATCGGCATCATTGCCATTTGGAATGGAACCTCATACATATTTCGATCTACCTGTCCTATATTCTTGTGCATGTCTGGAACAGGTTCTCTAATACTTCTTGGCCATCTTCTAGGAACTGCATTAGCAAGAGCTGGATCACGATTTTTTTGATAGTCGAATAAACTTGCAAAAGGATCGATTGGTGACAAATTCTGCCCATAATGAACTGTCATGTTGTCGCGGTCTGAAAAACGTTTTGTATATGGGGAATTCTAAAACAAAAATCTTACTGTAATACAAGTTTCCAGAGAACGGGAACCGATAGGCAACTCCTTTCGACATCGGAACGGCCACGTCAATGTCTCCTTCCATTCCATCCGACCCTCCCCATTCGTGCTCGATCTAAAATTCTCTTGTTTCTGGAAAGAAATGTATTTTAAAGTTAACTCACTCCAAGCATGAAATTCATGTGATATGGATTACATAATGGTGGTTTACAAGACATCGGCATGTACTGCTTTCCAAATTTACCCATCGGAAGTGTGGGGTGAGCTCCTGGAAAGCACGAAATTTTAAATTGTCTCCTCAGAAAATTTGCTCACTTCTATTTGCCTGCACTGCAGGATCGCTCATCAACTTCACAAAGTCCTCCTTCTCCAAATCCAACATATTCACTGGATGATTCAAGTAACCGAACTTGGTCATAGTATCTTGCACTCTAAACTTTCCGGATTAAGATTTTCAGAAGATTTTTCAGTAGCCCACCTGTTATAGAAACGTCCGTAAATATCCAGCATACCCCAAGAAGGAACAGCAAAGTTCATGTCGCCTCCGATGTGCTGAAAAACAAGAATGCTATTAGTTCCAACCAGAAGAACATACTCTTGAAGTAGATGGATCCAGATCTAGTCCTCCCGAAAACTGATTTTGAAATGGGAAAACTGGCCAGTAGTCACCATCGTGAGAGCGGCCGGGTAGAGGCTCTTGTGGTCCTAAAAACCAAAAAGTATAAAAATTCATGGATAACAAAAAAAGCTTACCAGGGATTTTATAAATATTCGCCTTCTTTCTTTTTTTCAATCCAAGATCTTGATTCATTCTGCTAGCTAAAAACGAATAAACATCTTTTCCCTGTGGCCCATCGTCATTATCAGTATCATCGTCTTCTTCTTCCACTTCTCCTTGATTTTGAAGATCTAACTTTGCTTTTGAATCGACATAAGCGAGAAAAACGAGAAGAAAAAGCACCTGGTGAATAAGACGCATGAAAGAATAAGAACTGAGAATGCATCATTTGTAAGAAACACCGAGATTGTTTCAAAAACAAGAAGCAATGATAAACAGGATTATCGGCACTGGGATCATAGCGTTCATTTCATTTATTAGGTGTATCTTATTACATTACAAGCCAAAACATTAAAGTTTTGGCTCTTTATGACAAAGGGGGCCCATGAGAAAAGGGGGAGGCCATGAGAAAAAGGGGGGGGCCCAAGTCAAAAGGGGGGGCCCATAGGTAAAAATGTGGACTAAGTTAATATTTGCCAATTTTTTCAAGTTTTTCGAATGCTTCTATAAAAATTTTGTACTTTGCGCATGTTTCCACAAAAATTTGTAACTTCAAAAAATTTCAGTTTAGACCGGTTTTTTGCATGAACAACACTATTTTTCCATTGTAACTGTGTCATTTGAAGTTATTCAGCTAGTTTAAGATTTTTCCAGGCTTACAATTAGTAACAAAAAAATAGACATAAAATATGCAAAAAATGACATAAACTGAAATTTTCAAAAAATTATGAAAAGTGTTCAAAGTTCGACATTTTAATGGAAACGGTCACAAAACTTGAAAAAATCGGTAAATATCAACTCAGGCATAATTTTTCCACTTGGGCCCCCCCCCCTTTTGAGTTGGCCCCCCTTTTCTCATGGGCCCCCCTTTTCATAAAGAGCCAAAGTTTTTACATATAAACATAGGGGTAATTTGGTATTAATCTGTATTTTCTTCGCCTTATAATGGGTCCATGTCTTCCTTCTCCAATCACCTGAGGGACCATCATTGTGGGATAAAATTGCCTAGCATCGTAGATCGGAGGTGGCTGTAGCCAGTATTCCGGCACTTTTTGCATAAATTCATACTGATTGTGAGCAAAATCTTCCATTTGAAGCATATAAGCCATTTCAGGCATCGTCATTTCCTTTCTTGTATTCGTCATCGGTCTCTGCATCTCGACAGGTTCTCGAATACTTCTCGTCCACCGCCTCGGGATTGCCAAAGCAGGATCTCTGTGTTTTTGATAGTCAAAAAGACTGGAGAAAGGCTCGATCGGACCCAAATTCTGACCATACGTAACAGTGACGTTTTCGCGGTCTGAAATTTTTCGGTAACGATAAAAAGTACAATGAAATCAATTTTGCCTAAACTTACTGTAATACACTTTTCCTCCGAATGGCATTCTGTACGCCATTCCTTTAGAAATCGGAATAGGAACATCGATATCTCCTTCGACTCCATCGGAGCCTCCCCAATCGTGTTCGATCTGAAAATTAAGAGAAATAATTTTAAAATTCCACCGAAGTTTATTTCACTTACACCAAGTCCAAAGTTCATCTGGTATGGATTACACAGTGGCGGTTTGCAGTTCAATGGAACATAAGTCTTTGCAAACTTTCCAAGTGGAAGAGTTGGATGTGCCACTGTAATAACATTTTTATCTCCGAGAAAAAAATTCGACTCACTTCTATTAGCATGCACAGCAGGATCACTCATCAATTTCACAAAGTCTTCCTTCTCCAAATCTAACATGTTAACTGGATGATTAACGTATCCAAATTTAGAAGTGGTATCATGAATTCTGTTGAAGAAGCGTCCATAAATATCTAGAACGCCCCATGATGGAACAGCAATATTCAAATCCCCTCCGATGTGACGAGAAATCGAAGGATCTAGATCAAGACCTCCAGAATACTGATTTTGAAATGGGAACACTGGCCAGTAGTCTCCAGGATGCGAACGTCCGGGTAGAGGTTCTTGGGGTCCTAAAAATAAAATTGCAGTGAGAGTTTCATTCAATAATTTCTCACCAGGAATTGTATAAACAGCTGGAGCTAATTTCTTTTTTGGAACCACTTCTTGATTCAGTCTCTTATATAAAAACTCATACATCGATTTTGATTTCTTATCAGTAAGTTGCTCATCGAGTTCTTCCTCTTCTGAATCGTCACCTCCAGTATTTTGTAAATCGATTCGTGCAGCAAAAATTAGGCATGTTGTAAAGAAAAGGAGGAAAATCGAAGGCCTCAGAATCATGGAAAAAAGAAAACGAGAATGAACCTCGATGATGGAGACAAGGTATTGTTGGGTGATTGATAAGAGATAAAGCCGGATTGCATCGTCGTTTAGCTTTGATCTTTCAACAAGAAACAATGGGGGTTTTTTCGCGAAAACATTTTGAACAGTGTCTTACCGTAAAACCTGTAATAAAGCCTCTAATTGTTCACTTTGAGCCAACATCTCTGTGTTCCTGTGAGAGATACGAAAAAGTTGTCAACTGATAAATTATTTATCATAATATCATCGATATGTTATCAATTGACATATTTTTGGTATCTCTCATAGCAGCCGAAATAATTTGAGCTCAAACTTGATAGTGTGGCGGCCCAAAGTCTCTAATAGAAGGCCACCCAACACGTTAACTTTGAATGTGAGTTCATATATCTCGGTTCCTGTGAGAGATATCTGAAAATGGTCAACTGAAAAAATGTTCACAATAAAACCGAAAATATTTTGTCGGTTGACCTTTTCTTGATATTTCTTACAGTAACCGAGATATTCAAATTCAAATTTGATGGTTTGGGTGACTTTCTGTTAGTGTTTACAATATGTCTGCAATTGCATTACACTGTCCCTAAACCAGACCCATTTTGAATTTTCCAATAAAATTCCAAATTTTTGCTCTTTTCATAGTAAAAAACTTGAAAATGTTTTCAAGAGTACTTCAGATTTACTCCGAATAATAGTTAGCTGTTTATTAGGGCTATTTTAATGAATAATAAAAATGAAAATTCATAAGCTACAATCAAGTAAGTGCCTAGATACAATGAAAACAAGAAAAAAACAGAGGAAAGGTGAAGAATTGGCGTAGACAACACTCTTTGAGAGCGAAAAAGTTACCAGTAGAGAAAAGGAAGACATTTCAGAAGAAGAAGTAAGAAAAGGCAAAGAGAATATAGAAGAGGAGAGGTTAATGGCTTGTAAATGCGATAGAAGGGATATGTATATACATTGAGAGGAGTAATAAAAAATTAAAAAGACTATGAGGATACTAAAAAGTTGGTATTAGATAAGACCAGAATGGACATTCAAGGGCTGGAGGTGAGACCGGAAATAGAAGAACTGAATAGAAGAAAAATAAATAAAAGATTTAGACATCAGTTCCATTTTCTGGATCTCCTTGAACCGAGTTGACACGAGATGGCTTGCTGCTCCATTTTCGGACGGCAAAGATTACGGTAAGGGCAAGAACTACGAATGCGATTGCAGCAGCACATCCCATGAGAACGATTGGCCATGCGAATGGACGGTTTCCAAGAGAGCCAGTATGAGCGAGAAGGGAAGATTCGGAGACCTAAAAAAATTATCTTATGAAATATATTTCACAATATAATGAGGGAAAATATAACATGCAACAAACGGAAAACAAGCACACCACCTTTCGACTGACCTCTGGCACACAGTATTGTGCCTCCTTGATGTATCCAATCGCGCATTGTTCACAATGATCTCCAGTGTATCCGGCAGTGCAGGAACATTCATTCTCCTGTAAATATTATGAATTATTCATCTTTCACTCTCCCCTTCTCGCTCACCTGTGTCACACTTCCTCCATTCTCGCAAATGAGTGGGGCATCACAGAATGGTCCAGTGTAGCCGACATCACAAAGGCAGAATCCGTCAAGTCCGCCAGTTGGGATCCCATTGAAACATGTTCGCATATTACAGAAGAGTCCAGTCCATCTCTCGAAACACTCGCATTTTCCTTCAATCAGTTTTCCTTTTCCTGGCTCGCAATAGGTCACTTTCTCGCATCTGTCTCCAGAAAGACCGTATGGACAGTGACAACGAACCTGGAAATTGAGTTTAGAGACATTGTCACCTTATTAAAATCATTCTTACCACTCCTTTCGCGGAATGCCTACGTCCTCCATTCAAACATCTTTCTCGTTCACATTGGGTACCTTCATATCGGAGAGTGCATTCGCATTTTCCCTGAAATTGTTCAATAATTATTTTCAAAAGGCAATCTTTTGCTTAATTTAAGCTTTGATTGGTTATTTCCCATAGAACAGTTCTACCCCATGCCGCGCAACTCGACCCACTAATCCTTTTTTTGAGTGGCTCCTTGTGCACCGACGGCATGACCGATGAGAGCCCTTTGGGCCACCCAATTGTAGCATGTTTCTCGGTGGTCTTCATGTAATCCCGGTCAGTCCCATGTCACACGGAATTAACCCTCTCTGACCGCCTTTTCAAATGCCACCATATGTGCATTAAAAAAGTGGTGAAGAAGACGAAAAAAGATGAGTAAATGGGAGAAAAGAAGCCAAGCACGAAATTTTGTCTTTTTACGAATTAAGATGAAGAGGTAAATATATGACCCAATTTGAAGTGATGGTTAAGAAAAGTTGACACTCACATTAACCAAGGATCCTCCGTTCTTGCAAAAGTCGTCCGTTAGATTTGAAGGATTGATGAGCGAGTTGGCAGAAACGGCGCCAAGGATCAGAACAGACGAGACGATGGATCGGAAGAGCATTCTGTAAGAAGCCGCCATGTGTTGTTTATAAACAAATGAAATGAAGAAGAAGAAGACGAATATTGTTCCGATGTGTTTATGTTGATGTTTCACACACAAGTGCTTAAGAAGTAGAAGATGAGAGGAAAAGTATAAGGAGAAGAAGCTTTTCGGAAGAGGGAGGGAAATTTAACTACAAGAAAGTGTTGCATAATTGAAGGCAGGGAAGGACCGGACGAAGCGGACGAACCCGCGGAAAAGCAGCTTTGAAAGCTGATAGGTCACTTTCAATTAGAACGGACACGGCAGAAAACTGAGACCAAGGCAGAGCAGGGGAGCAGTACAAATTAGTCCGGTGGCTCGAAGGGAAAGAGACGCCTCGAGAAATTCAATCTGTTTTTATATGAAAGCATGCAGCTACTATTCGTAGTAGTAGCAGCATCTTTTCTTGAAAAAGTCAGAAGTCGTCGGGAGGTCAAAAAGAAGACCATGATGGTGGTGGTGGTGGTAGAGCTTAATTATTGGACAACAAGAGGAAGCATGGAGTGGGTACAAACAAATTTGAGATTGGGCGTCCCAATGGAAAGGAAGTGGTACAGGAAATTTCAATGAAGAAGACACTGGTCTGATTAGGTTCGTTGAATGAGAATAAGTCGGTATATGGAGAGGAAAAGAAAGGGTGTGAACACTAAAGATGAGAAGAGGGGAACAGCCGAAAAGAAAGTGCTAAAATATATAGCTACTGATGATTTTTTCTCTCTATTATGAGGGTAAATATTTAGACTACTCATCAAGAAAAAGAAAAAGACATCGACTCCCTACTGACACATTTCCACAGGAGGTTTCTTCTTTTGACTCCGCCCACATCGTTTTTACGACCTCCTTTCCCCCCGATGCTCTCCGCTCCTTATTCGGGAAGTGGTCGTAAAGGCAGTGATAGATTTACAGCGACATGATGAAGACGTTATGGGTGTTTACAAGCCGTGGGTGTGTGTGCCATACGGTGCACTAGGGAGGATTATGAAAATGATGGGGATGTCCTTTAGAAAATATGAATATGAATTAGTATCTCCAAGATTTGGAATTATTAGAAATTCATCACATCGAAAAATTTTTCGTTTAGTTTCGGTTGACTAGAAACGGAAGGGATGTAGCAAACAGGTGTTGGAGCGGAAACACAGTTTACCTGTCTCCAGAATTCGAGCAGGCCACTTAGAATCCAGTGACCCGTATGTGGATGATTGTGAACGACAGGCCCGCTTGTTAATTGCCATGTCCCACACAGGAAGAAAAAGGAGGCGGGGCAGGGGTTTGAAACCTGCCAAAGACTCTCCGAAAAAAGATTTAGGTCGTATAATAGAATAGTCAAAAAGGTATTCAACTATCCTTTCCTAATTCCCAAAACTTTACGGGAGGGCAAGAAGTTCGGGAATTCATGCAAATGCATCCGAGAGACGACTGCCTGGCTGTTGGAGCGTGATTGCGATTGCACAATCCTAATTAGCGAATCGAGATAGCATCTGATGACTATAGTTTCGCGCACCTACTACAAGCCCCCTCGTCGCCTTATATCCCTCGTATAACCCCACAATTACAGTAATCCTTGTAAATACTCACATCTGCAGATGCAATAAATACAGATAGAAACACACCATACGGTGTACGAAGGATGCTTAGAAAAAACAGAGAACAATACAAAAACTACTGAAATTAGAGGAGTATGAATAGAAGGCGAAGACGTGTCAGACAGCAATCTTGCACAATTTGTATTCATTGTCCAAACAACACCCGGTGTCCTAATTAAGGAGCGTCGACACGGGCGGTGATGATTATGATGATGATGATGATGATGAAATTTGAGGTACTATAGAAGTCAAAATGACTGGGAAGAAGAAGGGTAACGGAAGAAAACGACAATCAGCATCCAGCTCGAAATGAAGAGAAATGAAACAACCCTCTTCTTCCTCTTCCCTTGACTCCGCCCACTTTGTGAATAGTTCTCTTCTCTCCTCCTCCTCGTCTCCCTTCTCTCCAGCCATCAGAGTGACCCCCGAGAGTTGACCAGTACACGGTGTGTCGTGTGTTCGATGATAATCAAAAAAGCTCGTAAATTCTGTAAATTAGTGCTGCGCACACGGTTGTCACAGAGATAACGGGAAACGAGGAGTGTTCGTATTCCGATTCGGGTGTGATAATGGGATTGGGATGGGATAGGAAGAAGAGCTGTGCGGGTGGTTGGCTGGTACATGGTGTTGGAATGGGATTTTTGAAATATTGACAGGTAGAAATTGAAAACACGAGAATTGTTACAATGTGATAGAGACAAATTTATGTTAATAAAAATTTCAAAGAAGTTATGAGAAACACAGTGATGTCCATAATTACCGTAAAACCTCTAATAGAACGACAAAAGTGGCTAACTAGTAAAATGTTTATCAGGATATCAGCAACATTTTACTAGTTAGCCACTTTTTGATATCTTTCACAGAAAATGAGATATATAGGCTCAAAGTGGACGATCCGGGTGTCGTTCTATTAGAGGTTTTACGGTATATGAAAAACGAATTTTTTATTTGATTTTGACCATTTTCAGGGGTCTGTAGCTCGGCCATCAAGTTTCCGATCACTTTGAAAATTTTGGAGGTTATAAAACAGACCTAGATTGAAAACTTTGCATTTATTAAATTTTTTGGAAAATTCCTAATTTTCCAGCTATTTGCCGGTTTCTGAAAGACACCTGCTTTTTTCCGTCTTCAGTAAGACAACAGGAAAAAATGAGGTCTCTTCCGGAAATCGGCGAATACCTTAAAAACTAGGAATTTTCAAAACATTCTGTAAATGCAAATTTTTCAATCTAGGCATGTTTTATACCCTCCAAAACTTTCATAATGATCGGAAACTTGACAGCCGAGCTACAGACTCTTGAAAATGGTCAAAATCACCTGAAAAACATAAACTTATGGCCAACACTGTAGCTGAGTAGCTCATTAAGAATGACACTGAAATAGCTTTCAATCAGGAACTTTTTATCTAAATTCTCAGATAATCCATAATTCGATGGCTCTGATAATCGCCCTAGAACCCTGAAGTTCCTAATTATTGATACTTTCAGTTATTCTAGTGAGCAGGTCACTCTTTTGTCCCCGCTTCGAACCCTTTTGTTTTCCTGAATCTGTTTTCTATTTAGTGCTCATTTGCTCGCTTCCGCTTCAAAAGCTTCCAATCCGCCTAGTACTACAAACTCATCTATTTTTCCCCTCTTCATGTTTCGAAACCTTCTGTTTTCATTAGTCATAGCTCTCGGTCCAAAACTAGTCAGGATCAAAGCGTTTTGGCGGTCATCAAAGTCAACAGCCCAGCTCTTTTTGGAAAGAGCAGGCAATTTGACATTTAGAGAGTCCTTCTCTCCAACTATCAACCAATCACTTTCCCACATCGAATTGCAAATTTGACAGTCCGTGAGTGTGCATACTACCTCCTCTCAAGTGCTACCCAGGTATTCTTCTTCCTCATACAAAAAAGAAGAAAGAAATTAAAAAAAATGGGTAGAATTTGAAAAAAAATTTGTGGAGGACAGGAGGGCTTGCGCAATCACAAAAAGTGTAGACGACGCAGCTGCAACATTCACAACCCCAATTTTTTCACTCTTTTTCCGGGTATGAGAACGATAACATCTATACATGGGGAGGCCTTCTGCATCTGCTGCCAGGTTATGTAATTGAACAATCTGGGAATTGTGAAGAGAGAAAGAATAACAGTAGGGTGGTCACATCGGGAAGTACATAAATCAATTTGTCACCTCATCATCACCTCGTTGCGGGAGATTTGTGGATTGTTTTGATAGAGGAAAATACTACTAAATATGATACTTGACTTGAGACGTATGTGAAGTGAGGAAGGTGAAAAGTTCCCACTGGGATAACGTATTAGGCAAGAGATGATGGAGTTAGTTAAAAAAGAAGCTGATCCATTCAACTCCTTGGAAATCAAAGGATCTACTCGGATGTCGGTTTGTAACTTCTGGTCAGAAGTATTTGTCAGGTTCTAGCGGGAAACGGACCAAAAACGGCTGGAGAGCGGGCCATTATCAGATTTTTGTCGGAAGTTAATAGTTTAACAACTAACAGGTCGGAATATGGTCAAAAGTTTGTCGGAGTTTGGTTATTACCCGGAATCTGACCAACCTCCGACCAGAAGTTGCCTTTGATAAAGATCCCAACGGATTAGTACTGAAGCGTTTTTGGACTACTTTTAAAGTTTGAGAAGTCTAGAACCCGTCTTAAATTTAGAACTCCAGAAGTCTGATATAATTTCTCCCTTTGTCATGTTCTAAAAAATAGAATCATTCAGACTCTCCATCGAGAAGGCATACCCAAGCTGTCATTGAATGTGTGTTGCGATTAAAATGTAATCAATCGAAAGGCGATATGCACATTCGTCTTGTACAACTTGTTTACGTGTACTTGGCGGAGTGTGTACTTCTTCTCCAAGTGTAACAGAATCCATCAAAATGTCAGCTTTCTCGAATTCATATCGGTTCTTCTTATTCTTTCTCTTTTCTTCCTACTACCCACCCTCATCAGAAACATATCTAAATAACACCACCTGCAGAGATAATTATGCGACTCTTCTGTTTTTTGGGTTATGCAAAAATGGATCTGTGAAAAAAAGACAGACGCGCCGGCGAGAAAAAAGAAGAAAAAGAGAGAATAACGAAAAGCTAAGGGCACCATATGGGGACTCTCTTCTGGATAATGATGTGTGTTCTGAATGGACACAGCTGATCGGCAGTACCGAACAGAACCACGACAAGACAACATAATACAGATGAGCAGAGATTCTTCAAAAACTAATGAGATCTCTCAGCGGGAGCGATTCATGCCATTAACATCTTGAGCATCTCATGTGGTGAATCTATTTGAATCTTTGGATCCAAATTAGGGCCCCTTCTCAAAAAAAAGCCGGATTGCGTGACACCTCCTAGTTAATTACGGAGTGTGTTTCAGATGACATTGAACGAGTGGAAAAAAGGGCGACGGAAAACTTGAAAAGTGCCGTTTTGTCACCACACATAGAGACCATAAATTCTCCAAGAAGAAATACTTCGTGGCAGATTCATGGTTTACGATGCCATGGGAACGACTTCCGTAACACAATTCGCCAGAAGGCTAATCTGGTATGACGTGGCAATCGTTCCGATTGTTTTCTCGATGACTCAACCTAATAAGTGGTCAAATTGAAAAGGGGAACAGGAAGCTGAAGGCAACTACTGTAGATGATGTACATAGATTAGGAAGGTTCTGACATGACATTAAAATGTTTTAATTAATATCGAAAAGTTTTTTGTTGCCAACTCGCGACACTTTTTTGTACTGTTCGTGTCGTGTGCGCCTTCTCTGTTTTTTTCCTATAGAGGTCACACTTTTTGTCACTAATGGTCAAGGGTAATTGCGAGAGAAAAGATTTCTTGGAAATCGGAAACCCATCTCGGGTGTGGAATGCGCGAAACCCATTCGGTAGGGGTGTTAGTGTTATTAATATAAAAACAACATGTTGTGGTCTGTAATCATAACTGGATAAATATAGAGAGGACCAAATGACCGCCCGTGGGAGAATATAAAGAATAGAGAGAGAATGACTGCTCAATTACGGTGTCGGCATCTGAGAAAACGGCACGCCAAAAAAAAAACGGGAACACCGTCGGATCGTAAACCAGGTAATGATGTCGTTAAAAGGGGTCTCCTACGCTAGCGGCACACGGAGGAGCAGTTGCATCCGACAGACCGCCCGTGTGTTGAATAATTTAGTGTTATGATAGGTGGGTCAACTGGCGGAAGTGTTGCTTTCAACGGGGGTGGTAAACCTTCTGCACCAAATGTTGCGCATGAAAGAAGGCCCTAACTGTCTTTGTGCTTGTGGGGGAAGAGTTGGAAAAAGGGCTAAGAAGAGGAAGGATTCGTTTTCCGGTAGACGCAATTAAAGTGTCAGGCGGTGATGGACAAGTTGCCAGGCAAAAGAGTTGGTACAAAAATGAGGACGATCCGCTTCATTGCTTCTTCTTGTTTTCATGGATACAAAGAGAACAGAAGAAGATGATAGATGGTTTGTAGACGAGAGATTTCTTAGGTAGTTTTAGTAAAAGCAGGAAGAAAATGTGGAGATACTAATATATTGAACTACAGTACCTTTTCAGTTGAATTCTGGCGATTTTGAGCATTTTCAAGAGTTAGGAGCTCGGCTATCAAGTTTCGTTTGTCGTAAGTTTCCGATCTTTTTGAAAACTTTGAAGGGTGTAAAGCAGGCCTAGATTAAAAACTTTGCGTTCACAGATTTTTTTTGAAACTTCCTAGCTTTTCAGCTATTAGCCGATTTCGGAAAAACACCTGTTTTTCAAGTTTCCAGTACAAAAACGGACGAAAAAGAGGGTCTTCCAGAAATCGGAAAAAATATGAAAAATTAGGAATTTTAAAAAAGTTCTGTGAATGCAACGTTTTCAATTTAGGTTTGTTTCACATCTTTTTTTTACAAGACTTTCAAAGTGATTGGAAACTTGACAGCTGAGCTTCAAAATAGTCAAAATGGTCGAAAAATAAGTATTTGTATGTCTTATTGACCGGTTACTGTACGTATTTTCTTGTGATTCTTTAGAAGCCGATTGAAGTGAAAAATAAAAATCTTATTCATATGAAGCTAGTGTTGCAGTAAAAACAAAACAACAGTTTGACTTAAATTTAATTTTGAACCGTCAAGGTCTCGAATGGAAAGAATTCAGAATGCAAAACAAGGTGATAAACAAAAAAGACGAGAAACGTGCAACACAAGGAACAACAATAAAAACCGAAGGAAGATGTCGTTTCTGGCAATCGAGTGAAATGCGTGAATACAATTACACTGACAGTCAAACGATGCGAATATCGTTTCGAAGGACATTCCTCTTCCTCTCTTCGATGAGCCTTTTTTCATCGACTCATTTTCGACATGAAGGAAGGCCATCATGACGTGGCATCCAGGCGGAACCAACCGAGTCTATTGTCTTTTGGGGCCAGATTGGTTACCTCTTCAAAAGAGATGAGCCCCCCCCCCCCCCCCCCTTCTCTCTCTCTTCTACAGGTGAACAGGCGGTCTTTCTTTTGATCATTATTCATTAATATGACATTGTTGAGAGACTTCAATGCATAGCGCTATTATCTCATAATGGTACATGCCTAGTTTTATGAATTATGTGGGAGAGAACCAGCGAGAGTAGGAAATGATCTCTCAAGTTGAGAAATGAGAGAATGTTCTGATGGATGTGTGTCCGTTCCCTGTAGTCCTGGACAGGTGCTGCTTATGAGATTTATATGGGACCAGTAGAATATCAGTTATTCGGTTACACGATTCCCAGCATCTACTTACTCCCAGCATTTGCAACATTCAGAATTTGTTGTTGTTATTAGATGCGGGTATGGAACCCTTCTTTATTCATTGCCTCATCCGTTGCGACATGCTCAATTTGCACAAAGTAATAATAAGCGGATACATGGTCATAAAGCCGCCTACTTCTCAATGCACTTCCCTCCGAAAAGGACATCAGGGGGGACCCACCACTTCGGGTTATTAATTCTTTTTGGGACCACACAGCTAATAATATGTGCACTCTCCGCAATAGTAATAATATCCATCTTCAGAAATGTCTTCATCTTCTTCTTCTTCTTCATCATCTCAGCACAGAAGTGACACTTGCCGGTGAGGATATGAGGAGATGTACTACTACCCGAAACAAATGTGTTGCCGAGAGGGATATTCCTAGAAGATGATAGGGATGGGATGGGCTCGTTTACGATCTTCTCCGGAGGGAACACTTTTTCGCCAATTGCGCAACACTTGGGGTGTCTATTCTGATGATGAAATGACCATAACGAGGTTGTGGGGTGGATATAATGACCACTCGCGAGAATCCCGGATACTTTTTAGGGATTCGTAGCACCAGAAACTAATTCAATTGGTGTAGTGCTGGCAAAACAAACATGGGTTACTGACAGCCTCTTCCTACCAGATGGACCTTCAACCTGACATTATCGCATCGTCATTTGCATCCCGTCTACAGCCATAATTCCCATTATTGTGTTACTTAGACCCCGCACTAATTGGCTTTGACATGCGTGCATATGGTTTTGGGTGTTTTATGCTTAACGGTTTTTCTCTGATTGAAAATATGTGGACGAGAAAAGGAAATTTTCAGGAAAGGGGGTGTTCCCATGGTTTTTCACGCTGAGAATACACCTACCAAGTTATGATGATCACATTTTCAATGACCCAATTGGAAATCTTTTAGCACGAGACTAATTCAACTAATGGAACTAAAGGATGTGGAAAATGAGTGTTCAGAAATTACAATGTTTTTTTTCCGGAACGTATTTTAGAAATAAGTTTTTTCCCACGCTTTTCCGGTGGAATTCAGCCACAAAACCGTAAGGCTGACAGTTCAATTTGAAGCTGTTGCATCGAGTCCAACGCCTCTTTGAAAAATCAACGTTCGAGCGCATTCACATGAAGTTCGAATAAAAAGTCCTGCAGAAAAACGTTCTCTTGATAGAGAAGTAGTTCTGAAGATTGTCAAAACAGCAACAAAATAGAAAAATATTGAAAATGTATGTTTCAAAGACAAAATATCTATGCTGAAGGATAGAAAACTTGAACAAGAAGAAGAACTGGACCAGACATCCAATGAATTGCAGAACAGAAAACAAGAGAATGATAAAAAATTGAATGGCGTCTTGGAACTATTGTCGATTCAAAAAGAATGGTATTATTTTTGTGAATACTGCTTAAAATACGAAAAATACACAAGATACAAATAAACTCTCAGAACATCATCTTATTCTCCAGATACTATTCAAATCATACAGAGCCACACTATGGTTAGATATATTAAAGCTCTAAAAATATAATAAAATGTTTTCAAAATATGTTTCCAAAGTTCGGGGTCATTATGGACCCAGCACTGGCATTGCTCAGTTCGGGACAGTCTGAAAATGATAAGTCCAAAAATGTTATTGAATTGATAACGGTGTCAGACTTAACGAGGTATTTCAGAACTCACTATCAAAACATCACGAAGCTATCAACTAATTTGATTTAATGCACTCTCTTGTTCTCTTCAGTTTACCTACTTTCTGTTCCAAATGACCTACATCGTAAAATCATATTTTATTTGTTCACCGTGTTGCTTTTTATCAGAAGAAGGAGAAGACCTCAAACTACTCTCACTTGTTCTCAATTCAATGCTATTCTTTTCGAAACGAAAGAGAGACCTTCGTTATGGGAGTAATCGAATTAGTTTGATGAGCAATCAAATCTGCGAATATGACAGAACAGACAAAAGGTCGCCATGAATACAGAAAACAACGAAGGAAAATGAACAGAAAAGTTTATTTCATTCAAGGAGAAAACAGACATTTTATAATAGAGTGCTGTTGACGCAATGACTGAAAATGGGAAATTCTTGAAACTTGCGAAAAAATCTGAAGCTCACAATTCGATAGAAGTCGTCTTCCAGTTTCCTCGAACATTGAATGATTGTGTTGTTGCTGTTCCATTCCATGGGACATGGTTGTTGAACCATCCGTTGTCGTCTCCTGTCTCGAATCCTGTCTGATTACGATGCATTCTAAAAGTTAAAGTTGGTTTTAAACAGGGAGCAAGAACTATACCTAAACATCAACGTCCATGGTTTCTTTTCTCTGATTGGAAGTGGAAGAATAGCTGGACGGAAGGAATCCATTTCATTCTGCAATTCTTTAGACTAAATGTGATTCGGAAGTTCTGAAACCCACCATTCCATGTAGTCCGGATCTCGAATATGTCACATTGGTCTCATAATAATGAATGAATTGCAGAAGAGTTCGCTGATTCTCGAAACCCTCTTGAGCTTTTCCTACATTCAAATCTTTGAAGATGTCGAAGAAGATTCTGAATCGAAATTCTCCATTACGCATTTCAATTTCCAAAAACTCACTTTTTAGCATTTGGGAATACCTCTCCTTTCACAACGAAATAGTCCCCATCTTCCATTGCCTTCATGAACAGAACATTGACATCTCCACTTGAATAATCTCCTTCTATTGTCTCTCCACATTGAACAGTCGGTACACACAAGTAGCAATCAGCATTCGGAACTTCAGTTGATCCTTCAGCAGGTGGGACGACTTCAGGAGCAGGAGCAGGTGTGACTACTTCAGGAACTGGGTCCGGTTGAAATTCTGATTATAACATTTTTTAAACTTCTCCAACTGGAAAATTTTAACTTACGGGAAAGAACGGATGAGGCGAAAAACGCCTGAATGAGAACTGTGAGCCAGATCCGCATCTTCGATTATTCTCGTTGGAAATGTCCGATATCACCTCTTTTATGGAGTTCGTTTCAAGTTCCCTTTCCTATCGATAAAACACGTAGTTGTTTTCCGAAAAGTAATGTACGCCAATTCACATCCGGGAATTGTGCTTAAAAAGAGTGAGGAAGTAAACGAAACGAGTCACAAGATGTTCCTTCGTCTGTTTCTGCTCGCCGCTATCGTACCGGCGGTATACCTATGGTGTACCCCATTCATTTCCTGTAATCAGACTATTGTAAGTCAATCGAAAAACCTTAAGAACAAAAATGAGGAATTATTTCAGTATGGAGACTTCAGCGACTTTGAGAAAGGAATGAAAGTTCTCCTTCTAGGCCGCCCATTCCAGAAATTTGACGAAATCATCATCACTGGAGAATACTATAACAACGGATCCGAGGTCTTCGACGATGCTCAGTGAGAATCAGATAACATTCATAGGTGTAAGTTTAAATGTTTTAGATTCCGTGTTGGACTTTCGAAAGGGCTTATCATGCATCAACTGGGAGACGATTTGGAGAAATATTTGATGACTGCTTCCGTTGGAGCAAGTGAACCAATGATGAATATAACTGGTTTGATCGGAGGTCGCGGAAGAGACCAATTCGGTGCTGATCAAACGCCAAAACCAAATATCACCTGTGATGATCCATTTGTTCTCAGAGTCAAGTTCGTTTTATTGAGCTATTAAGCTTAACTGAAGAAAGATTGATGTTTTTCAGAAGTATAGACGGATACGGTTTTGCACTCGGAACTATGGACGAATTCCCCGGTAAAGTTAGAACCCAATATCCGAAAGCTGAAAGGGCCCAATCGGTATTCTTCAGCGGTCAAATCAAGACCACAAAGATTGAGTTGTGAGTTCAAATCGATCATCAAACGATCACTTTCCGTTTGTTTTCAGCAAATGTCTCGATGATGGATAACCGCGTGGTTCGCTTCTTATTTTCCCACACAGCCTAATAAATAAATGAAGTGTTTGGTTTTTGCTTTTGTGTCGTTTTGATGAGAAACTTGAACGTGTTGCATGTCATAAGACCCCTCACATAACGAAAGTCGTAAATCTCAAACCGCCGGTTATCAGATCGAATCTTCTCTCCGTTTCTCCTCCGACACTTTTGCCACGTTCGACGAAGCTCCGCCCGCTTTCTGAAAGGCTTCTTCTCCTTCTTGTCGCCCATTTTCAATTACTTTCCTAACCTGCATACAATTATTATTCAGAGAACTTCCGCAATTTCTCTCTTACATGGGGTGTCAGTTATGTTTGTGTTGGACGTTCATTTTCTATTCTCTTCCGCAGAAAATTCTCGATTTTCCTTTTTTCCAAACGTTAGCAAATCCTGTTATGCAAATGTAAATCGTAAAAAAGGTCGGTTTGTATTTTGTATGAATGTCCAGATACTTTTCGTGGTTCTCAGAATACGAAAAACGAGTAAACAATTAGTTTAGCCTTCCTCTCCACCCAACCTATTCCTGAATGCAGTCATCAATCAACAACAACTTGAACTACAAATCATTTTTCGTCCTGGCATGCATACCTGGAAACGAATTGAATATTTTTCTCCCTCTCTCGTTTCCTCCCATTTTTCGGATTAAGTTTTAGTGAACTAAAGTCGAGTCAAACGGAGGCCTTGGTCTTCCGGAACTGACCAAACTAATGTGGAAGTGGCAAAGTGAGAGATTTATTTTTAAAACGTTGTTATTTTCTAGGAAAAAAGAAACTGGATATGTATAGATTTGATGATCTCTGGAAATGACGCACGAGTTTTTGGTTTTCTGTATTTTGGCTGCTCATAATTTAAGGATTCATGCTCACAATTTAGGGAAGCTCTTGCTGAAACGAACACTTATATTTTCAAAAAATGTTCTGATTCATTGAGCAGTTGTCCAGATTTTGTCAATGTTTTTTCTTAAATTTTTGATAACTGGGCTAATCAAAACTTACCGAAACCTGTAATAGAAATATTAAAACCTGTAATAAAAGGACCTCTTAACTTTAAACATTCAGAAAATTTATCTTGGTTTCTGTCAAAGAAGTAGTCAACTGGTAAATTGCTCATCAAGATACCGTAAAACTCTATTAGCAGGTCACCAGAACTGGCAACTTTCAGTCTATATATCTCAATTCCTGTAAAAGATATCAAAAAGGAATCATCTAACAAAATTTTAGTCATAAATTTTAGTCCCACACCCATTTACAATGTTTTATCAGTTGATCACTTTTCCATATCTTTTACAGAAATCGAGGTACATATATGGGCTCAAAGTTGACGGTCTGAATGACCTTCTATTATAGTGTTTGCGATAATTGAGCTTAAATTTGACAGTGTGGTAGCCTTTCTATTACAAAGAGTATATCACATTGGATGATATTCAGCGAAGATGTTTACCTTCCGGGGCCGATTATGTCATGTTTTGAAAAATAATATCTGCCTGGTTTTTTTCATTTTGTAGTTGAAAAACATAATCAGCACCGAACTTATTCGGTACACTTGGTACCCATTCGTAATAGGTTCTAGTTTTTTCCAAAATGCAAAATAATAACAATATCTGGATTATGGTTTGTGTTCCCGAATATTAAAATTTTTATGATCAAATCCAGTATTGACGCACATCTCGGACCATTGTTTTTTTCAGAATACTTCCTCTTTTAACATTTTCTTCTTCTTCACTTTTATCGTCTTTCACTTCTTCTGTCATCGAAAACTTCTGCCCCGAAACCTGCTTCCTCTTTCTTTTTTCATTCCGATATCTTCGCTTCTGATCAGCTGCCATTCCTCATTCCGTTCGGTGTGTTGCCCATCGTGTTTCTTCCCTTTCATAAGTTTTCCAGGTTTCTCCTTTGGTTTTGATTTCAGTTTCTTTTGTCAGCAACCTTTGGTTTTGTGACTTTCCTCTCCTATTTCTTCGCTTTGTTCCCTCGTTTTACATTTCAAATTCTATTGTGACGAAACACGGCTGCTCTCCATCTTGCAACACCTCCTTCCGCCTCTTTTTTGAAAAACCTAATCAAGTATCCGACCGTTGACAATTGACCATTTGGACTCGAGACATGGACTACGAATGTTTATGTGTCGAGAAAGTAATAAATTTAGCTACAAGAGTTTATTATCAGAAGTTGATATGAAAATTGAACCCAATTGCTTGAAGGGGGACTCCGACCAAAACTTTTTTATTGCATTGAAATGTTTTGAAAGTTATATATTTTCCTGATATTATTGCTAGAAAAATAGTTTCAAATCGGGAATCCTCGAAAAACGCTGTTGAAAATTAAAAAAGGTGGCGAATATTGACGAGGATTCGAATTCCCGCGTAGTGAGAAACCTAGGCCAAATGGGCGGGAAGTGTTTTTTAAAGTGTCCGACAGTTGTTTTTTTTACGTTCCGGAGACGAAATCGGGAAAGATTGCCATGTAAGAAAGGCGTCCCACCGCCGCGACCTAGGTTTCTCACTGAGCGCGAACTCAAATTCTCGCTCCTAAAAAAAATTATAGAAATTATGCCTTAGCCCCCTTTAAAGGGTTTATTATCAAAAGTTGATGTGAAAAAAGAGCCCAATTTTTTCAAAAAATAATTGCGCTTTGAAAACACTTATGTGTGCCATCAAAGTTTGAATTACTGTGTTCAAGGATTTTTAGTCTACTTCCTGTTCGAAATCCAGATTATACACATTGACTCATGGGCGGCTTCTCTAGAGAAGATCTCATTGTATCAATCCAATTCAACCCCTAGCAACTTTGATTTCCTACCTATGAACGGGGTCATCCTTCGCTTCAAATTGTCTTTTCTTTCCATTTCTGACCGCTTTGATAACCTTCAACAACCAACACAAACTTCCCCTTCTTTTTATATTTGCTGCTTCCTCCTTTCTCCTCCCCTTCTCACTGTCAGCTATAAATCGTAAAGCTGTCATCACCTAGAACTTTTTCGACCAGATCGTTCGACTCAATGGGTCGTTTTATGTTTGCCCTCTCGAGCACAACCACGGGGGCTCACAGATCACACTACTAACTGTTTATCAGTCAACCCGAAACCCGATGGCACCATATTTCTTTGTTTTATTTTGATTTTTTTTTGGCCTACCCCTCAAAAACAAACCAATGCATTTTGTTGGCTGATATGTACGGTGTTTGCCTGTGTAATCTATACAATAACAAAGCCACGAACAACGTGTACATTTCGTCTTAGGATTCTGTGTTTTCGTCGACAACGCCTTCTCCTTCTACGACTACTAGTTTCTTCGCATTTCACCCGCACGCGCCTAAAAACTTGTCTCATATTCTGATTGCTCTCGACTCATGTTTCATATTTTCTTACACCTTCTTTTGTGGACATATAGACATAATAAATGTATAATTTTTCCCAGTATTCTCCATTTTTAAAAAGACACTAGCATCTCCTGTTGCAGCACAGGAATACGAATACACATTTCGTTGCCACGTCAGCTTCTTCTTCTTCTTCCTCGTCCATATTTTTTGTATGCATTGCGCCCACACATTTCGTTCCCACATCTCCTCCCCCCGTCACGTTTAGTACTTTTTCTCAAATTTGCCAATTCCTATTTTTCATTATCCGGATGTTCTTTAGAGGAGTTGTAGAACTTGTTTCTATTGATCTTGATTCCTGTCCAATTTTTGGATTAGTTTGTTTTAGTCGGTATGCCTAGACTCTACAAAGAACAGGCACGTGGAAATCGGTAGATCAATCCTGCAGGACCAAACGTTCGGGTCTACTTTTGTTGTCTAAAAATTTTAGGATGCAAAAAAAGAGAAGAGAATGACGAACTCTGTCACCCCGATAATCCCTTTTTTCTATTTTTGCATAAATTATGTCTGAAAATGGAGCAGGTCATTGGTTACCCATTTCCTTCTCTTCTCCAACTTTTCATCTGGATTGTTTTACGTCAACCACCGGAACCAATCAAAACTTTTCGTTTTCCATAAAAGGCGAGTCCATAAGAGTCATTTCACTTCCACCCCATAAACCGCTGGAACCGTGTGACGTCTTCAGGGCTCTTCTGAATCCGTCTGAATCCCTACTTAGCCTCTCTTTTATCCGGACTTTATCTGGATACTTTCCACAGATTATTTCTACTCGGGTGGTGAGCCACATCAGCTTCCCTTGTTCATTTTCACATTCATTTCCATTTCCCTCTTCTTCCTCCTAACCTGATGAATCCTTTCAATTGTATTTAGTCTTCCCCTTTATTTCTAACATGATGTGTTGCTTCTCATTTTATGACGACTCCTCTCATGATTAGCAGGAAAAAAGGAAAATACTAATTGACTGAGTCAGTAGTAGTCTCCTAACGTCTCCTGACTACCCAAGGGCTTCTTTTTTGTCTGTAGCTTGAAAAATAAGTTCAATATGAAGTGGCGGGTCCTTTTGTTTTACTTTAGTTTGCTCTCAAGTGGTGACGTAAGCAAAATAAGAAGAAGAAGAAGAACAACTTATTCAGTTTGCAAACACTTCTGCATCTTTTTTTGTTTCTCTCACACTATTCATTAAAAATTTAGGTATCCCGAGGAAGGGCTTATTGTCTTGAGTGTCCAAATGTTCATAGTTCAATTTGTCTTGTCTTTCTCTGCAAAAAAACACTGAAAAGAAAAGAACAAAACATAAATCGGTTTTTTTCGAATGGAAGCGATCGTTGTCCATTTTTTGTTCGTTTCAACGAAAAACGATTATTCACAAGGCAAAGTATTTTTTCACACGCCTTCGAGTCGCTTCGCATTCGCGAATTCTCACCGTTGACGGCCCCGTAAATCTTCTGAAAAAGTCTTCGTTTTTTTTGTGAAGAAAAAGAGCAAAAAGAGCAAAAGCCATCCCCCGTGATATCTCTATAGCTCCTCCTCCTTCTCAAAAAGAGAAAATGAGAATCGTTAAAAAAGGAGAAACGGTGTTCTCCAATTCTCCTTTGTGTCCCTCTGATGGCCCCCACACACATACAAATAAACTAATTTGATGATTTTCGATGTTATTTTTTCTTTGCTCTGGATGTTAGAATTTAATGTACTTATAAACCGAGGTGAAAAGTCAGCTGCTACTATGCTTCTCGTATTTCTGTGACGCTGTGGAAGGAAATGGAAGAAGAAGACGAAGAACGACATTTCCCTTCTTTGTTATCGTCTTCACTCTATCAGGAGGTGTTCTCTAATTTCGTCCACACCCAAAGCAAAAAAAAAATAATACCATCACTTTGTGACCCTGAACTTCATTTTTTCGGCGATCGTCGCGGTTTACCTCACCTCTGACTATCACAATTGTTGTCCTCGTGACAACGTCACCCTAGACTATTCACACACTTTTTTCCCTATTAGTTCTTCGATTTTCGTGTCCGCTTATCTAGAAATTCTGACAAAAAGTTATCAATTTTTCATACAGTTCCAGCTGAAATAGCATCATGCCACTTTCACTTGTTTCTTGTTTCATGTTTCATTATCAAACAGTCGTCAACTCGCATTTTGTGAATTCGCTTCTTTTTTATTCCAGTCTAATTTCCTTGTTTCTAGAAAATGCACAATCCACTCAAAAAACTTTCCCGATCAATTTCACACAAACTTCTTGGCAAACGGTGAGTAATAACCATTATTAGAGAACCTTCGAGCAATCCATGCATTTTAGATCCAACGACAACCAGTCGACAGAGAGTTTTTCATCGGCATCATCGACCACTTCATCCACAGCAACAACTCCACAACAGAGCTCAATGGATGAGGATCCATACAGGGTTTGTTGGCTAATTGAAATATTTCGAAATTCAAAATTTTCCGATTTTAGGAGATTCTCCGTTCCTACGAAGACAATGTATCACACTTGGTTTATCATGGCTCATCGCTCCGTTCGATGACCTCTTTGGATATTCGGAAAAAATCTGACGAAGTACGCAGACCTGCCACTGTCGCCTCAAACCGAACAGTTACTTTCAGTTAAATATTCTTCTTTTTTCATCGTCTTACTGTATTCATCCACGTCACAATAACTTATTTTTTGTGCATACATTACGGTTTCCCCTCTCTTTTTGGATGGTCCCTGTTGACTGACAAAGTTCCGGTTATAAAGGAATAGCTGACATGTATTATTTTGTTTAAAATTCGAATACATCTATTTTTCATACCTTGCCTCCTCTGGAAGAAAACACGCTAGATGAAGATGCAACAAAAAGGAAACAAAACATATCAGTCTCTGTTCGTCTTCTTCCTAAACTTGAGCTGTCTGCGCCTCCTAATAATTAATTGTATCTCCTTTGTTAACTAGTTGTCTTACCAATTATGCCGAACGACATGCAACCACTCAATCAATTGCCACTTACCAAGGAGAAAAAACCATCGAAACCATCTTGAATCTATTAGCTTTTTGAATGCAAAACCAACTACAAAGACACAATACCAAAAGCGGAAAATGGTCATTCCGATGATTCGACTTTTGCTGACAGCGTTGTTTGTGTTGTATTTTGTGATAGCACAAGGTATGTGATTACTGTATTAATTCAGAATTCTAGAATAAGACTCTTAGATCATCTAAGGAAAATCAGTGGAGATGCAGCTCCGGAAAAAGCACAGGAACCACTCGATGAATTTGGTATGACTTATGATAATGACTAATAATAAACCAATCATTTTTCATCATTAAAGATGATTTCATACCGACTATTGACTCATCGGTACGATTAGACAGTAATATTCCGGAGCCTCCACCATTACCAATTGGTCTACAGTATGTTCGGAAGACGGAACCAGCTCTACCACCATCAGCAAATGTGGCTCCTCCATCCATCAGACCACCTGAACCTCCTACCACAACCCCGGTACCAACAACAACAACATTCAGATTGAATCAAACAATTTCAATTCCATATGATGACGAATTTCCAACTACAGTAATCGGGTTCTTGTTTTTTTTCAACTTTTATTGTCTGTTTATAGGTTGATGTTGATGAAGAATTGCCAGAACCAACTGATGATCTAGAAGAGTTCCAGAAGGCAGACCTACTGGAAAAAGAAGAACGGAACAGTGGGAAGGATCTCGTGAAAAAGACGATGATAAACACAACTAACGACTACTATATCACGTCTCCAGCCAGTCAGTTATTTTTTTTGTTCTGTTGTTCAATCTCTGATTTTCAGCAACTGTGATGTCAGATCTTCAAGAGGACATTGCTGGGGGAGATAGCTTTTTTGATTCCGACAAGCTTTTCGATAAAAAAATATCCGTAACGGATACCATACCAACAACAGATGATAGTGTTGAGTCGAACACAAAAAGTGGGGATGTTCTACTGTTCTTTCATCTAGACATATTTTATAGACACCACCACCACAACTACGACTTCAACGACCACGACGACTTCCTCTCCAAAGACTCGTGTCATGACAACTCATGCAGCCCACCAGAAGACGTGTATTCATGTGAAGGAACTGAAAGCCGTAGATGACTCAGTTGTAGCTCAAGGTTTGTGCTTGAGAGAAAATGTGCATTCAAAATAGGAAATTATGAACTATCGGTGGTTCTTTGAAATATACATTGGTAAAAGAACATACCGTAAAACCTGTACTAGAAGGGCATCTTTAATTGAAGCGCCCTTCTAAGGAAGGGCCGTCCAAGAGGGAAAAATAGAAAGGTCCCCTGTTAGGCTCTCCGGAGGTACCCCGGAACAGTATAAGGGGCTGCCCATCTAATACAGGTTTTACGGTAATAACATTTCTGGACAATGTATTGTCTACATTTTATCTAAAAATGGATCAAACTTTTTCAGCTGGCGTCAAAAAAGGGACAATTGAAGTTTCCGTGGAATTGGGTGAAGAAGACGATGTGGAAACTAACGATGATTCTTCAGAAGAAGCAGAAGAAGAACGACGAGTTAGGCAAATCAGGAACAAGAAACCTGTAGTTTGTGAGAACATTTTGACCTCTTATCAAATATAACTATTTTTTTTCTAGGGAAGAAGTTCGAGATGAACTGCGATGAAGAAGTCGATGACAAGGGAAAGATCTGTAAAGTGGGTCCTTTCAAATCTGAAAAATAAGTTTTTCTTTCTTGAATTCCTCATTTTCAGCTCTGGGCAGCAGGTGGCCTTTGTGGAACTCATAAACCTACAATGTTCCTCTTTTGCCGAAAAACATGTCTTTGTGTTGGACCAGATTGAGAAGAAGAAGAAGAAGAAGAAGAAGAAAAAGTTCCCATGGTTTGTGACGTTGTTGACTTCGCTCTTTATCACTTTTTGTGTGTGCATTGAATTGTTTATTTTTACTTGAAAAGAATAAAGAAAGATTGATTTCTGGTGGTTGCGGAAGCGAAAGCGAGAAGAAGAATAATTTAGTAATGAGTGTGCTCTGTGAGAATAGAAATAGAAAATACTGAAATAGGAGAGAAGCGAAGCGAAGAAGCAGAAATCAAAGAGCGTAGAAGATCGGAAATAGATTTATAGAATGTAGTGAAGGGCTCCAGCAAGCAAATTGATGTCTGAACGGAGGGAGTTCACAGCCAACATTATGGAACGAGAGTTGTTGAGGACTTCGACGCTTTCAGTGTATGGGTTGTAGCGAACAATGAACGGACGCTTCATGTTGTTTGTGAACATTCTGGAACAATTTGTTTAGAACTATGATCCCTTAAAAGCTGACTCATCACCTGAGCTTCTGTTGAGCCTCTTCGAAGTTTCTAGTGTAGAAATAGGCAGATTGGAAGGTGGTAATTAGACATTCCTGTTCGACAACACGGTCCGGATCAAAGCGAATGATTGTGGCACTTCCCTCGACAGCATGTTGCAATTCTCCTGCGCTGCTGAGAAGACCAGCTCCGTAGACTTTGAATCTTTCATTGTTTGATCCATGTTCCTTCATTGGGGAGTCAGCCGCGTCATCAGAAGATAATCCAAACTCAATCGAGAAGAAGTAGAGCTTAAAAATCAATTAAAGATTTAATTCACTTCCATCGAAGTAAGATACCGTAGCGAGCTTCTTCAAGTCCTCCTCAGAGGCTCCCAATGAAGCCAATCCAATCTCTTGCGAGAATTGAGCAAAGTCTGGGTCTGCGAAGAGAGCCATGTGACCCATCAGTTCGTGGACCGTGTCTCTATAATTCAAGAATATCAATGGCGCTGATTCTAGAAGGTCCCTACGGTTCCGGAGTGTAGAATGGATCAGCATGATGACGGACGTATTGGGTACAGAAGAAAACGCGATAGGCCAATCCAGCCAAGAAATCACGAGCCGAAAGATATCCAGCTACTGGGCGGACACGAAATCCAGTTTTGGCTGAAAATAGTGATTCGTTTGGTCCTAAACTTCTTGAAAAACCTTTCAGGAACTTGCAGATATCTTCCAATTGGGGAATATTGTTTTCCGAATATCCACAATGTCTCTCCAGGAGGTCGAAATTGTCAAGAAACTGCTTGCATGCATATCTGAAATCAAACATCAATTCAATCGAAAATTTTCACACGAAATCTCACTTCTTGTGCAATTCGCGCAACTTTCTGTAAATAACACCCCATGTTTTTCTCTCAGAATCTGTATATTCAATTCTGGGAATCGGCTCGCCACTGTAAACAACAAAGATGTTATCTAAATGTTCAAGAAAGATCATAAGATTACTGTTTATATTGGAGAGCGAGTTCGCCAAACATCATGCGACGCTCCCGATACTCCTTGTCTTTGAATCCCTGAAATTCGAATTTTGCAACTTTTCAGGGTTGAGGGATCTTACGGGATGGTCAGCATCGAGACCAGCCCCATACATGATGACTCTCTTGGCACAAATATCCAAGTCGTAAATACTTTTAGGAAACCATTCGGATCCAGTAGTGGCATCTGGAATATTCTTCCTCAAAAAATTATTTTCAAATATTCTGAAATACCATCAGATCCTGGTTCAGTGTATTGCTCCTTGATTGCAGTTGGACGAATAGTGAAAGAGACTTCGTGGACATCGAGTCCATTCAATCTCATCAGATCAATAGCCTCTTGCTTTCCGTAATGGAATAGCTCAATCTCCAAAAGTACATCCATAGTGGTAGTACTACCATCTTGGCAGTCACGGGTCTCCAGATGCTTGATACGTGTCTGATCCGGAAGATTCGCGATCATTTTAGCGATATCCTCAGAGACACGACTCGATTTGACGATGATTGTGAGAACTTGAACACCATCTTCCTCGTCTCCCTCGCGAATTGAAGCTTCTTTGCGAATAGTGCGAGCCGGAGTGAAGAGCTATTACAAGGCTAAATATCTGAAATTTAGGAGAGGGAAACTAACTTGCTTGACGTCTTCCTCTGGAACAAATGGGATTCCGAGAGATCCACTGCGACGGAATCTTCTCTTGAAATCTTCCATGCGGTTGTCACTGGAAATGGAGCTGAAAAAGATGATTTGAAAAAGAAAAGTTCAAATCGAATGGAATTAGGCGAATGGGGGAAATGTTTATCATAATATCAAAAATAGTTCATCAGTTGATAGCTTTTTATGTCTTTCACAGAAATCGAGATAAATGAGATCAAAGTTAACGGTTCGGGCAGGCTTCTATCTGAGGAAATACGGTATACCTTCTTCAAAAAATTAAAAAATAATTTAAAAAATTAATGAAATTAATCCCCAAATAAATAACTCATTAACTCACACACTGTTGGACATTGTCTTTCCAACGGCCTTCTTCGAGTAGTACTGAAACTTCATTGCCGACGCCATCTGAAACAACGTGTCCATATGAAGGAGATACCAATGCAACCTAAAACGAACGAAAATGGTGAGATGAGATGGGCTCTCCAGGCGAAGGAGGTCTCTCTGGCTGCCTGATTGATTGTTCTATTATGCACAAAGCGCAAACAGACACCTCCTCCTTTCTCCTTTCGGATATCAAATGGCCTTCTGAAAATCGGCACGTATTATACTATGCCACCACACAATCCAATATCCGTTGGGGCATGAAATGAAGAAAATGAAGTCTTCAGAAAATAAGGCGCCACTCGATTTATTTCGGCTGTCATGGTTTCCGTGGGAAAATAAATGAGCCGCTTGTGATGATGGGAAGAAAAAGGCGAGGAGATGAGAGTGATGTCAGATTTGAGACGAGATTTCGAAAAAAGAAAAATGGGCGAAAAGTCATCAAGGACTCACTTCAGACGATTCTTGAAACTATACGAAAGTGGGAGGAAGGGACGGGGCTACGGTAGTCGGAAGCTTGAAGGTACCGTCATACAAAATGACGTGAGATACTCACATTAACTGATGTGAAAACATGAGAGAACACAGGAAGCTACAGAAACTGAAACTCCTTCTAAAACGTTATATTGGTTATTGAAAAGTTACCGTATTTAAACTGATAAAATGTTTATCGTGATATCAGCAGTATTTTAGCAGTTGACAAACTTTTGATATCTCTCATAGGAACCGAGATAATTGGGCTCAACGTATAGGGTGGGCTTCTGTTAGAAAAAAAACGGTAGATTCTGACAGATTTCACAAAATTTTTACATGGTTCTGGAACCTCTGGTTAACCGTATAGAGTATTTCAAACACTCCGTTTGGAAAAAGATAATCATAGCATATACCGTGAAACCTGTAGTAGAAGGGCCCCCATACTGTCAAGTTTGAGCTCAATCCTCTTATCAGTAGACAGTATGTTTATATTTTTACAGTAACCGAGATAAACTGCCTCAAAGTGAAAAGTTTCAAAATGAAAAGTTATTACAGGTTTTACGGTATCATATTTGCTCTGATAAAAGTTTACCCCAGCCGTCAACGTTGATCTCAATTATCTCGGTTCCTGTGAAAGATATCAAAAAGTTGACAATTAATACAGTACCAGACGGTTTACGCCCCTTCGGGGATAAACCGTCTGGCTCCCGCTTACAATACCCGGAATCAAATGAAAAAGATTTTGACTTTTTTGAAATATACCTAAGCTATGGAAGCTGTGATGAAACAAAAACAACATCCGATAGAAAACTTCTGAAATTCCCAATTCTCACCCTCCTTTTCTCAAAGCTCAAACTGATATTTTCATTTTCTTCGATTCAGAAATGTAGATATTCATTTGAAGGTTCAATACTTCTGAAATTTCTTCAAATCAAAAAATCTAAAGCCCGGAAATTCAGAACTTCGGAATTGTAAAAAATTCGAATTTTATAGTCTCGAACTACGAAATTTGGAAATCGATATTTAACAAAATTCAAAGTTACGAAAATTCGGAAATTCTAAAGTTTGCAGTAAAAAGCATTGTAAAAAGTCATAGAAACCGAGAAATTCGGATAATCAGAAATGCATGAAATTCGAAATTAGAAATTTGGAAAGTCGGAAATCCAGAAACTTAGGGATTCATGAATTTGATTTTCTGAATTTGAATATTCTTAAACCCATATTTCTATAACTGTCAAATTCTGAAATTTCTGCTTTCCAAAGTTTAAGGTTTGAGAATTTCTGAAGTTCCAAAATGTTTTTGCATTTGCAAAATCAGAAGTTCGGACATTCGAAAACACTCATATTCTTGGAATTCAAAGACCGAATTTCAAAAAAACCGAAATTTTTCAAAACTCAAATTTTTAAATTCATAATCTCAACAATTTATATTTTGCCAAATTCGTAAATTCAGAGAAATTAAGGTTCAAGTTTAAAGTCTAGAAAATTCAAAGAATCCTGAAAGCACGTTTTCTTCATCATTCTCATTTTTCAGCTATTCCAGTCCTTTCCCTTCAAACTTCAAAACCCATACTGAAAGCTATTTTTCCAAACTTTTCCTCTTTTTCAAAGCTAACGTGGATGAGAAAAATACTGGGCGGTTAGACGACGACGTGAAAATTACTCCAATAATTTTATTGAAGATTTGTACTGGAAGAGAAGAAAAACGTCTCCAGAAGACGTCAGAAACAAAATTTTGAAAATAAAATGGGTCGGGCAGCATCTCATAAAAATTTCCGATTCATCCGTCTAAACTCCAGCTCAATCGGTTAACGTTGAGTAGGTCAACAGTCACGCGACACACATCCTCACGTACAGAATTTGGTGTTTGTTATTAGTAATGATTGGGGATATTATGTTTAAAAATTGACGAATGTTAGACATTTTCCACAGGAATCAAGATAAATGAAATTGTGTTGGATGGGTTTCGGCTTAGGAAATACGGTGAAACTATAGAGTTGCCTCTACTCATCAAATTCAAGCCAAGTTTTCTCAGTTTCAGTGAGAAGTATCAAAAAATGTTAACTAACAAAACGTTCATCATAAAATAAAATATTTTATCAGTTTAAACTTTTCGATATATTTATTTTAGCATTTGAAAAATCAAAAATCTTTCTTTCCAGAACTTCTCTCGTAGGATCTGCGGCAATGAAATCAGCTTTATTCCCTACATTACATATGTAATGCTATCCCATCTCCCCCCCCCCCTCGTTTCTTTCTCTTTATCTTTATATAAATTGAAGGTTCCTACTGTAGTATTTCTTCCCCAATCCATTTGCTTCAGCTTCTCCTTCTTCTTCCGTTCTTCTGCATTCTTTTATCATTGTCGTCCGCACCTCATTTGCGGTGGTTCCCGGACTACATCAAGATACTCATTTACGTTCCATTGTCTCTTCTTTCCCGTTGTCGAGTTTTTTGTCTCTTCTTTTTCCCCATATCTTCTTCCCAACTTCCTCCTTTAACGACTTGCGCCGCGGCGCCTTATTCCAAAACTGATTATCCGTGTTCGATGAGAAGATAAGGAGGCACGAAGAAGAAGAAGACGAGGAAAAAAAGTGAGGAGGAAAAAGAAAACTTGGTAGCAACAGCTGGATTTCGATTTTTGCTGCTGCTGCTTCTTGCTTTGCCCGGATACGCGCACATTCCTTTATCCGAAATGTGTCGTCCAGCTTTTTAGACACAAAAAGACAATAAGAAACCAAGAGAAGACATTATTGCGAAAAAGTTTATTTTTGATACGAAAAAAAGACACCCGAAACGGGCGAAATTGATCATGACTTGGATGGCGATTAATAGCCTGGTGGGGTACGTGGTGCTGAAAATAATAGGTTGTGATTTCGGAAACCAAAAAATGGTATATCTTACGTGGGCAATGTCCGCAGTCTCCCTTCTCTCCGTTGTCTCCTGGTGGTCCAGCTGGTCCGTTTGGTCCTGGACGACCCTCGTGTCCTGGAGTTCCGGAATCTCCAGGTGGTCCTGGTGGTCCTTGGTAGGATTGTCCGTCTGGTCCTGGGTTTCCTTTCGGTCCTGGAGGTCCGATTGGTCCTGGCTTTCCTGGTGGTCCTTGTGGTCCCGGCACCGGAATGAGGCGTCCAGCGGCTCCTGGCGCTCCCTTCATTCCGTCGCGTCCTGGTCTTCCAATTGGTCCTGGCTGTCCAGCCATTCCATCGTCTCCAGACTTTCCGTCTTGTGGTGGCTCTCCTGGAGATCCCTTTGGTCCTGGTGGTCCCTTTGGTCCCATAGCTCCCATTGGTCCTGGTGCTCCAACTGGGCAGATAATGCATGGCTCAGAAGCTGGTGCTGGGAGAACCTCGGCGTCTCTTCCGTTCTTTCCGTCGTTTCCGTTTCTTCCATCCTTTCCGTCGTTTCCTGGTGGTCCTTCTGGTCCTGGTGGTCCAGCAGCCCCCTGGTTGCAAGTACAGCAAACAGCGGCTGGCTCGGCATTAACAGCGGCTCCATAGCCACCGTATCCGGCAGTGTTGGCGCTGCTTCCGCCACCATTAGATGCTCCGGATCCGTAGTTGTTTCCTCCGGAACCACCTCCACCAGCAGAGGTCTCTGGGATCCATTGTCCGAAGAGCCAAGCTCTCTTCATACGGTGTCCCATTCCCTTTCCAGCTTGAAGAGCAGTCATCTCGAGCCACATATCACGAGAACGAGCCTAAAGAGAAAAAATGTGAATGTGAGAACGAGATGAGAGATGAATGAAATTCTAACAAAAAAATTAAATGAAATGATTACCTTGCAATAGTCGGTTTCAACCATAAGATGAGATTGGAACGACTGAACATAATTGTAAAGCATTGGAAGTGTCACAACTGAAGCGATAACTGCGGCAGTCGAAACGACGACGGCAACAAAAGCGATGCGTCGCATTTGCCGTTGCTCTTCTGTCTCTTTGACGTCCATATCTGCTTGTATGAGGCCGATCGGATCTTCTGCTCGTTTCCCTTCCGCGCCTTTTGTAGTCGTCGCCGAAGAACTGGATAACTGCGTCGTCAAGTCCCGCCTCTATATCTGTGTCTCTCTCAAAAAATACAGGCAAAAGTCGGTGGTGGCGCTGGGCGCCCAGGAGAAGAGGCGATAACCGATTCAAACCTGGGAAGAGAGTGAATAAAAGGATACCCGAGATCCGTATACACCTGGCAATGAGTGTGGAATTGAAAGTGTGAGGGAGGAGTGGAATGATGAGAGGGAAGGTAAAAGTTCAAATGATTTTGGATAGGTCAACTTGGTTTAGGTTCTCACATAAGTTGTCAGATAAACCGGATAGATTTGAAATCGTTGGCAAGTCATATTTCTGACAGAAAAGCCAATATTCCTTCTGAACTATTACTTGGGTGCATGAATATACCATAAAACCTGTATTAGAAGAGCCCCTCTGAATGGAGAGTTCCTCTAATAGAAGGGTCCTCCGAGAGGGGCTTGGAAAGATAGAAGGGCCTCCTTCAAAATGTGTTGGTTGAAATTGAAATTTTTTGTACCTTTTCAGTGAAAAATATTCTGAAAAATCCAAGCGTCCACAGAAATTTGTTCAAAAACTCTTTTTTTTTGCTAAAAAATCCGCTCAATTTCGGTAAAAATTGATGGATTTTTATGAATTTTGAACGATTTTCTATCAACATTTTCTGGAAAAAATAGAAGAGCTCCCTCTAATTGAAGGGCCTTTCTGATAAAGGTTTTACAGACAAGAAACTCGTGGCCGAAGGTCCCACAACCATAACTACCGTAACCGGAAAATATTTTTGTTTCCCGAATTTATTATTCGATTTTCGTGCGTTTTCAGACGATCTGTTTAGACTTTTTGGATAAAAATTACAGAAAAATCGACTGAAATCAGTAAAAAACAAGTTAGATTACGGTAGTTGTTGTTGTGAGACCCTCGGCTAAGGCCACCGAGGTTTCTCGTCCCCAGCTCGATTTTTTTGTGCCAGAATAATAGTCTTGTTTAGTATTAAAGGTGGGGGGACAGGAGATTTTTCGTAGGTTTTTTGTAGCTAGGGATGCATTCTACCGTGACGGTGTACAACGCTTAATGTCACTCTGCGTACAGCGGTCGTCCTCACCTTTATGAATGCAATCGGGCGTTCTTTCTTTTCTAAGATCTTTTGGCTTCAAAGTCTATCTCTTTCAATTTCATTGCTCTTTTCTGAAAATCTGTAATTTGCAAATGTCTGAAATTCTTGTGCTGCTTCTGCGTCTCTAAATTATATTATCACTCTCTTATCTCACTATCCAGCCTATCTCTCTTATCATCCATTATAATTGGATAAGTATGTCACTTGATTAACTGGTAAGCTGTTATCATTTTTCGTCGTCGTCGTTGCGCGTTCCTCGTTTCCAGGATAGATGATAAACAAGTTTCACTTCCCCGATAAACCTATTTCTTTCGTCCAGTACTATCCTATACCACTAACGATATGTGATATGACTTTGTTTTTGACGATGTGTTAAAGGTTTCAGAAAACTAGAGTTTTATGATAAAGATGAGAATAAACCTCGAACGAACCACTAAATCAACCAAAAAATGCAAATTGGAGAAAATGAGGTGTGAAAATAATACAGTTTAAAAAAGGGGGAAAAGCACTGGGAAGATTGACGATTTTTGATGGTATGAAATTGTGCATAACTACAACGTTTTGAATGGGGATTCCAGCTCACAGATGATCTCAAAAAAAAAAAGCAAAATAGTGTAATATGGAAAGCAAAGAGAAGAGGGAAGGAAGTGTCCCGTAAAGAGATGATTTTCTTTGTGGGGTTTAGGTTTCAGGAAAAAAACTTTTAAAAAGATACATTGAAATAGGTTAAGACGTCACAGACGTAGAGAAAGAAAACACTGAAAATAGAAGAAACATTAGTTAAAGTACAAAATAACAACTAGATTGCGAGATGCTAAGACGCGCAGGAGAAAAATAACTAAATTTGGATGACTAAGTGAACAGAAATTATTTTTTCTCGTCGCGAAGAGCTTGCGAAAAGTCTGTTGGCAGTTTCGGAGCGTTGGGATCTATCGGTGCATTCGAGATCGGAGCTTGATTCGCGGCTTCTTCTTCCAACGAGGAGTTTGATGATGACGGAGAACATGCGGAGGGAACCACGACGCCCATTCGCAGCTAAAATATTTGAGTGAACAACTATAAATCATTCATTGTTATACCTGATGAAGAGCTGGTATAGTTGTCGGCTGTGAAACTGTGAGAGAGATGGTTGGCGGAGCGATGAGTCCCATTGCTGTTCTCAGAGAGTTTGATCCGCTGAATAACAAGCTTCCGGGTGTTATCATACCGTATTGAAACAAAACTTACTTGCTAGTAGAACTCTCAGGCCGAACGTGTTGAGGATTTCCAACTCTTCCCATATTACCCATTGCGAGAGCTGAAAAGGAGGAAGGACCGTTTAGCAACGGAGATCGAGAGTTGGACTCGATGAAATGCTGCAGGAAGTTTTCGTCTGGAACTTAAAACAAATAATTATCAGCATACTTTCGGTTGAACTAACGTAGTGAGCCGTCGTTGCTGTTTGCAAGGCCGAGTGCGTTGATCAAAGAATCGTCTTCTAATCCACGGAAAGGAGTTATTCGAGGTGTTGTGATTGGTGAAACGACGATTGAATTGCAACCAGACATCGACATCATAGTTGGTTTCAAAGCAATTGGAGCAACTAATCTTACAGAGCCAGCTTCGACTGGACTGGACGTCATTTTTACCGGAGGAGCTCCACTGGTTGATGGTTGATTTTGAAGTAGCTGTTGACCATGCTTCTCTTCTATCTTTTGTAATATTTTGCTGGAAACAAAAGTTGACAAAAGTTCTTCCTAAACAATAAGAGCAAACCTAAAACTTGTCGTATCTCCTCTGGCTGTTGTGAATTTCGTTGGACTACCCATGAAACCGTTACTTTCTCGACTAATCAAATTGGATACTGCTGCGTGTGGTGGTGACACATCACTTCCCGTTCCATTACCGTCTAGAATACCTGATAAAGTAAAGCATTACGGATTTCGGAGATAAAACATACTGTCAAGCAAATCAGAGCTACGATTCAAAAATTCGTACGGGCTCTGGACACCAGTATGCGTTCGTTTTCTTCCGGATTGAGTTGGTGTTGTGCAAATAGATGTCAGAGCGTTTACTATGTTTTGAGCTGTAAATAACGACTTCTGAGAAATATCGAAATGTTGAGTAACTTACCGTGAGTTTGAGGATCGGGATGATTTCTCTCATCAACCACTAACACTCCGACATCTCCATGAGTTCCGGCGTTAACTCTGATTCGTCGGACCGGCTTCGTTGTACGATAAACATGATTTATTGGTTCTTGACTTTGATAGTCCGCGATTTGGTTCTCCTGTCTGTTGGTCCTATTGCCGCCGAGATTATAGTTTCCTTGAGGCTGCCAAATCGAGCTATTTTGCCCGAGCATCAATCGCTCTTTATATTCCTGATTGCTGTTTATACTCGTGACTTCTTGATTGGTGCTGAAATTAATGTATTGAAAAACTGTTCATCGCAAGTCAATATATACTCACCTGGAATTCGGCGAATCATCTGAGTTTTTCGAGGGAACATCGTTTGAATCTTCGCAAATTTCCAGAGGCTGATTATCAGTAGGCAGTTCATCAGTAGGTAATTCTGTGGTAATCAGTGGTGGAGGAGGTGGCAGACACAAGACTGAGCGCTTTGGATCGAAATAGTTATTGTCGATAGCGTTTTTATTCTCTAAGTTAGCGTAAGAATTAGGTTGTTGAAGAGTAGCTCGACCACCTGAAAAAAATAAATGTATTCCAATTCTCAGAAGGATCGCTCACCAAAATATGTATGGCATGCTTTTATTGGATCATAGGAAAGCACGATAGGGTCAGAAGAATCTGCATTCGGACCCCACATATGGGCTGCAGAGGTTAATGGCTCGCCAGGCTCTTGCTTTATCATCGCGTGAATATCCGGCGGTATGGCATTGTATGTAATTTTGGTGTTCACATCCTTCAGATATGTTGCCATGAAAATATCCAATCCGCGAACAGAAATCGATAAATGAAACGGGTTGATACATAACGGATTCGAGCAGGTTTCAACTCTCTCCAACCTTTCACCATCGGTACTTTCGAGAGGTATTCCCTGCAATGTGTTGGTTTCAACAAAAATAGAATCGCGAAAATTTACCTTGAACAAAATTATAGTAACAAGGTCTAGCCGCCATACTTTGTCAGACTGGCGCAGGATATCAATGCGCCGCATTTTGCCTCTTTGATCTGGAACAGTGAGAACGCATTTGTCGGGCTCGATTCCAGAAACCTGTAACACGTTAGTTTGAAATTAACAAAAATGGGATCTAAACATACAACTGAAATGAATGCGTCCTTGTAATCAGCACGAATATCTTTGCGAAGCTTGTTGAGCAGCCTCGACGCCCATACTACTTTCGCATCGTCAGAATCGTTCTGTAATTCCAACTTATTCGGGTGAGTTATACGTTTTCTGGGTTCTTTATTTTACCTGTAATTCAGCCAGCTTCTTGTTCTCTTCATCTGCATTCATCCGTTTTTCGTGATCTTTCGGATGCTTTCGTTTTGCCGCCTGTAATTTTATTTATTTATTTCTAACATTATCATGCTTACTTACCTGTAGATGGAACCAATTATAAGCACTCGCTCGAACGTATGGTAAACACTGTTCCACGAACGGTCCGTCTTCCTGGGGGTAGGGACTGTAGCATTTGACTTCATTCGGTCTGGGACTCACTGCATCTGGGGAATTAATTCGATTCCAGTTGTTGGAAGGCGGTGGCATTGTGGGTTGAGGCGGCGTTGACACTTCGGCATCTGATGTCGAAGCAGCGTTGGCCGACGATCCACTAGAAGCATTCACATCCACCTGAAACTGATTCAGAATATTTTTTTTTTGCTTAGGGAAAGCAAAACAATATAATTATTGAAAAACTTTGGTTTTTTGCTTGGTGTTTAATAAAATGAAAATTATGTGAAACATTATGACTAGGACCTAAGAATCGCCAATTTGAGGAGTTTATACTTGAAACCTATAGCTCTAGTCAACTATTCAGGTGTTGTTCAGGTTCGCATAAGCGCATATTACCGTCTGTTGGATAAAGTCAGCAAAGCAATCAATATGCCGGCGGATATAGAAAAAGAACTTGCAAACTTGTGAATTCGGGTGATATTTTAATTAATTTAACAGCCAATACCTTTAAATGGGGATCCATGTGCTTTCTCATTTTTCCTCTGAACATAAAATCGCAATCTCAGAGCGACTTTTGATGATAAGCTCAGATGAACTGCATTCTGTAATAGTTTCAAAATCAATAAAAGCAACAAGGGAGGATAGGATAATTTGAACGAATTTGAAAGGATAAAGTTGGAATAACGATGGGAGAAGTTTATCTTAATATTGAGGTCATTGCCAATGCAATACAAGCTAAAATCGAGCAGGAAAATTTCTGCAATTTATCTTGTTGTTATCTTGTTGACGAATGGACTAATTTAGTGCTTTGGAACTTGTTAGGATTGACAAGATTTGACTGTAATGCAAACTCAACATTTTTCTTAATTTTTTCCATGTGTGTCCAATTTTACAAGCACAGAAGGTAGGAAAACCCTGTGAATCAAACGACGGTAAAAGGGGGAGAATAGAGCAGAAGTAGGCGGCCGGCTGAGGGAAAACTAGTCCAGCGGTCACCAGGCAGAAATCGTTCGCGGACAGAATATATAAATACTTGTTTCCAAGAGTATTTTACTGTTCAAGAAAATAGCGATTTTTTGTTGTTCACAAGAAAAATTCTCAAAAGAATGAAAAAAAACCGAAAAAAAATGATTGCTGCTTTTCTCTTTCTCTTTAATTCAGGAAAATTATTCAAAAACGTTCAAAAACGCGAAATATGAACGCCGCACCGATCAATAACCGTAGCTCACTTTAAAGGCGCAACTAGCAAAAAGTAAAATCTCCCACAGCGATCAGCACATTCCGCAAATAAAATCGAGTTCAGAAGTTTTTTGAGCCAAATATTTGCATAAAGCTATGTTTTGAAATCAATTTTAATATATTTCACTAATATTTTGACCTGCAAAAATGTGTGAGCATTCTTTCATTTACGAACACGAGAGACATAAAAATATATTAAAATTACAGTAATCTTTTAAAAATAAAGAAAAACAAAAAAAGTTTGCAAGAACGAAAAGTGACTATCAAAAAGCAGATTCCTCATATCTTGACAACGAATTTCCCTTAGCCGACAGGCTTGCATCTGACTGATGAACTGCAGACTTGAATATTCTTCTTGGCGCTGGAGAAGGTTCCGGAGTATACTCCTCGACTTGAACTTCTTCCAGAATCTCCATTCTTTTTGGTTTCGGTGGCCGATTCTTATATGCAACTGGATAGGATGGAGAAGTTCCACCTATGTTTGAAATTTCGCTTTCCGTACCATCAAATGTATTGTCCTGAAAGAATATTGTTAGAATATTTCCTCGAGTTTCAGATTTACTAAATTCTCTGAAAACGAAGAGGAGACCAGGATGTCCAATAGTTTACTTCATGCAGTGTGTTTTGTTGAAAATCAGAAAATTAGAACATATTTATTTACAGAAAATCAATGAATGTGTACAGGTCTCATGAAATATGCTAGTTGAAATGTTTAGTTTTGTACTTTTTCCCAGAACACCTCTGGTCTCCCCTTCTTAAAAACGTTCTGTTGTGGAAACCACCTTCACAGACTGCTCAATATATTCATATTGCATTTTCAATGTTTGAAAATATGTCCTCCGAGCCACGATGAATGCCAGCATTTTCAGACAAATTAGAAGAACACAAACTGCAGCAATAATGGAGCCATATTTTATTGCTGCAAACGGAAGAGTTCAATAATTAGAGCCTTCGTCGTGTGCCTATTCTGTCTAATAACATTTCTAGTTATTACGCACCTCTTGCTGTTTCCGGATGAGTCTCATTAGGGTTCGCGTAATTTGGAGATTTGATGTCATGGGAAGTACGAGTCCGACTTGTTCTGAAATGTATAAAGCATGGGCGTTGTCAACCTAAGTCAATCTTACGAAGGTCCTCCCAAAGATTCCAGGGACCACATAACACCACTAGCCACTGCGCTCAAAGCTGCATACAGCCAAATCAGCAACCAGAAAATTGTTACTAGCTGAAAAGTGTATATTGTGATTTAGAACTAGGTACCGTAAAACCTGTAGTAAAAGTGACCTTCACTTCAAACTTTGAGCCAATTTTTTTCGGTTCCTGTCAAAGATATAAAAAATTTGTTAACTGATAAATTGTTTATCATAACATGAAAAATATTTTATCAGTTAACACATTTTTGATATCTCTTATAGGAGCCGAGATATTTGAGCTCGAAGTTGACAGTGTGGGTGCCCTTCTATTACAGGTGTTACGGTAGGTAGGTTTTTACTTGATAGGAAAGCATTGGATAAGAATAAATAGGTGATTGCTTTGAGAGACACATGTTATATGTGATAATGGAGAATACGACAAAAAACAAAAAGGCGAAATTGACGAATACGGGATCTGAAATAATTCAACAATTTGGAATAGAAAAACCTCTTTTTGCAATAACTTACACCATGATGGGGAGTAGATTATCGAACAAATCGATAAGACCAACATTAATTTGCCAAGAATCGATTCGAATACTAACAAAACTCTCGAGGCAATCTACAAAAAATATTTTTGATGATTCAAATTATTACAATTCGATGGTTACCTTAAATTTTAATCCAAAAATCTTGGGAGCATGAGCATAAGGACTTACATGTCGGGGTATAGTTTGAGTCATCAGGAAAATAGCAATACGACGGGTGGAGGAGGAAAGCGACTGGTATCACAGGCATCATGATAACGACTTTTATAGTGCGTGGAGCCGATGTGCAAACATAGAAAATTAAAAACGAACAGAACAAAAATGAACTATTGAATTGAATTTTACATTCGTTTGACATTCAATTTTCTAAAGGTATGGCTATCCAGAAAAGGATTCAAGTGAAGAAGTTACATATTTAATTTAATTTTAAGTATTCAGAGGAATTCGTCAAATTGGAAAATGACATCATTAGAATGGATTTGTTTACATAAACAAAAAATAATTAAACTTTTGTTATAATTTCTTATTCTATTCACAGGTCAGTCAGCCGGGTTGCCCAAAAGCGGACGAATGGCGGGTGAAGATCTGAGGACCGGCTATAATTTGCGTATTTGAAAGGCAAACATGAATAATCGGACTATAATGAAAATTTCTGACGAAAAATACATTCCATACTTTTTGTCCCAAATTGTTCCCCATTTGCTGAAAGATACAAGTTACAACCAATTTTAAAGTATTTAGCCGACATTCGTACGCTCATCGGCAATCCCACTTTACCTATGTTCATTTTCTTCTTCATATTTAACTTTAAACTTGAAAAAATTGGAAAAAACCAGAAATTTGGTTTTTCAATGAATTTTCCTCCTGTTTTTCTCAATTTATGTTGAGCAATTTCTTTACTTTTCACAAAAGTGTCCAACTAATTTGCTTGAAAAACTGTTAGAAAAGCAAAAATTGGTTGAACATTTGAGAAATCTAGAAAAATAATGACTGGGAAATTTCCCGGTTTTCCTGAAATTTCCCGAAAAAAATTGTGGAATGAGAAAAATTCGGAAAAACTCCAGAACCTTTGTCGGGAAAACTGGGGAAATGGGATATTTCCTGAGACCTCATGTCCTGATCCTCCAGTTATTGAAAATAGCAAAATTTGATTTAAAATCTTGATTTTTGTTTATTCAAAAGTTTAGTTCAAACTTGTCTGTCGGGAGTGTAGCATTTAGATTAGAGTGCAGTAGAGAAATCTATTCTACATCGCTCGTTGCGCTCAAATATCTCAATTTCTATAGGAGATATCAAAAATGTGCCAACTAAAACAATGTTGGTGATATTATGATAAACACTTTATTAGTTGAAATATTTCTGATATCTCTCATAGAAATTGAGATAATGGAGCTCGAATAGGGTGGCCTTCTAATAGAGTGTTTATGGTAGTTTCATACTCTGTAAATCAGTTGTTTTGGGCAAACAATTTTGGATCAAATAAACTGATATGCAGTTTTTCGAACCGTTATTTTCTAATTTCGAATACATTTTCTATTCAACAGTTATTCAAAAAATACTCGATCTCTAAATCCTAAATCCTTGAAATCAGTACCTACAACCAACTTCTTTTTCTTATTCTTCATTCCGTTTTCTCTTTCACACCACATTTCCCTCTACTTTTCGTCCTTTTTTTCCGTGGACTTTTTCCGCAACAGTCGGTCCGTCCGCACCGTGTCCGACATCCGTATCAGTCGATCGTCTCTTCTAATTGCCTTCTATCTCCACTTCAAGTCCTTGACCCATGTCGATCTTTCCGTTGGAGACGCACATCTCCGTGACCCATAAACCCAGTAATCTGCTACTCATCGGTACGTCCTCCCGCATTCTTATCTGCCTCTGTCTCTATTCTCCTCCTTGATTCAATTGTCCACCTCATTCTCCAGAATCACACTTTTGAAATAGCTAACAAATAATGCTTTTAATTTCTATTGTTTCTTGTCTATTCATTACTGTTCTAGCTAAAGATGCCAATGTCCGTATGGGCTCTCAGTGCTCTAAAAATCAAGTAGTTCGAAAACTGACCGTTTATGAGGATGGGGCACTCGAAGCAGAATGCGGACCAGTTCCATGTGGTGAAGTTGGAAGACGTTGTATTGATGTAAGAATCGTATTCTCCTATCTTTCATTATTTTTCATTTCTTCTTTAGGATCAAACATCTTGCCGTGCCGAGACCGATGTCTTCTCCGGAATGAGATGGGCTCCAAACGGTGAGAGTATCCTGCTCCGTTGCTGTACCATGCAAGCCAAGAATAAGATCTATGTTGGAACTGATGTTGTGTCTGCTGGAAGCTTCTACGAGGGTGGAGAAGTTGCCGAGAAGGATCTTTACGGAGACAAGGGAGGAGCCGAATACGATTTTGTTGCTAACGCCAGAACTGAACAGTGAGTTATACGAATGAGATAAATTGTATTTAGTTTTGAAATTTTGTAGAGGAGGAGTCCGTGTTTGGGTTTACCGTATGATTTGTGCTAAGGGAGAGAAGCCAGTTGACTTTGAGCCAATCACTACCACAGCTGTTCCAAAGGTTGTCAAGACGACCACTCCAGAACCAACTACACCAGTTGTTGAGGAGGAAGAGGATGAGAATGAGCAATTGGAAGGAGAAGAACAAACAAATGAGAATGTAGCTGAAGTTGTTGAGAGCAACGACGGAGAGGAAGAAGTTGAGGAGGAGGACGAGGAAGAGGAGGTTACGGTTAGTTGATTGTATTTTTGACATAAATAAACTTTTCTTATTTCAGACAACTCCAGAGCCAAAAGCCTTCAACCCACTTCGTTATCGCCCACCACACTTCCCAAGACAATCCACCGGAGTTCGTCGGTCCTAAACTCGTGTTATCCATTTATCTAGACTTCTTTCTTTTCTTCTTTCCTATCAATTTCGATGATCTTTCCCTTTTTCATTCCCCTCCATTCACTCAATCCAATGAGTCCCTATCAAAACGAGTTTGTACATTTAATAATTTCAATGATAATGATAATAATGAATATTTTTCAATTATCATAGGATTGGGAAGATGGGCTCATGATGATGGAAAAGAAATGAAATAACTGTGTTGAAATTTCGTTTCCAACGGAATAGAAACCCAGACCTCATAAGTACGATTAATATAATTGAAAAAGACGCATAGAAAGAACGAAGAATATCAAAATAGACAAAAAATCATTTTTCAATCTCTTCCTACTTTCACCCGTCAGTAGCCTCAGCCGCCGTTCAGCCGCCAATCGTCCGTTCGGAATAACAGAGAGGTTTCCAAGAAAAATTATATTGTTAAAAGTTGATTTTTTGATTTTTCTGATAGAAAAGTATTTATTTTTTAGCCCTTCGGCGATTTTAGTCGCTACCCTCCCAATATTCCCAATAATTGGAGAGTAGCGACTAAAAACAGAGGGCACACAATGATCCGTCTGCGAGCCACTCCAAAATGGGAAAAACAGGTATTTTAAAGATTTTTGTCAGAATAATCAAGAAATCAACTTTTAACGATTTAATTTTTGTCGAGAACCTCTCTGTTGTTCCAGATGAACGATTGGCGGCTGAACGGCGGCTAAGCAGAAGCGGGTGGGTTACTGTACCGATTGAGCCACGCGATAGGTCAAAATGCATACCCTTCCTCTAAAAAAAATTGAAATTTTTCTTCCATCTTCAATGTCTATAAGAAAAAAACAATGATTTCATTTATTTTATTGAAACAGAAATGAAACAAAGATCGAGGTGTCAAGTTAGGGATTTATTAGGGATACTTATTACAATTATTAAAACTAGGCTCTTTGTGAAGAGATGACTAGTACTTATGTGGCAGAAGCACATCGATGATACTGAGGAAAAATTCGGAAGTGACTGGAAGGTGTCCGGTCTCTTCAAACAATCCCATAAGTGACCGGATCTTTTGTTGCATCATAGTGGCTAAGTTGAGGAATGTATGAGACAAAGTGTTGGTCTTGATAACATTGTGGCAAGATGCGTAGATGTCATTGACGATCAAATCTCCAGTTTCCGTCATTGGAGCGTAAACTCCAGTTTCGTAGAATGTAGATTTGTTAACGACGGTTGTCAAGACCAATTCTGGAAATCGTATATGGAAAACTCTTGATTATCATAACGGAGAACTCACTATCATTATTCTTTTTGACCATCACACAATCTCCCACATTGACATCTTCAGCATAGACAAGATCATAAACCTCGGTCACGCAATCAGCCTTGTAAATGAAATGTTGTGGAGTCATGGAGACCTCTGGTCCATTATCTGTAGTCAGTTTGATGAAAGCTGCTTTAGTTTCTGGAAGTCTGTGGAGCCATGAAGCAACTCTGGTGTATGCCATCTTTCCGTGTTCATAAGTCTGAACAATATCTCCCACACGCAATTCACTCATGGTCTTCTCTCCGGAGGGTGTCATAACCTTAGCATCTCCGGTGAAACAAGCTGGCACTCCAGAAGCAACAGGGTAATAGTACCCGGCAGAAGTAACTGGAACAACTTGCTCTCCCACTTGAACGAATTGCTCAACGGTCTCTTGTTGGTCAGACTCAGGTGGTGCTACATAGGAATCAGATTTATAGGAATCAGATTGGACATCAGTGGATGGAGAAAGACGTTGGTCAGCTTCAATTTGGTTGGTTTGAACTCCGCTGGCAGCAGTTTCTCCGACTTTCTCAAGAATTCTTCCAATGTCTCTCTGAATATCGAATGAGACTTCATTGGTGTCTTCAGCTGGATTTGGGAGGCAGTTCATACGGGTTACGGTAAGTTCATAGGCAACACTAAAACGGATTGATTTTATATGTGAACTGGGTGAAGATTTAACTTACGTTCCGTCCCCAGAAGTGATCTTCTTAACATTTGAAATAGCATCGAATCCAGTTTGACGTCCATCACGAAGAACTTCTCCTCCGGAATAAACCTCTCCTGGATGAACAACTGGACGTCCGACTTCTTGAGCAAAACGAAGTCCTTCGTAATGACAGCATTGAAGTGAAAGACTGAATATTATAGAATACAAGCTCATTTGATTTGGAGAATACTCACTCTCCATTCTCGCTAGCCTTGAATCCTCCAACCCATGTCATTGGGTTTGAGCAAGTAGAGGAAGAGAATTCTCTTGGGCAGTTAGCCATCTGAGCAGGAGCATCTGAATGGCGAACACGAACACGTGCAAGATCTCCCTCACGGAAGAAACCATCATCTCCATCTGGACCGGCCTGTAAAGAAACATGTTTTATCTTCTTATCAGTTCAAATAGACATCGCACTTTATAACGGAAACGTTAGCAAAGCAGGTTTGTGGGAAAAGATAAATTCATACGGTGGAATTTCGATGATCAGTTTTTGGGTTTGTCTTTTTTAAAGAGTGCAACTAATTATGGATTTTTGGATAAAAAAATTTTAGGATTAACATCAAAAAACTTACTGCAAAGTTCCTATGTTTTATTCAAAAAATCCAAATTATTACAGTACTTCTTTAAAGCTCACCATAAAATTAGAATCATGTCTCAAATCTTTTCCACCATTTTCAGAGCCGAAACAAGTTGGAGATCCACATCCAAGTACCGGTTGTCCCGATGGGAGAACTTCAAATCTGAATGGAATTCCAGATGAACCGCACGATGCAGAAGCAGCAGTGCCAATAAGGGCGGCCAGTAGAGTTGCGGTTAATGGGTTCATCACCATCAGTGATTGTGATTAGCTTCGAGACTGAGTGAATGGGCGTCGTTAAGCTTCGAGAATAGAGATGATGAAGCCAGGTGAAAGTGATAGGAAAACGAGTTGCTGACCTGGATCGAGACAGAAGGCTTTTGCCTTCTTGAAACAATGGACAAAAGAGACTGGAGAACGACGGGGAAATGATGATAGAATTCGCTTTTTCGGGAAAAGAAGACAATGGAGTGGAATTCAATCGCGTTTTTCTATCTTTCAATCACTGATTATCCGAGAATTGTTCATGGCAAATTTTATTGAAAGAAAGAATCAAAAGAGATAATGATACCTGTGGTACAACAAAAAGTGAAAGAGCAGAGTGATGGGAAATAATAGGTCAAATTATATACAGACAGGAAGTGATAAATTTTGATTTGGAGCACATTTTGAGCATGTTTTTTGCATTTCTTCGCTATCCTCTGGAACCCCAAAAACACGACCATTCAGTTTGTAACCGTCTGGAAGGGACATTTTTTGGCAGATATTGGAAAGATCCACAATCTGAAAAGAAGGATAACATTTAAAATATAGAAATCGCTGTTATTAAAAGGGAACTCTAACCAAAAACTTTTTTTTTCTTTTTTTGCATTAAAATGTTCCCAAAGTTATTTATTTTCATAATATTACTACGGAAAAAATTAAGAAGAATTTCGAACTTCCCAAAAACGCCGTCGGAAATGCAAGAGCACTCAGTTCTAGTCGAAGTTGTTTTATCCAATTTTTAGCTTTTTTTTTTTAAATACGAAAAGAAAACTGGCCAGAAAAAGATAGAAATTCTGAAAAATTGCATGAAAAACAAGCGCACACAGTGGCCTTGGACTAGGATTTCTGCGATTCTCATGGACGAGAACTGAGCGCGCTTGTCTTTCCTTCGGTATTTTTCAGGGATTTCCAATTTTTTGAATGTTTTCGAAGTACTATCATGAAAATAAATAACTTTCGGAACATTTTATTTAAAAGAAATTTTTGGTCGAAGTCCCCCTTTCAATAAAGAAACCACTTCCATTAAATTACCTTTCGATTTTTAGAAGAAAACGACGAAAGAATGTTCATATCCTGTTCAGAAAGCTCAAAATCAAAGACATCTGTGTTTTCTTTTAATCGCTTCAAATCTGTGCTTTTTGGCACAGTAGCAACATTTTGTTGAACACTCCAACGTAGACAAACTTGTGCTGGAGACTTTTGAAATTTATCAGCAATGCGATATAAAACTTCGTCTTCTAGATACTTTCCTTTGGCCAGTGGACAGTATCCCATTACAGAAACCCCCATTTCATCGCAGTAACTTTTTAGGTCAGATTGATGGAACCATGGATGAAATTCAATTTGATTCGCGTGTGGAAGAACACTTGCAAACTCTGACAACTCTTCCAGATCGTCGATTGAGTAGTTGCTGACACCGATTGAGCGAACATGTTCTGAAAATAAATTTAAAAAAAAATAGTAAACATCAGATTGTGATTTTTTATACCATCTTCATAGAGAAGTTCCATTTGCCTCCATGTCTTCTCTTTTGTTTCCTTCTGATCCACAATCCAATCAGGAAGTTGAGGCATATGTATCATATACATATCCAGATAATCAGTTTTCAATTTTTCACATGAAGTTCTGAAAGCGTCAAAAACTCCATCTCCACAATCAACTGGCCAAAGTTTAGTGCACAAGAATAGATCTTCTCTTGGGATCGAGCAATTGGTCACAGCAATTCCTAATTGTTTCTCTACTCCATATCGTTTGGCTGTATCTATGAGACGGTATCCACATTTGTTGATTGAATGAAGCACTGCATCATGATAATATCCACCAGAATGGGTGGTTCCAAGACCAATCAGTGGCATTTCCACATTATTGGGTAATCGTGTATTAGGAATCATTATTGTTCTGAAATGGACCTAGTAGATTATAGGATCACAAAAAAAGGAGGTCAAAATAAAAGAGTGAAAAGAAGAATTCGAAATATTTGAACTACTAAGAAACAGTCTGTACGCAGGAATGACATGACGAATGGATGACTTGCAGGGTAATGTCCGAACCGTTATCTATTTTTTCTGACAGACTTGCAAAGGATGGCGCCCCCAATGCAAAGAAAAATGTGAAGTGTTCACGTGGATACCACGGGCTGATCTAGTAAGACATCGTTAAAGAAGAAGAGACCCAGAAAAAAGATCTGAGGAAGAAGAAAAAGAAGAGAAGTTTTATAGTGGAGGAGAAGAAGAGACGCAGAGAAAAGTGACTTTCGAAAATCATCGGGGTGTTGGTTTTCGGCGCCATTTCTTTGTCTGCTACTCTCTTTCGCCCAATCACATGGCGGTTAAGAATAGATTAAAGATAAAATGGGTGGGTGGTATACATATCATATGGGTTGGAAATTCTAATTTAGAAGAAGTACCAATCAGGAAAATGCGGAACAACCAGGGAAATGAAAGAATGAGACGAAAAACATGAACTGGCATGATGGAAAAACAATGAGAAAACAAAGTAATAAGAGACGTGAGTTGGGCTTCTCCATAGGTTGTCCAGGCAAGAATCGGACTTTTAGTATAGCTAAAATGGGCGGAGCCTCAACAATCGGAGAGCTAGGACCGATGACCAGTGCACGTGAAGATCAAATGATGGTCATTTTTTGCTGGTTGGGCAGGTGTCCTAGAAAGAAGAGCTTGAAATCCAAGACCAATACACAATGACTCTTTTCAAAGGCCCCTATATACATCAGGGTGTGTTCAAAATCAAAAATCAGTTGTCTGTGTTCTGTTTTCCATTTTATCAGTCCCTTCCTTGTTATTAGTCCAATCATGTGTCCATCTGACACACGATTTTTTCACGGGTGCACACTTTCACCTTCTCCGGAAATCAAACAAGTCTCTGTGATAACCTAAAAAAGACATGTGCACGTGGTTTGTAACTATTTCTATCTTCTTCGTCAATTGTCACCTTGAATTTGCGTCATGATTTTCGAAATACAAAGATGAATGTTTGGGAATTCATGTGAATGAGAATTGTAGAACAGAAACAGACTTTGTAAAGTTCAATTATTTTTTGGGGAAAACAATCTTGCACTTTGCTCTTTGTCTTCATGTCTGCCCTGGGTAGTAACGAATCTTCTACAAATCGCCTGGGCTATGTACTCTCGAATTCAGATCTCACTACCGTAGTCTTAGGTCTTAGGTGTCTGAAGTTCCATTTGGTTCCAAGTTCCAAGTTCCAAGTTCCATAAACTTTATTTGTTGTTTGGATCTAAATCATCAACTGTATGCTTCCCGATATTAGTGAATGCCGTTCCAGAGGAAACAGTCAACTTTCAGATGATGTCAACATTTTACCAGAAACAGTAAATAAATTATAAATCTTCAATTCGTGAATTTGAAAAAAAAACTTTTCGTTATCGACTGGAATGGTCTGTTTGGATGTTCCCAGTAGTGTTTAGTTTTATATGTAGAAAAATATTTTAGTGTATGAGCAGAACCAAGTTTGCATAAGTCTGAGAACATCTTAGAAGCTTCAAGACGACGCGTTGGAATTTGTATTTATGAATCTTCTAAATCATCGGTTCCAAAGAATTTACGAGTGTGATAGAAGTCTTCATATTCTCATATGATGTGTTTTCTAAATTTGATGTCTTCATAAACCAAATCAAACTTTATGCCGTTGAGCCGTTTTTCAAAATTTGACGCGTTTTTTAATCCGTAAGATATTAATGAAACTTTGTGCAACAAATCTCTTGGAAATTAATCACATTGTGCTCAATTGTATCACTGTCAGTTTATATCTAAATTTGTGCTCAGAAATACGATGCATAAATTCTTGTTCTTTTCTAGAAACATTTTTGTTCCTTCTCAGAAAAAAATCTTGCAAGCCACGACATTGAATTAGACCTAATTAGACTATTACGGTGTCTTAAAATTAGAAAGGGCCTTGTGGAAGGCCTTTACGAAAGGCCTATATGTGCATTTTGGCGTTTTGGTGTTTGCGTACTTGCGCACCGTACACTCCGAATTTTTTTTTCGAATTCGCCGTCTTTTTTGAATAACTGGAGCTAATAAATAGCTTTTTCTCAAAAAGTTGTTATTTAAAAGCAAATAATTATGAGCGAAAAAGTCAGTTCTCACGATGAAGGAGAAATATCTGACGAAAGCCACAAAAGGAGTAAGGTAGTTCGTGTCACTTCTAAGCTAAATGTGCGGGTTTCAGGTAATCGAGCTTCCAGTTCCGAAGATGCAAAATCTAGCCGATCGAATAGAGGTGAGTTAAATTTTAATTTGTTTGATATCTTCGTTTTCTAGAACAAGAGACTAAGATGCGTGAGAGTATCCTGAGTCGATTGAGCAAGCGAAAGGTTAGCGACAGTGACGACGACACAACCGAGCAGCGATTTTCGATTCAGCCAAAAGACGCAGTATGCGATACATTTTTATATTCGAATTCTTATTGAAAACTTTCAGCAAAAAGCGAAAGAGGACCGATATCGGGAGAAGGAGCGGGAAAGAAGGAAGGGGAGGGACCATCGAGATGACAGAAGAGCAGGTCGTGAAATTGATGCCAGGCCAAGTAATCGGGATCCAAGAGGTATGAAACTAGAAAGACGTTACGTGATTGCAATGTCTAATTGTTAAGGGAAAAACGAACGATCGGATAGAGATGGAAAAGGACACGAACACAGACATCATTCCCACCACCACAAACATGACCGAACGTCAGACAGGGAAAAAGAAAAACACAGAAAAAGAGACGAGCGAAATAAGGACCGTCATAGACAGTGAGTTTTTCAGCGTATCGTAAAAATTACTGAGGAGTGTATGTTACAGATCACGAACCACTTCCCCAGAAGATGACCGTACTCAAAAATCGCCACTGAAGAAGGCACGACAATATGATGCTCCAGAAGACGCAAAGCTTTTTGATAGAGGTTCGACAAAACATAACATAGTGATAGATAGTTTGTTTCAGTTCTTGACCCAAATTACAAATCCAAGCAGCAAGAAGTGTTAGTTGTGGAAGATGTTGAAATGTCACCAGTTGAAATCTTGGACGAAAAAGAAGAAAAAGAAATCACAGAATTCACGATAGATTCGCCAGCTGGTCCGAAAAAGTATTCAAAGTTCGAAAGCGACCCGGAAAGCGATCATGAAGAGGAAAAGAAAGTTCACACAATCAAAGATTCGGACGATGATGATGTGGTCGAAGTACACGACGATCCATTACACTCAGATTATGATGAAGACGAAAGTGATGATGATAAATATTCCAAAACTCCAGAAGACAGAGAATGGGAAGAGATGACGGAGACTGAACTACGTTTGCACAAAGAGGCTATGAAAAAGCGTCAAGTTGTTCGACAAAAAGCGCTGATCGCTCAGTTGCCAGTTTTCTATCCAGGCCTTATGGGATGTCGAAACATAGATGAGTATGAGTGTGTCAATCGAGTTGATGAAGGAACTTTTGGAGTTGTATATCGTGGAAAAGACAAAAGAACGGATGAAATTGTCGCATTAAAGCGACTGAAAATGGAAAAGGAGAGGGAAGGATTTCCGATTACAGCTCTTCGTGAAATCAATATGCTTCTCAAAGCTGGAAATCATCCGAACATTGTGAATGTGAAAGAAATTCTACTGGGAAGTAACATGGACAAGATTTACATGGCGATGGAGTTCGTGGAGCACGACATGAAAAGTCTTCTTGATACAATGTCGCGCCGCAACAAACGGTTTTCCATTGGAGAGCAAAAAACTCTGATGAGACAACTTCTTTCTGGAATCGAGCATATGCACAAGTTATGGATCCTGCATCGTGATCTCAAAACTTCCAATCTCTTGATGTCTCATACTGGAGTTTTGAAAATCGCCGATTTCGGACTTGCTCGTGAATATGGCGATCCGTTGAGAAAGTTCACATCGATAGTTGTGACTCTGTGGTACCGTTCTCCTGAGTTGCTTCTCGGTACCAGACTTTATTCAACTCCAGTTGATATGTGGTCTATCGGATGCATCATGGCTGAACTCATATTGCTGAAACCATTGTTTCCAGGACAAGGAGAAACAGAACAGATCAAGAAGATTTTCATGGAGCTGGGAACTCCAACCGAATCTATATGGCCTGGTGTTTCAGAACTTGAACGCTGGAAAACTCTAACTTTCGAGAAATATCCTTATAATCAATTGAGAAAGAAATTTCTTGCTGGCAGGCTTCTGAACGACACTGGATTTAAGCTACTCAATGGGTTAGTTCAAAAAAAGATAAAAAATACGATACTAGGTTTTTCAGGTTGCTGACTTTGGATCCGAAAAACCGAGTCTCAGCTTCTCAAGCACTTGATCATGAATGGTTTGAGTAGGTTATTCTTGTAGAACACAGTTAACACAATTTTCACTTTTCCAGAGAAGAACCGCATCCAGTACCGCCAGAAGAGTTTCCCACGTTCCCTGCCAAAAGCGAGCAGAACAAGGCTCCGCCTCCGGCCGCAAAACCCAAACAACCAGAGAATCGTATGGCACATGTGGATCCCGAAACTGCGAAGCTCTTGAAACAATTCGAGGTTCGCCCTGAGCAAGTTAAACCAGGCGGTTTCTCTTTGAAGTTCGACCCAACAAGATTTTGATCTCTCTTTTTTGGCCAATTATTTTCTGCAATACTTGTTCAAAACTCACACCTTTTACACCCCGATGTTCTGATAAAAAGTTTTATTAAGTTAAATGAATAAACTCTTTGTAAAACATGTTCATCTTTTGGGAAGTTTGAAATGGACCAAGACAAGAAAGTAATCACCCATACTCATAATATAAATTAGGAAAAGAAATCAGAGATGGTGGAATGTTTTTGGAATTGTAAACGGGGAACATTAGAAGGAAATTTGGAAAGTTGAGAATCACAGCACAAGTTGGATATAAGGAAAGATAATATTTGTGAAAGTCAGATAAAATGCCGAGAATAGTTGCATAAAAGCGAAGCTGGTCTAGAAAAGCTTAACAACAATTTCAGATCGTCCGCCAACCATTGTAATTCCCCATCTGAAAATCAAGATAATTTTTTAAAGCAGGTGAAAATGAACTCACCTCCACCAGCCAACAGCTTGCTCTGGAATCTGTCTTCGTGATGATATCATAGCTCTCAATTGTCGCAGGGTTTCCGTATCCTGATGAATTCCGTGGGCATAATGAGTAGCTACAGACAACTCAAGATTTTCCTGTTTTTCCGGATCTGGCGCAGCTCCGTTTCTCTGAAAATATTCGCCAACTCCATGTAGAATGAACACTATTTCTTACATGCTCCAAAAGAATCCAGAATCGACGAACTTCGGGAGCTTCATGGCCATAGGTCATAAAGACAAAATACGTTTGTCTACGTCCGAATTCCTCGATATCAATGTCAGTGAAAGACCAAGAGAGGAGATCGTAGTCGTTGAGTGGGGTAACGTGTAGAGACATTTTGTCATAACCACCGCGAATCTGAGAATCGAAAGTTTTGAAACAGCGAAGAACGGATCGAAAGGACAAACCTCAAAAGTTAGATTCAGGTTATTGCCCTGGACCTGACGAGAAACCAGCTTCAACTCGATCGGATATGGAATTACTACTGGAGATGGAACAGGGACCCAGAGAGATTGCTCAGGTGGGAACAACTCATGTATGGCAGTATAATAAGGCATACGACAGTATTCGTCAACGACACCGGTGCAATTTGGAGCTGAACTTCCTTGCAAGAAGGAGTGGGACGGAAGATCAGATGCTCCACGATAGTCGAGGGAGTGTACAAACAAGGCGTTATCTTTTTGGGTTGGACTTCCTTCGAAGTCGTAAATGGTACGGTTGGCATGAAGTGCGATGATACGACGTAGGCGTGGATTCTCGTCAGAATACTCATATGGGTTTCCAACTTTGGTAGTGAGCAAAACCAGAATGAAGAGAGCAAAAATGGCGAATAACACTCTGATAATGTAATTCATTCTTCGGGAGATGTAGAAGAGATTGTTGACGAAAAGAATGAAACTAGAAGCGATCACCAATCCGATTGGCCCCATGATGAATTCTGGGTTGATAGCATTCCCAAGTCTGCAAAATAATAGATAGTTGATGGTTGGAAAACCGGATTTGGAATTTAGTCTCACCTTCCCATAACTGGAACAAAGAAGTCGACACACTGACTGATAGCATACGCAGCGAATACGAAGGTTGGAAGGAAGCAGAAGAGTTGTGTGAAGAATAGAACCCGTGGAGTCACACGTCTGATAACTCCGAAAAGTCCCAAAGACCAAATTATGACATCCTTGAAGACGGGGAGAATGAGGTTGTTGAGCACATAAAAGGCAGAGGATAGGTTGTAGGCTGTCATCAGCAAGAGAATAGAAGCGAACGAGAGAAGGATTGTGTCATATTGAACCATTTCGACGTTTCGGATACGGTTGTTATCGGCATAATGTGAATGGACGATAGCTCCGGCAATGAGCATTGGAAGAACGTAAAGTGCGCCGACGATTTCTGGCATCTTGTACCAACACATTACAAGATCAAATTGAACCACGAATGCAATGATCACAAGCATTGTAACGATCATCGCGATGAGAGCAACGATGTGATGCTTGAATGCAGCTGAAAGATCTCCAACCGAGTAGAATCCTTTTCTGATTCGAAGGAAAACGAGGAGATATGTGGCGAAGCATGCGAAATAGTTGATCATTTTTCCAACGCTGACAGAGTAGTAAACTGTGAAGAGGCCGACGACATCGTAGAATACCCATCGGTTCTCTTCGTCGAATGTCGCTGGCTTCTCGAGATATGGTGAAGCGAGAATTGCTCGAACAACTGCAAGCACATTTTCTCCAGCTCTCTGGATTGCTCCTGCTTCAATGCGCCATTCTTCATCGAACTCCGTGTGATAGAACCATCCGTTTTTGGTGTAAGCGATATCCAGTCCCGAGATTCGGCCATAGTCACGGAAAATTCTGAAATCGGTATCTGATGGAATGATTCCCGATTGGAAAATCTCTTGAGCCAGAACAGAACAGAATGGATGTGGTGCATTTTCGAGGTAGGTCTGTAGAAGCCACGAATTTCCTGGTCCAGCTTGGAAGAGAATTTCGCGTCCTCCAGATCCAGTTCCTTCCAAGTTGATGAATGCTCGGATGTCGTGTCTCCAAGGATGTTGATTGATGAATCCATGAGCTGCTTGAAGGAAGTTCTCTTCCGCACCGTTGAAAAGGAAAACCACATCATTTTGAAGTTCAGTTTTGGAATGAGATAAAACTTCGAGAACATCCATAAGAATGGTGCAGGCAACTGCGTCGTCAGTGGCTCCCGGAGTATCTGGCATTGTATCGAAATGACAATTTAGAAGAAGCGAATTTCCAGATGGTCCCTTCTTTGGTCCCACTCGAACAACGATATTAGTGATCTTGTGGTAACAGAGAGTGAAAGAGCTAAGGAATTTCAAATCAAAACATCCCGATGGGCGTTGCACATCCGACTCGAAACGATTCACTCCAATATCTTTTACCACCGAACGAACTTTTTCAATACGGTCTTGAATCATGCCAAAGGCTTTTTCCTGAAATTCAATCGAAATCTAATTTACGCGTCGTTACACATTTTCTCACTTCCAAATTTGCTGATCCACTGGGCCGTGGGCCAAGAGCGGTCAGTTGTTTGAGCAGGACACGGGCTCTTTGCTCACTGAACTCATCAAACGAAGATGCATCTCGGACAGCAGGCATCTTTCGATGCAATGCAACGACTCCAGCATAGACGATTGCAACGGTTAAGACGAAAATGATCCAGTGACGAAAACCGATCGATTCCTGGAATCAAAATGAAATGTTTTAGGAAGAAATTTAGATTTTAAACGAACTCTTCCTCGTTTTGTTCTCTGGTCATCGTCATCGTTCGAGATGTTATTTGGTTCAGCCCGAGACTCATTAGGTCCTCCACGTCTGCGGATCATATCCTGAAAAAATCTGATTGTGTCTGGAACTGACAACTGAATTCGGATAATAGACAGGTCACTTTCAAATAACAAAAAGAATGACAAATTTCGATGATAGTGAGAGAAATATAGAGAAAGGAGAGCGATGAGTCAGTACAGCACCACGGACTACAACTATAGCGTTGTAGCCAGACCAAATATTGGTTTGTGCTCCTTCTTCCTTGATTTTCCTTTGGTTACTTGTTGTTGACATAGCAACAGATATTCGTGTACTTCGTGTAGAAACACACATTATTACTAGTGAAAATATGTTTTAATTCGAATATAACTGTTTTATTTCATCTGGGTAAATTATGTTTAAACAGATTAAATTGTTTTACGAATAGAAAAGAAACTGATGAAAAAAGATTCTTGATGTTGATTTGATCCCCACTTCAAAAGTGAAACGAATTTGTTACCCAAGGTTGAGACAGATAGGTCGGCTCAGTAACGACGATCGCGATCTCGTCTGAAAAAAATAGATTGAAAACTTTAGATGACCTTCAAAGATGGGAATGAAATGGTTTAGTGAACGAGGTCATTATCTATTTCTGTGAAACGAAAAATGAATCTCAATGATTGATAACTTGGTGCGAAACTTTTGACAATCTTTATAATTTTTTTAGTACCTGTCACGACTGTCCCGGTCGTATCTACGATCTCTGTCGTCTCTTCTGTAGGAACGTTCGCGCGAACGGCTTCTGTCGCGGTTACGACGGTCACGATCACGATCACGATCACGGTCGCCTCGGTAGTCTCCTCGATCTCTGTCACGTCTGAAGAAGCATAATTCTCGAATCGGATGAATGTTTAACTAATTTTACCTTGCGTAAGTATCTCTTCTCTGATAACCTCTCTGCGATCCCATCTTCTCGTCTCTTTCCTTACGACGATCGTCGATAGTTTCCTTCATCTTGAGATACGTTTCTCTTGTTTCGACCATTCCAATGTGCATTTTTCCATTGTAATGATCAGCTATACGAGATTCGTGATCGGTGATGTTCAATTGAGCTCCACAGTCTTCGCAGACTCGTAATTTTGCAGAGTTCGACCCTGGCCCAGCAGTTTTGATTTCAGTTTGACTTTCCTGAAAATCTGTTGTAGTATTTTTTTTAATTCTGCCATAATTAAACTTTTCGATTTTTTCCCTGAAAGGTCAACGATAGTTTTCGATTTACAACCCGAAGCCCCACCTCGAAACTTTTTATCTTTCACAAATCTTTTTTTTCAGATTATTATAATACCTCGATTTCTTGAATCTTTTCTTTTAGCTCTTCCACATATTTGTGCAACTTCATCGACTCTTCGATTTTCCCTTCATTGCCTAGTTTCTCTATTTCGTCTACATTCTTGGCAATCTTTTCCTCGATTTCAGCGACTTGTTTTGCTTTCGAGTCCGCTGCTTGGGACGTCTGCGTTTTAACGTCGTCTTCTAGCTTTTCGCGGACTTTTGCGATTTCCACATCAACAAGACGAACGGCGTTTTCGATTATATCGAATGCCTGAAAAAAATAAACATTTTGTTTCGAACTGGAGCAAGAGATCTTACATCAACATCGTAAAAGTGATCTCTCTCTTTCTGTGCTCTCTCGTAATCTGCTTTGTGAGCTGGCTCGTGAACCTTCCGACAAGAAACGACATTCTGAAAAAAATCAGGTGAAAAGCCATTTTCTGGAACGCGGTAGAAATGTGCAATAAACCGATGAATACATTCACAAAAGAACTAGTCTGGTTTCTCTTTCCAAATTCAAAGGAGAGGCTGAACTCACGATCTTGTCGCTTCAAAGTCTGAGATGGTTCCCGATTCTCGACGCGGCAACCGCACTATTCAAAAAAAACATTTCACTTCGTAATTGAGATGACAGAGTTAGTTAATTTGCATAGTGTAAAATAAATGGACAGTCAAAACTCACAAATCAACCTTTGTTTTGTTTTGCCGACGGATTTATGAAACGCTCGCAGCACGGGACACCTAACATTTCAGTGGTTTTCTATTTTCAGTAATACTGGATGCAGTCGGAAAACCGACAACTAACTCACCTGAAGGCGACTGTCGGGCACCATATCATGCGGACACACACCCAAAAGGAAAGCACGACAAACACTGTGATGGTCGAACGGCATGGCTGGCTTTTCTGAACGACTTTAAGGTTCTGAGACTGTTAAATATTTCTAAAAAAACCTTTGTTATCGACATGCTGACTTCCCATCAGCTGAGCGATCATATCACGCATCTGATCCGTCATTCTGAAAGCTTTAAAGGTGACATACAGAATCAATGTAGAAAAAAATGTTTAAAGATATTTACAAATACAGAATTGACTGTAATTTGAACAATGGGACATACAAAAATGAAATCAATATTTTACTATTCAAATACAAGTAGACAATCGAAATATGAAATGTTTTAATAAAAAAGTTTTACATAAATACAGTATGTTTTCCTATTTTTTAGCATTCTTTGCTTGGTTTTCAAGAAGTCTCTTTCGAAGCAAGCGGCCATATTGAGTTCCGAGCCATGCGAGAATAACTACTCCAATGAGCAATTCGATAACTCTGCAAAATATTTTGGTTGGAAACCTTATCGATTTATACTCACTTGAAGGTGGTCATTCCTTGATATAAATCAATCTGCACGCCTTCTGAGAGACCTATCCCGATTTCTGCTTCAGCTTTACGAATTTCTGCCCAGAACTGTTGAGAATTTTGTGGATACTCTACAATAACAGTTTTCTCTGCCGCGGGCTGTCCGTCAATCACAGCTCCTGGGTGCAGAATTGCAATAGCACGCGCGTTAGCAGGAACGAAGACGATTCGTTTCACCTCGCCGTGCTTCAAATATTTTTCGACAAATGTTTTCATCGGGATCCCAGGTCTGAATCGAATCTTTACTGATGCCAGTTTTTTTCACAAACCTTGTGAAGTCTTCACTTGTCAGACCATCAGCAGTACTTCTATCTCCAGTGAACATCTGTGACAACATCAAGAACGATGTGACGAACGAGAGACCAGCAACAGCCAACACGTACATTCTCAGCTTTCTGACTGAAAATTTTTACTTGTCGATTTATCGAATGAATCAGCTCTTTCCGGAAAAAAAACATTGAATAGAAAAAACAACTCACTAGTTGCGGGATCGATTTTCTTGGGACCATTTTGTTGCTCGTTTAATTGCTCATCAGCCTGTTTGTGATTTTTCTGACTCTCATCTTCGTGTTTTCCATGTTTATCATCTGGATATCTAGCGCGAATCGATTGAATGCCTAAAATGGATGAATCAGAACGTCAGCGAAGAAAACTAACTTACTCGTCAAATGCAACTGTCTGTTCTGAAGACTGAACACTGGCGTCTTCCCGAAAATCGATAAGCTGTCATGACTGGTTGAAGCAAAAACTGAGCATCGATGGCCGAAACAGCGAGCCAGGCGATGTGTAGTGAAAGTCAATTGCGAACGCATTTACGGGCCGACAACGTCGCGAGGCGGGGCTATTGGACGAAAACGCAACTGCGGCGCGGAGTTTTTGCAAGTGCCCGCGCATTATGGATATGCTCTTTTTTTTTGTTCGCGATGACAGTTTCGAATGTTTTTTGGACAGGAAGGGTGGAAACGAAAATTGTCTAGGGGGTGTGATAAAATAGACCATTCCCCATTGTTTTAGAGGAATAAAGTAGAAATCGTATAATAGATCCATTTTCAAAAAGGATGAGAAGAATCGAGAAGAAGAATACTACCGGTTTTCTTGAGGTCATCTAGGAAGCTCAAGGCATTTCTCATTTTATATAAAGTGTTGATAAAGATTTTTGTTTCTTTCTACTAATCAAAGAGATCCAATCATTGGAGTTCGGATATATCAAAACATCATGCGTTTTGAGGGAAAGCATCAAAGTTATCAAAAATCAATCACATATTTCCATCCGCCTTCTCAGAAAATTCATCTGGCAAAAAACATTGTACCTTGTAATAAAACTTTTTCCAGGTGTATTTTTTGAGTCGCTTTTTTTGCTAGCATAAGTTTGAATCTATATTTTTTTTTTGGATGAATCTACCATATTCTCCTGTTTATAAATGTCCAGAAGAAATATATTTCCATTGCCAATGGATATTCTATTTTACACACTTCGAGTTATTTGCAATGGTCATTGAGGTACCATCGTTTTTACTGGTAATCTATGCCACAATAAAAAGTCCATTCCATTATAATCTGACATTCATTGGTCTGTTCATGCTTCTGGGATATTACTTTTTTCTTGTTGGTCGATTCATAACATGTCTTTATGAAATTGGGATATTCAGTTTGAAAGGTATTAAACATGAAAAAACATGAATAAAGAAACAATCATTCAGAACAAAATGATGGAAATGAGATTTATCCTCTGCCTCTGATTGTCAGTTCGTTAATGCAGTTTTTCTATATGGGATGTGCATGTGGAATGTAAGATCATAGATCAATAAGCATATGATTTCTTGTTAGGAAAATTTTTTTTTTAAAAACGTTAATCTACACAGGCGAAACGAGGTTGCCCAAAAGCGTACAAACGGCGGCTGAAAGTTAAGAATTGGTTATAACTTGCGTTTTTAAGCAAGTGGGGAAAACTTTGTGTGAAAAAAAAAGAAAAGCAATCCTCAGTAATTTGACCATATTGAGAAAAAAACTATGGTTCTCTTTAGAATATTATTCAAAAAAAAAGGTAAAAAACCATAAAATCGAAAAAAATCCTTATTTCATTTTAATACAAAAAAACAATACCCTTTTTTATTATAGTCCGACTACTAATGATTGCATTTCATACTTTTTGTCATAAATGTTCCCCATTTCCTTAAATACGCAAGTTGTATCCTATTCTTAAACCTTCAGCCGCCGTTTGTACGCTTTTGGACAACCCCGCTGCATCTGTGTAAAAAATCAGATTCACTGGAAAACAAGAAGTTTGAATCTAAAATTTGAAGAATGTGTTCTGCTAAAGTATCCCATGCTAACAGTTGTATGATAAAAACATAAGTCGACTTTAGATCATTGGCGATTGCATTCGAGAGATTCTTTGCTACATACTATGTGGATACCTATGAAAAGCAAAAGCGGAAATGGATTTCATTATTAGTCTGTTGCGAACTCACATTTGCTTGTGGCATATCTGCAATCATTATAGTTTTTGGTAGCATGGTCTAAGAGAATCCGGAACAAAATTTTGCTTTCAGATTTTCTTCCAATCTCTATAATGGCTTTTCTTGGAGTTTTTATCAGCTGCGCGTCTTTTTTCGTATGTGATTTTTGATTTAACCTTCAAACGGATCCTTATTTCAGTTTTACCTTGTATTATTCATCATGAACAAACGACGTCTTCAAACGATTCAACAGGAAAGAGTAGATGATGTTTACACTCTAAGCGTCCGTTTTCAGCTATCTGAAAATTTGAAAGTCATGACAGTGAGAAGTTAACGCATGATGTCAGCTTTTGCAGTCTCTCTCTTTCAGCTGCTCCGCAATGTAGTCATCTTCTCTGGAGTGAATAATTTTGTTATGGCATTTATTCTCACTTTCTACATGTCCAAATCCTTCAAAGAAACCCATCCAGTGGCTTGTCTGTATTTACATTTTGCGTTCAACTTTTGTGTCATAATGTATTTGAAAACTACAGTAGTCTCTCCTTAATCCAAATGATTCCAGATACTCATTTCTGATGCTGATCATAATGGTTTTCAGTGTCAAGCAGTACCGTGTGTACTTCTTTTCGCTTCGATTTGTTCGTAAGTATTCTGAATAGACTCGTCAACAAAGTTTGCAAGTTTTCGGAATTATGATTCCTAGAATATCCGAAATCAAATTATTTTTTGCATCTTGTAAACAAAAACTAAAAGACCGAAACATTTTTCCAGGTGTGGTGATGTACCCTCTAGTTGGCAGGTGTTTCCAGGGTGAATTCTCGCAACAGCAAACGCAACAGCTCACAATTCGAGACGAAACAAATTGCTATTTCGACAACCTCTCAAGTCAATGGGATGCAAAGTTTGAAGTAGTTAATAAGCAGTGATAATTTAAATTTCTGACATGGACAACTAAACATGTTTGTACATAAATAAATCATTTATACACACACAAATTAATTTCGTTGACATGATTTGACAAATTGTTTTGGCCACTTAGAACATTGAAGACCAGAAGAAAAAGTTTGGTTGAAAGAAAAACTATCAAGATTTGGGAAAAGAAAATAATGGTATTGTTATAGGGAAGAGTCTTGGGTAGATCCACCACTTGACTCCAAAGTGCTCAACTCGACGCGTGGGAATTTCATCTGAAAAGGTAGAATTGGAATCTAAATTTTTTGAAATTCGATTCACCCTAGCCAATCCTCGCTCCTTTAATCTTCGTTGATATTGTTCTCTGCTTGTTTGAAGAACGGAATGACATCTTTCAGGAACTCGGACTGTCAAGCTGCCACGCATCGTTTCGACGTCAAGGTATTCTGAAATTCAAACATTCGAATGAAGAAAATCATCAGAGTTTGAAAACATACGAGAATCACTTCCTCTTCTATCTTGACGTGGACGAGGTGAAAGATCCGGTGGAAGGATCAAGTTAGGCATCAGACTTGGAATTTCAATTCCAACATGACGAATATCTTTTGTCAATTCGAAATCAAATTCTGTCGGTTTATCCGGAATTAGAGAGGAACTGTGAAATAGTGGAGATCGACACACCTGAAATTGAGATTCTTTAAACTATTCTAACTAAAATTTGACTACCTGAATTGGTGGCTTTGCGGCAATATTGGCATTGTGCATGTATTGAATCATGTGTTGAGGAACTTGCCGTAGAGCATTCTCTGCAATTCTTGATTTGTTCAGCCAGGGAGCTTCTGCTCCATTCAGCAAAGATTTTAGATGAATGAACTGAACGACATCTCGACGACCATCTTTTCTTTTGGAGCAGAGTTTTTGCAAGGGAGAGAAATCATAGTCGCCCATTCCGATGATCAGAATAGATAAGGGAGCATCGGAAGCAGAATTCAAGGCTTGTTGAATTTCCTACAATTTTCTGTTTTTGTAAGTTTTCAATTTTTCCTGTCTCACCTTCAAGTCAGTAACTTCTCCTCTTGTGAATAGAGCAAGAACGTGATAATGGAGTCCTCGGAACCCAGATCGATGGGACATTCTAGTGACATAATTGATCACTGGAGAAAGTTTGGATTCTTTGAGTGGAGTGACCATAGTTTGTGCCTTTCTGTATGCTTCCATGACGCCATCCAAACCACGGCAGATTGGATCCATTGAAAAATTCAGGAAGAATTCGTTGGATTCATGGAAAGTCGGAGGGATTTTGGCGCCGATTCCGAAAGCGGCAAAGAGACGATTCCTAAATTTAATAATTGATTCTAACGTCCTAGGTTATAAATTTTACGGTGTATAATCCCTGATAATCGATCCAATAGCTCTGATTGCCATATGTAGCTCTCCATCAAATCTTCTCTGGTCTAACTCATGAACTGGTTCTGGACTTGAAAAATCTACTCCAATTTCAAAATGAAGTTGAGTTCTAAAAATTATGAATTGGGTTTTAATTTGTAAAACCATTGCTCGGTACTCACCCACTAACAATATAATCCAAGAACGAATAAAAAGAGACGTCGGTGAATTTGACGAGTTCCATTTTTCCGCTGTTTTCGTAGCTCTATAAAAACGGACGTCTTGATATTGCCTTAAACAAAATCTATAATATCATTACCTTTTTCTGTGCCTTCTTCACATCATTGATAACACTATAGATATTATCAGACCCCGGTCCATACTTCATTTTTGCATAAGTCGTCAAAAACTTTCCAATATAGCCTTCTTTACCATCCACATCTTTGTACATCACCCAGATCTCCAAAAGTCGGTTTCTGTTATCCGCAGCGTCTTGGGTATCCAAACGAAACTCTGCCCATTGAGGATGAGAATGATTTTTGATGGCTTCGCTCTCATATAGAAATATTAATGAGTCATCATCTTTCCCTTCTTCTAGACGGAAAACCTGGAAGTATTTTTTTAATAAGTGAGCTCAAGAGCAGGTAACTTACTCGAAAGAAAACGGCAGTTTCATCCCATAAGAAATCTTTTCGATCTAATGATTTTCCATGGAACTGGACAACAATCGGCTGTTCTTTTTCTGGCATTTCAGCAGAGACAATGATACCTCCGAGATATTCTTCAGTTATCCGTTGGGTTCCTGACAATGCATTTGCAATGCTTCCGGTTCTTTGAAGTTGACGACGGAGTTGTAATCCAAAAGATCCAATAAGTTCGTCCACTTTAAAGATGGAAGTTGCAAGAATATCACTACTAGAGCTTGATGGTCTATCCCGTTCCGAGCATCGAGAAAATACTGCCTTAATGAGCTGAGTTTTCTCAAAAACATATTGATATGAGAATTTATCCGGGAAAACGATGTTTCGAGAGAATCGAACAGGAGAACTCGTTCCAACTTTCGTCCATTTATCTTCACATTCTGTTTCATTCTCGTATAGTTCACAGATGATTTCTTTGGCAGTTTCAGTTGTGGCAAAGTCACTGAAACATATTTCTTTATTCGAAGCCAAAAAAGTCTTTGACTTACTGAATAGTGATTGAAATTTCGATGGTATTCGACATGTTGATGCTGTGTTTCGAAGTGATATAATTTGGTGCAACACTGATTCGTGGCGAGACCCGAACACCGGCAATCGACTGTGATCTTCTGGAAAAATAAACGAGATTTTGAATGGGTCTGTGAAAAAAGAAAGAAAAAAGGGGGAATATTCTCAAGGGAGTGATTTCTTTTTAGTTTTGACTGTGAGAGAAAACGAAGTGAGAAGAAGGGGATAAAAGAAGAAGAAGACACTAAACGGGAGAGGGCAAAAACAAGGGATGACGTGGCACAGATGATACTCACAGAAGTCATTCCCTGTGTGTACATGTGTGACAACAACTTTTCATCAATAGTATGTACATAAAAGCATGAGGGGAGCAAAGGAGCGCAATACAATGAGATTTGACGGGGAGGGGTTGAAGGGGAAGACAGGGTACATGTGACTGACCTTTTCAAAAAAGTTAACTTTGCTATGTACCAGAATTCAGAATACATGGGGAATATTTTATAGGGAAGAAGAGAAAGAGAGTATAGACTTTTGGCCCAATAGTCTTGAGAACCGAAGGATAAATGTCCGAAAGGTGTCCGTTTTCACAATAAAAAGTGAACAACTGGCACGTAGCATTATAGAAAGCTCATAAGAGCATCAATGAGGTAACCGGAAAATGAACTGATCTCGATAGAATTATCTTGAAACCTGTATTACAAGGGCGCCCACCCAGTCAAGTTTGAGCTAATTTATTAAATTTCCTATGGAAGATATCAAAAAGTGGTCAACTGACAAAATATTATTGAAATTCTAATAAAAATTTTATAAGTTGACAACATTTTTAAATTTTCGACAAGAACCGAGAAAAATCGGCTCAATTTATAACTTGCAGAAAATGACCCTAAATAGTCCGAAAACGGCTTTGAAAATAGTCTCGAATGGCCAAAAGGTGTCAAAAATGGCTTAAATGGTTCAAGTGACAGCAAAAACGGTTATGGGCTCTTTTATTACAGGTTTTACGGTAAAATATCACAATAGAAAACTTGGCTCAGATTTTATCAAGTCACAGAAAAGTTCACATTATCCTTATTTGAAGCTAGTGGTAAAAAGTATAGCCTAGATAGATTCAACGCTTCAATTCCACATTAATCTCCGGGGCATTTTCAGCAAAAAAAGACAATACTGACTACTGAGAACGAATTTTAATCCTTTGAACCTCAGATGAACTCAAAGAAAGCAAAAACGGCTTTCAGTTATCCTCTTTTTTATGTGTGAGCAGTTCAGAAATGTTTCTCCTTACACGTGCGTGAAAATGTAATTGAAATGGCAACAAAAAGAAGAAGCGACACGAGAGGGTCCTTTTGCCTCTGCGCTTCTATTCTTATGTCCTTCAGTCCTTCTACGACTACTAGTTCTTCTTCTTCTTCTCTCAACTATTCTATTCTTCTTCCTATTCTGATGCACGCAGAATAGGAGATATAATTTAGATGAGTACCCCTCTCACGCCGAGTTAACCTCTCATCATAAAATTTAGATTCAAAGATCGAAGAAGATATGCTCTTTCTGGTGATGACGATAACAAGAACAGATTCAGAAGTCTGACAAAAAGCGAAAGACGTTTCACAGAAGGGATGCAAGAAATTCAAGGCTCCTCTTCTCCTCTCTTCCTCTTCCTCTCTTCCTTTCCTTTTCTTGTCGTCCCATTTCCGTCGCCTGTCGAAGATTGAATTTCTTAAAAGACATGGAAAACTAAAAAAGGAAGATTGGAGAAATAAAAAGAAGAACCGGAAAAGAGAGAAGAAGAAAAAGAGAAAGTCCCGGCTCATGTTCTGTATGGAGGTGTCCAAACAGGTGATTTCTCGGATGGAGAATTGTGCCAATCAGACAACGCTACACATGGTTTCATGCTATGAAAAGAACCTGGGAATGTGGAAAAAAATCACTTGAGCAGCACTGATGCATACTGAATCCTCTTCCCCTACTTTTGCACTTTTGAACTTGTTTGTTCGAGTTATTGGGAGTGTGGGTAGTCTATAGAATCTTTGGACTCATTTTTACAAAGTTTGCCGCTCTTAATTTTTTTTTGGGATAGGTTGAACTCAGTATGTGTAAATAAAGTTTATATGCCAGGAATGTGAATAACTTAAAAAATCAAACTTTAATCTCAGTAAGGTTATTCTAAAAAAGAAAACAAAAAAAGAAAAATGCAAAGCACCTAACAACATATTTTTGACATTTTACTTGTTTCTGTGTATTCTAAAAACATTTGTTTCAACCATAACACCAAATTTAATGTATTTTCTATCTGGCAAACATCACAACTCAAAAAGAAAAAGATGCCGTAAAACTTGTATCGGAAGGTGTTTGAAGACCCTTCTGTTGTTCGCAGGGCCCTTCTATCATAGGAATACTTAAATTAGAGGAGCCCTTTTATTTTCACGGCAGTTTCTTCAAAAAACGGTGATACGAAAATTCGGTGAATTCTCGTTCAAAATTCATGAAAATCTACTAATTTCAACAAAAAGAGAGTTTTTGAACAGAAAATTGCTGCAATAAATTTCTGTGAAACTGTAGAATTTCCGAACAGTTTTCCTGAAAACGTACGGAAAATTTCAATTTTAAATGAAACAGTTTTGAGAGGCACCTCTATTACAGGGACCCTTTTATATTTCCAGGTCATTCTCGGAGGGCCATTCTATTAAAGGTTATACTGGATATCTATTTAAAGTTACAGTAAGCCAAGCAATAAAACCAATTCAACTTACCCGTTTCCGACTGCCAATGGCCTTAGTTGAAGCTTCGGAACCATCATGTTTTGTGTGTTGTTTGTATTTGTATGTTAGTTAGTTATTTGCAGAAACCAGAGACGTTTCGAAAAATAAGTATCAGCGGTGGCGACGACGGGAGAGCATAAAAGTTGGTTGGCGAGTGGTTTGCATGTAAGTTTTGCCGGGAGTTGAGTGTGTGCTCCGGGCCACGAGTATGTGAGTGTGCAATTCAAGCGATTAGCAATTCAGTCGAGAGTTCCGGAGGAGTGCAATCCCGGGCACCCGAATGCCTGATGACGTTACAAGACGGGATTCCTTCAGATGAGTAATAGGTAGACGAAGTGGGTAAGAATCGAATATGAACTATTGGGTCGAACCAGTAGGAGCAGCTCAATGAGCACCTTTACACCTACTCGCCCAATTATTGTTTATTCTGGAGACCCCGTCGTTGGGGAAGGACGCAGGGACTCGCGAGAAGAAACACTGAGGCGGAATAATTGGGCACCGTGGAGCAGGCTACTGAGGGGAGGAGAACCAGAAAACGAAGAAAAAAAGGAAGGACAATCAGAGGAGGAAATAGGAAACGAAGATCATAAAAAGGAGAATCATGCGGTTCGAGATTTTTTTTCTAGTTAAGTAAAGCTCACTCAAACGTGTCTCTGTTGTTTTAACATGATGAAAAATGTCACTTTCGAAATGTGAAGTTTTACTGAAAGTTGACTACACCGTGAGCTTCTGGAGAATGTCAGAGAACATAATTAGGGCCTTGATAATATCAACACAGTTCAGAATTCGTGTACTTGGACTGTACAGTTAAGGAAAATTAAGAAAAAAGTCAGGAAGTATTTCAGTGCAAGTTTCCAAACTTCCTATTCTCGCTTTGACCTAATAGAACGCCACTCCCAATTGTAATATTAGGATGGTAAAAAAGTAATGCGCGTTTTTGATGAACTTAAAATTTATGCAAAACCAAAACGAAAGTATATCAATCGATGGGGTATTTTTTATTATTATCGACCCTTTTCTGCCAATGTATGAGCAAAGATTGGATGCATCTGTTGTAGAACTACACTAGCTGTGGTTCGAAGTAGTTCTGGCCAAACGCGCATTACTTTTTTACCAACCTATTAGAACGCCACTCCTAACTTTGAACTTGAGTTTTTTTTAAAATTTATTTCGTTTCATGTAATAATTTTTTATTTCGTTTCATGTAATAGATATCAAAAAGTGGTTAATTGACAAAATATTTTTGAAATCATGGTAAACATTTTGTTAGTTGGTCACTTTTCGATATCTTTTACAGGAAATGAGATATATGGATTCAAAGTTGGCTGTTCGGGTGGGCTAGGGTACTTCAATTTTTTATTCGTTAAAAAATTTTGTTCAATATAAAGCCTTTTTAAAAAACAAGGTACATATGCCCATATAATCAATAAAATTTTCACAATTACAAAAGTTTACAACAATGGCACACTTGCAGAATTTCAGCTGCCACTGTCCTATTTCAGACGCATACAGCCGACGGCTACGTCATTTTTCACTTCTACTACGTTACTTCTCTCCCAAATTACTAATTCCACAAGTTTTTTTCCCTTTCGTAAGGGATGTATCACTTCACAATGCCCTTCAAACCTCTTCGTTAGACACGATCTTCGCTTCTGAAAGAATCAGAGTCACGCGATCTGTGCCACGTCACAAGTACCCTTGTGACCTATTTTCTTTGGCTCACGAAATCTAGACGTCACATCAGAGAATCAGACGTTCGGATCTCTAGATTCGTATACACTGTCTGTCACAAGACTCATTTCCATTTCATAAATCTCGGACGTTTTCACATCAAAGAGACGTCTAGAAAGGGGACCCATATAAAATGGAAATACCAGACATATAAATTGGATGGCTCAAGAAACTGATGATGATGTGACTTAGATGTCTAGTCAAGTGGTCTTCAAAACGAACCTTTGAGTGAACGGGCGGCTGAAGAAATCATGGAGAGCCTTGGTCGATCGACGACGATTTATCCGAGTGGGAGGCAAGCCGATGGCACTGTTGGTCATTATCTGGAATTGGATGAAATGTAAAAAAAAAGAAAAATACAAGTGAAATGAGCAAAGGGAAAACTCGAAAAGAGCAATTATCAACTCAAGGGAAAGTAGGCAGGAAATCTTCGTGGGAAGCGACATTTTGAGATCAAGGAGAGGTTTGAGAAGTCAAGATAGGCCGAGTGCATTTTTTAGAATTCTAATAAGACGTTCGTATATGTAATCCAGAAAGCTAGAGTGAGCATTAGACAGCAAATACTAATAAAAACCAATAAAACATTGTGGATTAGGGATCAGATACGTACATACAACAGGAGAATAAAAAAAAGAAGAGTAGCAGATTACGGCTCCCAAACCAAAGGAAGGGACATCGGGAAAGTGACAGCTGAGGGGTACGTCATCTCTGTACGTCAGAGAGGAGAAATGGGTACAATGTGATTTACGAAATCTGTTTCCAAAATCTTGCGCTCGACCTCTCCCGAAATCAAATTGTTCACTTTGCAAAGTGACATTGATAGTTGCCATTCCGGGATGACTCTTTCTAGTTACCCAGCGTCTTTGAGACTTTCTTAGCAACTCAAAGACGGATCTTTTGAATTATTTATATGTGTCACTTGTGGGAGTTTGCATGCAAAGACAACACAAAGAAACGTGAGCAAAAAATAGCGTCATTTTTTTCTGTATTTTGTTTTACAGAGAAATACGTTACTGGGACGAGCTACTCGAATTTTGGAAGAAGGGGAGTTGTAATAGAATAAAATTTTTTGCAAGAAAAAAGAATGGATGTTCTACACCTGTGAACCATACCTGGGTTTTCAGTATTTTTTTTCCTGTCTTTTCAAAAAACTATCGGGGTCAACTTACTTAAAAGAAAGTTTTTTTTGGCAAAAAAATTGGAAAATTTCTGATAATTTAAATTTTCTCAAATGTGAAAAACTCGGGCCCACCAAGCCGGACCGGGCCGGAGATGTCGTGGGCCGTGCAGGGCCTTGATTTTTCAAGTATGCATCAAACACTAGTAAACTATCTTAAATACGTAAAACCTTTAAAAGTGGCTTTAGCCAGATAATCGACACTTTTGGTCGGATTGATTCGGGGAAGTAGATTGAAGTATGAAAATTAATTACCTAGTACTACTAGCTAGTTTTGATTAAAACCTAGGTAGGGAGACATTAGTCTTGAAAAAAAAAACAATCAGAAGGTGAATTTACTTTTAACAGGCAAAAAATAAATCAAGAGGTTAGAGTGACTGACTTAAAAGTGTTCAACAGTTTCAGTCTGCCTAGTCTGCGACTTTATAGGCGATCGAAAATATCCTTGAAACACTCTCGAATGTCCTTCAGAAATCCAAACTTTCATGGATCCATCTCCAGGTTTTCGGGATCAAATTAAGTCCCGATATGTTTATACAATATATTCCAATCCGGATCATTGTTGGCTGATCCGAGCAGATACTGACCAGCTCACAGCCATCAGAAAAATGATGAAACCTATGATTCGGGGGGAAGAGCCGGAGTCGAGATCTTTACTGACTCATCACGGCACTAAACATCAGATGGCTCAATTCATTCTCAAAGGTCTCAGAAATTTCCAGATGTCGACTTTGGGGATGGGAACAGAGACAAAGTGGGAGAAGGATACAAAATTAGTTTTGGGTCGGGAACTTGAAAAAAATAACTAAAGAGTTGTTCTTCTGTGTGTTGGTTGGATTGACAAGTGCGAGAACAAACAAAGATCAGAAGCCACGAAAGGTTCCCTCCCTTCTCTCCGGGGCACCGGATAATAGCGGGTGTGTGAGTTCAATTAAAAGGCTACTGGGAGATGGCAATGAATTGAATAGAGAAGATGAAAAAGGAAAAGTAACCGGGACCTCTTCTATACGTATTTCTAATGTTCATTTATTATTGTTATTGTGTTAAAAATACGGGGCCGATGACGAAGGAGGTTGTGTTACTCTGTAGAGTGTTAGAAAAAGGAAATAAATAGGAGGGAAAAAAGGAAGAAAATGAGAATGGAGACCAAAAGGAAAATACGCTTTTTCCAGTGGGTACGTTGAGGAATAATGAACAGATTCATGTGCAGAATTAAATGGAAAAAACACGAGAGGAGAGAAAAACACAGGGGGAAACAATATGGAGAAATTGAAAAATAGAAAACATATTACTTTATGTAGATTGGGAGCTAGAAAGAAATTAATCAACAGTTCGAGTGGTAATTGGATCTTGATTTATGTTCGAATATCGTCAGGTACTGTAAACATTTTTCAATATCTCAGTTACTGTAAAAGATATTTAGAAGTTTTCAACTGGCAAAATTGTTTTGAAATTATAATAAACATTTTTGCAGACATTCATTAACTGGGCTTGCCAATTTTGAGCACATATATCTCAATTCCTGTAAAAGGTATCAAAAATTGGTTGGCTTATAAAATATTGATGATATTGTGATAAACGTTTTGCTAGTTGACCACTTTTTGATATTACTTACAGGAACTGAGATATATGGGTTCAAGGTTGTCGGTTTGAGTGGCCTTCTATTAGAGTGTTTACGGTATCTAGTTTCAAAACTTTTTCAGAGGATGGTTGTTAAAACTGCAAGATAATGACTTAATATTGATTTTTCTAGGTCCAGTGTTAATAATGTACTCATACTTTTCTAAAAATTTAGTACTGAATGAATAAAATGAAGACATTCTAGAAAAGCTGTCACACTCAACATTAGGATCTTGTAGTTTTTGATTGAACGTAAATCAACAGAGCCAGAATACAGAAGGAAACAAGTTACTATCTCATTTTCTGTCAGAGTCATTTTCAGATGAGAATCATATTCACTACACCTAACACATGCAAAACTAAAACAATGCTCGAGCAAGAAGGAAATATACAATATTGGAAGCAACAAAAGAATGTTTTATGACGTGGAAATATTCGATTGGATCACTGAACTAAACAACTGAGCACTGACGATCCTCGTAGTAGCAGGGTCTAAGTCCGAGCTCAATATTCTCAATAAAATGGCAAAAGTTTTTATCAAAGTGCCCACTTGCCGACAGCGTAGCCAGTGCACAAAGTGCGCTTTCTGATCATAGTGTAATCTGTGTCTGGTGGTCTATCAATATCGCATACTATCTAACCGATCGCTATTGAGTTTCAATGTTAGACAGAAGGAGAGAAGAAGAAAAGGATCACTGGTTTAGTATTGTAATTCTGATATGATGGATGCATCTGGGTGATGATGGGCCGGCTGTAGAAGACAAAATAAGACAAGTCTAGAATAACAGAGAAAAATGGGGGTGGAGGAAGGACAGGGGAATTAATATTCACAGAATCTCGAGGAACTAATTGGACATTTGGGATTGATTTGAAAAAAAAAGAAAGACATATTTTTGGGAGTAAGAATACCTGGAATATAGTCTACCATTTAGTGTCTGTGTCTGTGAACAAAGATGATTGAAGGGAGCGATGTTTGGTAACCTGTCATTTTTTGATAAGCACTTGGTGTTGATTCAAAAGAAAAAGAGGAATGCATCTTGTGATTGAATTCGTGAGAAAATTCAAGAATTTCTAAATGTTCCAAAAAATTTGAATGAAAGCCAATTTTGGGAACTTTATGAGAGAGGTAGGGTACCACATGGTACAATTAAAAAATATAAATAAATTTATTACAGATGAAGGATGAAATGAAAAATTATATAATTGGATCGAGTCATGGAAAAATTGAGAGTATTTTTTAGGGAACAAATATTCCTTATGTTATTCTCTTCGAGCGAGGAAGAGCCTTCTAAAAATAGCAAAGTAGTCAAAAGAGTTATATCAAACACAAGGATCAAATATCTGATCAGCAGTTTTTGAAAAACGAGTAAATGTTCATATGACGAGCCATAAAACTCGTCTGGCCAGATGGGACGAAGCGATAATTTATTTTGTCACAGTGGCATGAAAAATTATTTACGGGGGGGATCAGGACCACACCAAAAAAACAAAGAAGGCAATGGAATAAGTAATTAGTGGTAGAAAACAATGGTTATCGTATTACAAAGAGCACCCAAGGGAAGAGAGAAACTAGGCGCAAAATTTTTGGAAATCAGAATAAACGTTATTTTGAAGTGAAAATGGAATTTGCCTTGTTCGAGACAGCATTTTGTGTGCACTACACATATTATAATTATAGCAAGAAAATTGCACCGGAAAAGTCTCCAGTCTTTCCATTTTCAGGAAAACATGATGGATTGAATGTTCGAGTGCCCTTCGAATTTTTTCAAAAGTTGACTACTGTTCGAATTTGTTTACAATAGAAGCTTTGGAGAGGAATAGAAAAATAGAAAACAAAAGATAATTTTTTTTAAATCTGTAAACCTGAAACTTCCACTTCTTGAATTTAGAAATGTCAGAAATTTTGAAATCTAGAAGTCTGAAAATTTGAACATCTAACATTCAGAAGTCTAGAAAATTGAACGTTTCGAGATCTCGGAATTCGAAAAATTCCAATCCTAAAAGACCAGAAAATAACATCTTCCTGGGTTCCTGAAAATTACATTGATGGCCTTGTTATTAGACTCGCTTTCGAATTTCACTATCAAATTTCTTGAATGTCTGACTTTCTCTAAACGTGAACACATTTTTCAAGCTCATCTAATTTCATTACAATTTTAAAAAAACCGAGAATGACCTCCGTGAAACCCCCTAAAAATGAGAACAGAAAAAAAAAACCATATAGTCTGGTAGAACTCGAGAAGATTAGTATCAAGTTTGCAACGTTCAAGTTCAGGAGTCTTCGAAGGCTACGAGATCTACGGTGCTTACGACTTCTACTAAGTCTACGCTGCTTTCGATGTCTACGATGTCTACATTCTTCCAGGATAAGTTTCGAATTGCGAAATGGTATAGAATTGAGGTTAGTTTCGAATTTCAAAGGGTATCAGACAGACTTTGATATTCTAGATTTCAGAAATCCACGAAGTCTAAGCACACGATGCCCAGGATGCCAAGGATGCCCAGGATGCCCACGGTGCCCACGATGCCCACGATGCCCACGATGCCCACGATGCCCACGATGCCCACGATGCCCACGATGCCCACGATGCCCACGATTCCTACGATGTCTACGATTCCAATCAAAAATTAGCAATAGCGAAATGAATAGAATTGAGGCCAGTTTAAACTTTTGAAGGTTTTTAGAAAGTCTTTGAAATTCTCAAAAAATTGTGACTATTTTTAACAAATTTCAAAAAATTTGGGAAGGGTTTACGACAAATGCTCGATTTAAAAAAAAAAACTTGGCATTTTTTATGATTAATTTTTTGAGATACTTTTGACAATCCAGTTAATGACTTGAGATTAATTTCCGAATTTCAAATTTTTTAGTTTGACTTTCCCTAAACGTGAACGCATTTTTTCAAACCCACTTAATTTCTTTGAAATAGGAAAAATGGCGGATGACCTCCTTGAAACCCCCTTAAAAATGAGGACAGGAAAAATTGTATAGTCTGGTAGAACTCGAAAAAAATTAGTATTAAATTTGCAACGTTCAAGTTCAGGAATCTTCGAACGATGTCTATGATGTCAACGATGTCCACGATATCTACTGATTCAACACTCCCAGGGAAAGTTTCGAATATCGAAATGGTTTAAAATTGAGGTTAGTTTCAACCTTCACGGTGAGTTTTTCACTACCGAAATGCGAAACAGTCTGCGACGTTTTAAAGAACAATGGACAAAAAAATCTGATTCATTTTTTACTATATAATCTTCATGAAATTTACAAAAAATTTATGGAACGAAAAAAATCCTTGGGCTAGAATTCGAGAAACCGTGAACCTTTGAGGGGCATTAGACAGGATTCGAATTATTCTGTTTTAGAACTCCGCGAAGCCTACGAAGTCTACGATGTCTTCGATGTCTACGATGTTTCCCGGACCTGCAAGTTTTCAATAACAGAAGGGACTACAGATGAGGTCAGTTCTGAATTTTCATAATTTGGACAAGTTTTCGGTCGCAAGACGGTTAACAAAAAAAATTTGGAATTTTCAAAATTTAAAAAATTGGAGTTCTATTTCAGAAGTCTATGATGTCTACGATTTCTCGTTCTCACTAACAGCTGCAGTTAAGGTTAGTTTCAAATTTTACTAAATTTTGAGTTAATTAGAAAAAATTTAAGTGCCACTAGAATTTTCGAATTTTACGTGATTTTGAAATACAAATTTCAGTGGAACACGTGACAAGAACGAATGGCAAGACAACGGAAGAGACAACGGAAGAGAATGTGAACTTTATTTATATGTCTTCTTTTTTTCTTTTTTGCGCGTTGGTCCTCTTTGTCGGTTGATCTGATTTTCTGGTTTCTCGTCTCATCCTTTTTTGGTCATTTGGTGCTCCACGTCAGAGATGCACGAATAGTCCGTTGTTCGGCAATTTTCGGCTGTCCGTTGTCCGTTGAATTTTTGTCCGTCCGTCGACCAGAAAAATTGTAATTGAAATTCCCCGTCTCAGAAAGTATTTAAAATGGTGGATGTGCTCCGGTTCCCTTTCCATCCCTATTTTTCCATTCCGTCCGTCCGTGCGTCTCTGGTTGGTCATCTTTGTCAGCCGTTCTTTTTTTTCTTGTTTCTCCGTCCATCCTTGATACGATAATTTACAAGGAAAAAATGGAATGTGGAGCGAAGTTTAGAACTCCTGAAAATTATGTTTTCTGAAAATTTTATTAAAATCTGAGCTAAAAGTTGAAACATCATTAACCTGATAAAGTTTAATGAAAATTGCAATGAAAAATAAAAATCCATCTGAAATTCAATAATATTGTCCTTGGTACATCAAAAATATACTCACTTTTTTCTTACGATATTATCGAAAAGCCCTATCGCATGAAAAAATACACATCTAAATTTCCTATTGAGTTTTACATACTCATTTCCATAGTTTCTTCTAAGATTTCCCTCGTTTTCATGGTATTCCAAATTTATAGAATTTCAGAAGATTCTAGATCTTTGCTGATTAGTGTTTTAGGATCTTTCGAGATATTCTAATTCTAATCAAGCCAAATGTGCAGAATAAAGTCTTCAACTACCACCTGACTGTAGTATATCTGTAATTTTTCACACCTTTCGGTTCAAAATCTTAATTTTAGGACTCGATTTTATATCATAATGTTAATTGAAATAGCAAAAAAACGGAACGCTGATTATCTGCAATTTCTATAATGCCCATAAATTCACCTGTTCAAATTCGTTTAACGTTTTGAAATCCCATAGTATCGTCAACCCTTCTGAAACATTTGTATTTCTTTTCAAGATTATGAGGCTCCGACGACATGTGTTTGTTTGCATGACTCGAGCTTTGAATCCATCCGCAACAAAATATTATTGTGGTTCAATTTTTTTAGGGAACTCGAATTAGGGAACTCGAATGTTTAGGGAACGAATTTTTAGGGAACTCGAATGTTCTATAGATTCCTGGGTCCATCAGATATACTAATAAATGTTCTTTCATGATGTGTGTCGGAGTTTAAAGCGGGAAGATGGATGACCAGTGAAGATCCAGTGGGTACCTGAAAGTTGAGCACAAGTTTTTGAAATTCCAACAAAACATTTTTGAAGTGGTCAACACAATTGAACGTTTCAAAAGTATCAACAAAGTTTTGACGAAGTGATTCTCGGCCACTGAATGGACGCTATTCCCCTTGCCTGCCGTCCCAGGTTGTAACATCCTGGCACTTCTTTTTGCTTTTTCCCTCTCTATCAGCTCCAATTGATTGTTCTTCTCTTCATCATCTACAAACTCGAGCGAAATACTCAGATAAACATTGATTCGAAGAGACATCAGACGCGAACGACAGGCGCCCGATGGAAGTAGCCGGGAGGGGAGCTTCTGCGGGTATCACACACTCTTCGGGATCCTCTTCTTCATCATCATCTCTTCTTCTCTCCTCTCTTAGCTTCTTCGCCCCCACATGCACACATACACCCTGTTATCATTCCAGATACTCTTTTATCTCTTCATCTTTTTATTCGTGTATTGATTGATATTTTTTTTCTTGTTGCTGTGTGTTTTTGTTGTTCTGAAAGTGTGAGTTTCCTTTCTGAATATGTGTGTTCTTCCTTCTGTTCATATGTATCTCTTATGAAATGATGCGACATGTGTCAACTGGGATTCCAGTCGTTAAAATTTCTATACGAGCTGTTCGATTTCACTTCTTTTTTCATTCTCGGATGGACGAGCGAGAATTTTCTTCAATTTTAAAATTTATAAGTTCTTTTTATAATTTCTTTCACTTTCATATTTATACCAGAGTTACCGTATTTTTTTCTACTAGCAGTCTATTCAAACCGTCAACTTCGAGCTCAAATATCTCTTTTATTTTATCTCGATTCCCGTAATAGATGTCAAACTGGTAAAATGTTGATGATATTATGATACATAACTTATTAGTTCACAAAATTTCGGTATCTTTCACAACAAACGAGATAATTGAGCTCAGAAGAACATTCTATAAAATCTCTCTTTTTGATTAAGAACCTCAATTAGAACCTATAGGTTCGTATACGCGAATTTTGCTTGTGCTTTGTATTCTGTTTCCATAAAACACATCTCGAAAACCATGACGTGCCAGTCTACGTTCACTTTTCTAAAAAGTTTTTCTTTTTTTTTGCCTGTCAAGTATCTTGTCCTCCTCTCTGCTTGTTCTCTCCTTCTGTTCAAAAACCATTATTCTTGCTTTTCCATTTACTGTTCTCCTAATTTTTATTACTTTTCACAGTTCTCTCTAGCTCTGGGTTTCACCTCTTCAAATCATTTTTTTCTGTCAGGGTGTGTGATAATTACCCCTCATTTCTCTCTTGTCACTTATATAACACTTTTTGTGCCGGGAGCTCAAAAATCAACAGCTGTCTGTTTGGAATTCCGTGACATTTCTAGCTTTGAATTTTCTCATCCATCTTCTTTCTTATTGGCTTTTTGGAATATCTGAAACATCCTGTAAATCTTTTTCGTCACTTCAATTCAGCTCTGGAATTATTGGTTTGGTGCCAAAAGAGTTGAAAAAGAGAGCAGCAAAAAGATAGAAAGCTTGGCGCTAGGACATAAGTTCCACAAAAAGTGATAGTCGTTGCGACAGATTTTTCCCGAGGTCAACAATATAAACGGATGGTGCAAACGATGTGGAGAAAAGAGCATTTTGGTTCTAACGGGATAACAAGCCACTTGGTTGGGTAAAGAAAAACTGGCAGAGAAAACTAGATCAAACATATCAGCAGGAAGAAGAAAAAAGAGCAAGTGACATGAATGAGCAAAACATAGAGCATGAGAATGAAAGGTTAAAGATATCTGGTGAAGAGCTTTTAGAAGATAAAAACCAGTATAAGTAGAAGATTCAGAAACATTTCCTGGTTTTCCTACGGTAGTAGCGAGTACATGAAACTTTAAATACCGTAAAACCTATATTAGATGGGCGGGCACTTGTATTGTTCCAAGGTACCTCCGGAGGGCCCTTCTATTAGAGGTACCCTTCTAATACAGGTTTTACGGTATTGTCTATTGCTACCAGAACAACTGTTGAGATCTAGATTTGTTAGAAAAAAAACATCGAACAATAGATCTGATGAGTAACTTAGTAGAAGTTGACTATCGTAGATCACAAGAAACAGTTTTGACCTACCTATGTGGTCGGTTAGTACTCCCTCCACGCTTCGGTCCTTATGTTGATCGCTAATCACAAACACTCGTTAATTATTTGCTCTCAATTTCCTCTTCCGTCTCTCTAATCAACACACTATTTTCATTAGTCCTTTGTAAAGATGGTGGCAAAACGAATGTACTGGTAGTTGTAATCGAAAAGAAAAAAGTTCAATCACTCAACCCCGTGTACACTTGCTTCGTCTTATTCGAATCCGAAATGAACGAATTCCAAAAAGTTAGCGACTTCCCCGGATCTCAAATAACGTCATACCAGAAGCAATCTAACTATTCTGGTTTGGAAAAGTTAATTGATGAAACTTCAGATGAAGTAACATCTGAATCAGAAGACTCTTCCCGATTAAAAAGTTTATCACACTCAGAAACAGAAAACCACTTGAGTGGTGGCGGTTTTGTGGCAAAAGATTTACTTTCCTCTCCGATTATTCGTTTGCCGCAAACAGCTATTCGCACCTGTCAAAGCATTGATATTGATACGAAGAATCGATCGAAAAATGATACTTCTATTTTGAGCTCTTTATTTTATTCATCCTGTAATTATATCCTAAATTCAATCATTCCCGATCCACTGGATCTCATCGCTGCAGCGGTCGGACAGTCGACCGCTCAAGCACTTTTGGTGGCCCAGGTAACTCTTACTTTCAAATTCCAATCAATTCGTTTTATCCCTTTTCCGCAGCTCCTTTTCTTCTGCGTTTCTTTTGCTTTCCTTTTCCACTTGAACATGTGTACAGTCCTAGAGGCTTCATCTACCAATCCCTCCTCCAAAAGACATGATAACCCTCTTGTTAAAACACTCTCTAACCTTTTTCTTATCGATTTTTAAGGAAAATTTTCAAGAGTTTAAAATCTATTGTACCGGAAAAGAATATTAAGAGTATTGTAATGAAAAACTACCTATAGATCCTTGGAAACATTGTATTGGGCATTTTTTATTAGACTGAAAATTTTTTGAAAATAGACACGAAACCGCAATTCCTTTTATTCGTTTATTTTTTAACTTATGAGATTCAGGGATGTTAAAAAAATGGACCCCAAAACCTCTAATAGAAATGCCCTAACTTTTAAAATTGAGCTAGTTTTCTTGGTTCTTGTCCAAGATATCGAAAAATTGTCAACAGATAAATTGCTTATTATAATATCAGAAATGTTTTGTCAGTTGACACATTTTTGATATCTTGCATAGAAATTGAGTTAATCGAGCTCAAGGTTGATAGTGTGGGAGCCCTTCTATTACAGATTTTACGGTATATGAAATGACACAAATAGTTACGGAAATGAGTCATAATTTTGTTTTTTATCGTTTCATTAGTTTCCCCTCCTTTCTGCCAAACATTCCAAAGCAACAAATCCACCTTTTTAAAAATATTAAAACTTGGGAAACAACAAAAAAACAATCGATATCCCAAACCTTGAAATAAGAAATTTTAGATCTACACAATAATTCTACTAGGAATCTCTATGAATATATAAAAACTATTTTGTATTTTCTACTAGTTGCCACCCGATTCAATACTTAGCAAAACCTGCAATTTAAGGGCTCCCACACTGTCAAGTTTGAACTAAATTTTCCCAATTCCTATGCAAGATATCAAAATGTGTGAACTGACGAAATGCTTTTGATATTTCGATAAACAATTTATTAGTTGACAACTTTGATATCTTTGAAAGGTACCGAGATAAATTGGCTCAAACTTAAAAGTTAAAAGTTAGAAGGCTCTTCTTCGTATTACATGTTTTACGATGATTGAAAATATCCTACCCATCATCATCATGAACTAGCAATTAATCTTTGTCCTTGTCTATTCAATCCATCTTGTTCCAGATCAGTTGGATGGTTTGTGTGTGTTGTCGTTGTTGTCTTTGTAAATGTGTAGCAGGTGGTCGGGCGGTTCGTGGACAGAAAAAACAGATCCGCGAACCGACAATAGCCGATGACGATGGACGTGATTTACCTTATGAGGTGCCGGGTCTTATACATATTCCAAAACCTGTTTACAATAAAAAACTCTCAAAATCACGATCCTCGTCTGTCCCACATGTCGCTGTTCCGTCACTCGTATCGTCCAGTGCCAACTATAAACGCATGTCAATGTGGGAGACTTCGTTGAATGTACAAAGTGATGTCGAACCGTTGCACACGCCGCCACTCGTTGTAGAACGGAAACTTGACTATATAGACAAAGAAGGCAATAATCCAAGTTGTTGTAGAGAAAGAGGAACGCGCAAACCTGGCTTCAGACCGCTGAGAGGATCAGGATCACCGTCACCACCGTGAGTTGTTATTTTTGAAGAAATTCCAAAAATTTTAGGCATTTTCAGTGATACCCTAACGTCGACGAAAGTCGCTGTTAGCTCAGCATCGGAAGCCAAGAAGATCAAAGATCACAAGAAGGAATTGAAAAAGGAGAAGGAGAAAAAGAAGAAAATGGATAAGAGACAAGCATCGAGTGGAGGAGGATTCTTCACTCGATGGTTCGGCGGTTCTGGAAGTAACAATAGTCAACAGAATCTCGCTGAAGACGTGATCGATGCGCGAAGCGAACGAAAAACCGCGAAACAACGCGAACAGGAGTTATTGCAACGATCTGAAAGAAGATCCGGGGTGAGTTTTTGATTTTTAAGGAATAGGGAGTTCGTAGAACTTCATTCAAACCAAACTTTTTTTCAGGGAAGAACACACTCCCATGAGGAGTATCGTCGTCATCAACAACCAAATTTAATGGTGAATACGAACCTTGATGAGGACGATTATGCAACGATTGATAGAGTTCGAAGATCGAACAATCGTGAAAGTGAGTGGCCTATTCCATTCCTAGCTTCATATACCGTAAGACCTGTATTAGAAGGGTCCGCCCTTCTATTGTTTCCATGTACCTTGGGAGGGCCCTTCTATTACAGGGACCCTTTTATTTTTCTGGCCATATTTTCCACAAATTTTCATTTGAAAAAATCGGTGAATTCCCGTTTCGTCATCAAAATCTGTCAATTTCATCAAAATGCGCCAGTTTTGATCAGAAATAGTTTTTCAAAATTGTGAGATTTCCTGACTATTTTTAACTGAAACCCCATGAACATTTTAAATTTCAAACAAACATTTCTAAGGGGGCTCCTTCTAGTATTCCAAACCTCTCTCATGGTTTATTTAAAATTTCAAAAAAAAAAACATTTTTAAGGGGCCCTTCTATTACAGGGACCCCTTCTAATATTCCAAACCTCTATCGGAGGGCCCTTCTATTAGTGGGGCCCTTCTATTAAAGGGGTCCCTCGAATACAAGTTTTACTGTAATTTTTGAATCTTTTAGTGTCAATGCCAGCCTCTCCACGCAATGTGCACTTTGTGGATGAATCATCCGGTCCACTGAGTCGCAACATGAACGAATCCGCATTCGGAGACCGTGCTCATCTACAGTATCGTCCACGTGCTCAAAAAGGAGCCACCGGTCCAACAACTCGTGGTGCTCCAACATCATCTGTCACGAAGCTAGACGAAGCGACACTTGACTTACTCCGTCTGTCCACGGAGCCAAGTCCAGTGCCAAGCAGAAGAGCTCTGCCAAAATCCGCATCTCTCAGTTCTGTTCAACAAAAGCTACCAATCAAGACGATAGATGGTGGACAACTGAGAGTGGGAAATGTGTACACATGGGATCAGAATAGCGTCGATACGGCTACTGATGATGATCGTGGCAGAGAGTTCAACAGAGACGACAGATCAAGTCGGTTATCTCCACAAGCAGAGAGAAGAAACGAGAGACGTAAATTCGAACCGATTTAAAAAATTTTTGAACGATGTTTTCAGAAATCCAAATCCAACAACGGAGTGCCTCGAACGGACCAGCTAACCGTCGGGAAACCGAAATTGAATATGAAGAAAAACGACAAGGTCCTCCAGTGGTGAGTTTAACTTTCTGACTATTTCTTCAATTGCCATATGTTTTCCCCAGGTCCGAACGACGGTTGAAGGAAAGCTCAAAATGGAAAAGATCGTAGGAGCCGACTTGATTACTGTAGATAGTTGCATTTCAAGTGCATGGACAGTCAGAGACACTGTCACTAATTATAAGGTACTGATTGAGTCTTGATAGTTAAAATAGACAACTACAAAGTTTCAGATCAAATCAACAATTGGAAAGAAGAGTTTGATCTTGGAAGAGATGAAAGACGGTCAATCCAAGTACAAGGTATGAAGCAATATTGAGTATTGCTCCAAAAAGGAAGAATTTCAGATCACTCTTATCGAAAATGGCGAAACGAAAATGGAACGAGAAGCCAGTTTAGAAGTTCCTGATTTTGTTGTGAGTTTTAAATTAAATTTCAACAAATTCCAAAGCTTCTAAAAACCTGAAAATGAACATTTTCAGAACAAGAAAGATTACCTAGCCGAAGTTAGCAAGAAATTGCTCAGTGATCTCCAAGAAGATTCTGAATCTGTATCAGCTCTCACTCATATCGAAGTGGAAGTTGTGGAAGACGTCACGAATATTCTGAAAACCTACGTCATTGGAGAACGAGCTGACGATGTCTTAGCTGAAGAACAATTGAGACTTCACTACGAGCAGACTGCCGATAAAACACCATCTCCTATTCCACTTGAGAAGAGTGAAAAGATCTACGTGGACGTTTTTGAAAAAGAAAAAATCGAGCTGGAAGATCCCGAGAAAGCTGATATTCACTTGATCAAGGACGGACGTCACTTCGAAGGAGAAGGAGCTTTGAAGAGAGTCAGAAGATTCGAGACTGAAGAAAGTATCGAGAAACCGACTGTTATCAGAATGGAACCAAGATGTGCTCATGCATTTGCTGATTGCGATGTTGCAAAAAAAGAGGATACCTCGAATTATACTGTCAAGATTGCAGTTCCACTTGTTCACACTATCACTTTCTTGTTGAAGAAATCAAAGATGATGAGACAACAGAAGGCTGCTGGGTATGAAATGGAACAAGAAGGACAACGATTCGAAGATGAAACCACGTTGCGAAGAATCAAGAGATATGAAACGGAAGAAGAAGAAGAGAAACACGTGGCAGTTGTACAACATGTCGAAGAAGTTAAGGTAGCCACAATGAAGACCCAGAAGGAAGTGGAAGCAGAAGGAGGTCAATATGAAATGTCTCAAGAAGGAGTTCATCTTCGTGGAGAAATCGCATTCAAGAAACGTGGAAAGCATCTGGATTCTGAATCATCCGAAGAGAGATTCTTGGAAAGAGAGGCTGAAGGAGGACAATATGCGATGCAGATGGAAGGAGAACGACTTCTTGGTGAAAAGAAATTCAGAAGCAAGGGACGTCATTACGAATCGGAATCTGAGGAATCGATGGTGTCATGGAATGGTGGATCACCAACTCTTGTTGATTTGGTGAAGAAAGAATCATCATCCATCTTTGAGGCTACATTCGAAACTGCAAACAATCACTCTCCAATTGTTTCTGAAATTAGAAGACCAAAAATAAAAAAGGAGAACACCACCATCGGATGCACCATTGCAAACCAGAAAGCCACGTCAGCAAGTGCCGAGCTCACCACAAAACATGTCAACACTCAGAAGGGATCTGGAAAGTTCCGTGAATTGGGTGAGGAACAGGCTATGATGTTGTGTGGATTCGAAAACCAGAAGAGTTCCAAAGAAGAAATTGTCGGAGTTCGTCAGCAAAAGAACGAGAGCAAAGTTGTGTTCGCTGCTGGATCAGCTGAAACTGAGAACGCTACAATCTCCACCACAATCTTCCACGATGCGGATTCATTTGCTGTCGAAGGATCATCAAAGTCAGCCAACTCGACTGCCACGTACGGACGTTTCAAGGAGATGTCAGAAGAGAATGCTTCAAATATGGTTTACCTTCAGAAGAGCGAGAGCGAGAGCACCAACCTGAGTGAGACCGAGGCAAAGATGAAGGTAACATTATAACTATTCTGATATATGAAACTAATCCTGTTTATTCCAGCACGTCCACCGCGAATCATCTGAAGCTCGCTTCGCCGAGTTCAAGCAAGTCGCCGAAAGCTGTGCAGTCATGATCAAGAACACTGGAGTAGAGCGTGGATCGACATCTTCAACTGTCGCCGAGGCAGCCACTGGTTAGTTTATTTTGTTATCTCCCTGCCCCTTAGCACACGAACTGAGATTCCACCCCGCACATGATTGAGCGTGATTTTGATCTGAACCATGTTCCCCCATTTCAATGTTATGCACAAACACCCAAAAATCCACCTAAGCACACACAAACACACACACAAGTCACACACACCCACACACCCACACACCAACCACCACCATCTCCATGCACCGAGCACGCGCACGCCGAAACGAAGAAACCATGGCCAAATTTTAGGTACGTAAAGAAAAATCATAACTTCTTGTAAAGCGTCGCGCGACTGTATCAGTAAGTTAGGGCTAAGGCGCATAACCCAGACCCCCTCGAACTCCCCTTTCATACTCTTGTTGTCCTAAGATCTACGAATTCGTCGCAAGGATGCGAGAGGCGAGATCACCGTGTTCGTGCTATTCAAGAAAGTATTCGGCAACTATGTGCACGCTTCGATGCGACTCTCCTCCTTATCATCTGGTCGGCTCCGAGAGCATCGGGAGATGCGTTCCGAGCAGAAGAGCAGCAGTATGATGCATCAAGAATCGTCTCACTATGCTCACAGTTCATATGAGCACATGAGTGAGCACTACGAACATTCTTCATTCTATCATCACGGTAAGTCGGCACCCAGTGCCTCCCGCTCGTTGCATCTGCTTGTTCGTGTCGGCATTTTTTGATCTACCGTGAGACTTGAGACTTTTTGAGACTATGAGTGATTGGGAGAGAGACTGTGACTTTTCTAAGAACATGACATGACACACATATAAAAAATATGGCACCAGGTACACTTTTTGCTCTTCTTACAGAGTCCAGTAGCAGTGTCAGATCCAGTTCGATATACATTGAGCTGGGCGACGATATGGAGATAATTTGCGAACATAATACTAAACAAGCCATTCTAGCTTACTAAGAAACAAACATTTTTCTTTTTTTTTCTGTGTACAAACATCTCTATATCTATTTCCCAGTAGTGAATGAGTAGAGAGGGGCTCACATCGTCAAACGTCGTTTTAAAAACCAAACCAAATAATTTTTGTCTTTGTAAGTCCCTGAAATTTTATGCTAACGTCTACTCTCTAACTTTCGTCGTGCCTGGTTGCCTTTTTTAGTTGTAGTCTGACCCATAGTTGTGTGAGGAATGGATAGGTTTTCGTCTAAAAAAGACTAAAAACAGCTTTTTGTACTTTATTCACAATTTTCGCGTTTCTTTCTAAAAGACTGATCATCGAATTCTCGAAACATTTTTTCTTTGAATTCAATAAATTTTGGCTTCGTGGCCTGTGAATAAAGTTGACCTACATTCCAGAGAGTGATGAGCACGGCTTAGAGCCGGTCGAGGTTTCTAAGCAGTTGAGCAGTATCGAAAAGCAGCTAGTGAAACTAGATGATGTCGTTGTCGGGGCTGAAGAGACCAATACCGTCGAAGTGAAGGTGACCATCACGAAAAGGGAACAGCATGCGAATCAACTGATCGTCGTGTTGGAAGAGCCGTACGAATCCGCGGTTTCGGGAGGATTCAGACAAGTGAAAAAGCCAGTAGTGGATACTTCACTTGAGAGCAAAGTTAGAAAGTTGGAACAGAGTTCCTCGTATTCCATCATTAAAAAGTCGTCGTCGAAAGAATCTGTCGTTCATATTGGGAAACCACCACTGGAAAGACAAGCAAGTCTTGAAGGAAGATTCAGAATGCAAGAAAGTTGGTCTTCTGTTGAATGTAGAAGACGTTCTGCGTCTATTGATCGTGCCTCTATGAATCTTAGAGCCTCCCAAGAAGAAGTATGTACTGGATTCTGGAATACAACAAAAGGAGAAAGTACTAGAAGAACACTTCTTCAGAAGGCCAAGAGCACTGAAAGCATGAGTCTCAAATCTAAATCTGCTTCTCTCACTAACATCGAAATGTCATCTCAACATCAGAAAACATCTGCCACCAGAACAACATCCACTGAGATTGCCACTCATAGAAGAGAGATTGTCGCAGCTGCCTTCGGAATCTCAACACATTCCCTTGAACGTCTTCTGAACTTTGTTGAAGATGTGGATTGGGAAAACATCACAATGTTGGATTCACAAAAAGAAATCCTTTCGGTGAACTTGAAAGCTCTTACCAGTTCTCCAATTTCTCTCAACATTCCAAGTGTGTTAGGAAGAATAGTGGCGCCGGCTGAACAAGATGAAAGTTCTGATTTGATAATGAGAGATCGTCTTGAATCAAGAGTCTTCGCTCAGTTGAGAGCATCAGTCGATGAAATGACAACTCGGGAAGTGTCATTGGGATCAATGACCCAACTGGAGCAAGCCGCATTTATGAGTCTTTTGATTACAAGTGCCTCCAGATGTGATTTACGAACAATTGCACCCACGAACATTTCATCAACCACTGAAGTTTTCTACGATGTGGCTGAAGAGAAAATGAGTACCAGTGGAGTGATGAGTCGAGAATCCAGACGAGAATATGGTTCCAAAACATTCACGTCTTCCAGAGAAGAGATCGTTCAAGGATTCTGGAGAGGAGAACGAGACGAAGAGAAAGTTGTGAAGACATTGAAAGATCGGATGGAGAGTTTCAAACAATCACTCAATGTCAAATCAGTGTCATTCATTTCTGAAACTTCAACCCTAGGAATGAAGAAAGCTGATCGAACAGAAGAAACAAGTCATTCTCAGAAGATGACACCTAAAGAAATTGTATCAGAAGTTTTCGGAGTTTCTGAGAGCAAAACTGATCAATTCTTCCAAGTTCTGGAGAAAATGGATTGGAGTAAAATTCAATTGAGAGTAAAAGAGCATTCAGCAATTTCGGCTAACATTCGATCATTGGCTCCCACACAGAACTCATGTGATGGAATTTTGGGCAAACTGAGAGCCCCAAAACAAGAAGACGAATCTGCTGATGTGAAATTACAAGAAATCAGAAAAGCAACACTTGTGATGTCTGTTCGTGCTGCTCTTCAATCAACAATCTCCAGCAATTCAAATTTCGCCAAAAACATTTCTGATACTGAAAAAGCAGTTTTCAATAATCTCATCAGTGTTATTGTTTCACAAAACCTTTCAACTATTGCCACGTCATCTGAATCTGCAACAGCTTCTATTAATTATCAAGATATTCCAGAAGTTCTTGGTGCTTCCAGAACATGGATTTCCAAGACTTCTGAAAAGTTGAAACAAGAAATTCGGGAACCAATGATAGAAACTGTTGAATCATTCTGGAGTACTGCGAATGATCAAGAGAAAATTGCAGTTCTGGTGAATAAGAAAACAGAATCGATTTGTAGTTCATTGAATGCGTTGGCTACTAGCATCGAAAAAGAAAATATTCACAAAGAGTTGGTACGAGAAGCTGCGACTTCTGGAAGTGTAAACATCAAAACCGTCAGTCCTAGAGAAATCGTCTCCAACTCGTTCCAAATCACCAGAAGTGAGATGGAGCAACTCTTCAATGTTATGGAGAAAGTCGATTGGAGTCAAATCAGTTTACCAGTTCCAGAGCATTCCATCTTGTCTAAAAACATTCAATGCCTTGCACCACCGCTTTTTGACAGTTCAAACGTTCTGGGAAAATTAAGAGCTCCTGAAATGCAAGAACAGTCAGCTGATTTGAAAATTAGACAAGCACAACAAGCTAAAGTTGTGTTGGATGCCACTGCAGCCATGATGAGTACCATCGAGTCGTCACAAACATTCTGCAAATATCCAGAAGACGAGAAAGCAATTCTTAAGAACCTTGTTGGCATTATTGCAACTCAAGATTTGACTACAATCGGAACGTCTTCTGAAACTCAAACTGTTCAAATTGATTACTCGGAAGCTCAAGAACGATTAGAAGCAAGCAAAAAACTTGTTGCTCGCAATCTGAAAGTTCTGAAATCGGAGATCCGAGAAAGTAGTGAAGAAGTTGTTCAAGGATTCTGGAACACGGCTTCAGACCAAGAAAAAGTTGGAGCAATCGTCTGTGAAAAGCTGAAAACCATACATCATTCGCTTCAAACTCATGCGATCAGAACTGTTACCGAGAGCCTCAGTCGTGATATGAAACAAGAATCCCAAGATCTCGGAAGCCATCACTTTGTTAAACTGTCACCAAGAGAAGTTGTGCAAGCAGCATTCGGAATTTCTTCAGAATCAGTTGATCAGCTTCTAGAATTGATTGAGAAAATGGATTGGAGCAATATTGAATTGGCAGATAGAGTATATTCGAATATATCTGCTAATGTCAGAGCACTCGCATTGTCTTCTTCTCAATCTTCAGGAATTCTCGGAAAACTGATTGCACCACCACCAGAAGATGCATCAATTACTCAAGAGTTCCGTGATTTGAATACAGCTAAATGCATATTGAATGTGATGTCTTCATTCAACACATCTGTCACTTCCGATTCTATTTTATACCGAATTCCAGAAGAAGAGCGAGTCATTCTCTCGAACATTCTCGGAGTAATGGCTTCCAACAACCTCAACTTGCCTTCCGAATCTACAGTTTCTTCGTTCGGATTCAATAGAATATTTGAACTTTCGGATGCAAGACATGTCTTGAAACAGACTAACCAACAAAGTCTGACACAAAAGATTCGGGAATCCTCCGAAGAACTGGTTCAAGGAATCTGGAATACTGCAAGTGAGCAAGAGAAAGTTGCCATCATAGTCAAAGAAAAACTGGAGACAGTTTACCAGTCAATAAAAACGTTGGCAATTCAGATGGCTACTTTGTCAGTGAACAAAGAGTTGACTGGAAATGAAGAGAACCTGACATCAGTCAAAAATGTTGCTCTGGCACCTAGAGAAGTTGTTAAGTCAGCATTCGAGATTTCCAGCGAGACAGTTCAAACAATGCTGGAAGTTTTGGCTAAAGTTGACTGGAGTGATATCTCTTTGCCAGAGAAAAACCATCAATTTATTTCACAGAACGTCCGAAGTCTTGCTGAGCCATCGTTCAATTGTGATAGTATTCTTGGAAAACTTCAACATCCATCACCAGAATCGGAGTACGCTGATCACAAAGTAATCGAACAGAGAACAGCTTCTGCAGTGGCAACTTTGAAATCCACAGTTGAATCTGTCGTTTCCAGTGACTCATCATTCGTGAATCTACCACCCGAAGAGGTTGCAATCATCACTAACATGGCTGGATTAGTAATCTCAACTGACTTAACATCAATGTGCAACAGTTCTGATACGTTCGGATTCCAGCAGAGAATTACTCGAAATCAAAACGCAAGTGCGCTTCTGGCAGCAACCAACTCACAATCTCTGTTCGAACGTCTTTGTGAACCGGTTGAAAATCAAGTTCAAGGATTCTGGAGCACCGCTTCACCACATGAAAAAATGTCTATGGTTGTCAAGCAGAAGTTGGACACTATGTACGAGGTCATCAAGACAATTGCAACTCAAATGGTTACTCAGACTGTCGACCAACGTCTGTCAGCAACAGAACCATCATCAGAATCACTCAAAATCATTGACAAAGCAGCAAGAGAAGTCGTCACGGCCGAATTTGGAATCAGAAGTGAGAATGTTCAAACAACTTTGGAAGTACTGAGCAAAATCGATTGGAGTAGCATTTCACTCCCTGAAAAAATGCACCAAGCGATCACAAGTAATGTAAGAACTCTTGCGGAGCCTTCATTCAATTGTGACAGTATTCTTGGAAAACTCAATCCACCAGAAGCTCAAACTGCCAGTGCTGATAAGGAATTGTTGGATCAAAGAACGATTGAAGTGTCTGCAAAAGTTCAATCTGCTCTGGAATCTGCTATTTCAACTTTTTCTAATCTTCAAAAACTTCCAGCTGATGACAAGGCAGTCATATCTAAGATCGCTGAATTTATGGTTTCGAAGGACTTGAGCTCTATGACAAGTACATCAACCAGTTTTGGATTCCAAAGAGACTTATCTGATTCTCAAGATGCGTATATTCTTCTACGAACTCCAGGTTCGATGCTCTCGGAACAACATGTTCGAGAACCATCAAATCAACAAGTACAAGGCTTCTGGAGTACTGCATCACCACAAGAAAAAACAGAATTTATTGTCCAACAAAAATTGCACTCCCAGTATGATGCTATGAAAGTCATGGCAATTACTATTGCTTCTGAATCTGTTGATACCGAATTGAAGGGAATCGAAGACAATGTTGAGTTACAAAAGAACATTGGAACAGTCACCAAAGAAATCATTGCTTCTGCTTTTGGAATTTCCAGTGAAGCAGTTCAGAAAACATTGGAAGTTTTGTCTAAAGTCGAATGGTGCAGTATTTCTCTTCAAGAAAAAGAGCATCGATCAATTTCACAAAATATCAGAGCTCTCGCTGAACCGAGCTTCAATTGTGACAGTATCCTTGGAAAACTCAATCCACCTGATCAACAATCTGAAGCAGCCGAAAGAAGTGTAATGGAACAGAGAAAGGCTGTGATTTCTGTGAATCTGAAATCTGCAGTTCAATCTGTTATTTCCAAAGATTCAACTTTCCAAAAACTTTCTGAGGATGATAAATCGTCGATTTACAAAGTTTCAGAAGTGATTGTGACCAGTGACTTGACGTCAATGAGCACTTCATCGGCTGACTTCAGACTTCAACAGAAAACAGTTGATCTAGAAAACGTGAACGTTTTATTGACATCACCACACTCTCAAGCACTCATTGAACGTCTTCGTGAACCAATCGAGCAACAAGTTCAAGGATTCTGGAGTACTGCTAGTGCCGTTGAAAAGAAGGAAATGTTCTTGAAAGAGAAGATTGAAACGATTCATGCGATGCTCAAAACATTCTCAACTTCTCTTGTCAGTGAAACGATTCATCGGGATTTCATGGCAACTGCACAGACTCTGGCTGCTCTTCAATCGATTCAACTAACCCCTCGAGAGATATTATGTGCAGCATTCGGGGTTTCCAATGAGCAAGTCGAGAAAACATTCCACGCTCTAAACGAAACCAATTGGAATGAAATTGAAATTCCATTAAGACAGAAGGAAATTTTACTGGCCAATTTGAGAATAATTAATGCAGATGTTCCAAGTGTTTTCGGAAGCTTGATGGGCAAACCAGAAGAAAATCAAGAGATCACAAATGTTCTTCCTCAAGTTCAGAAAGTCCAGTTCTTGTTGAATGTCCAAAGAGCTTTTGAGCAATCGGTAGATGTTACTACGTCTCTTTCCAAATCAGGTGATAGCAGCGAGACTCAAATTTCCAATATAATTTCTTTAATTTCGTCCGAAAATTTGGGAGATTTGATCTCACAAGCTGTTCAATTTGCCCAGCCGAATATGTCAGAAGAGACATCGAAACAATTCCAAATTCCGAGAGAAATCCTATTAGACAGAGTCGTTCCACAAACTTCCGACGAGTCGATTCATTCTTTCTGGAGAACCAATCAACTTTCCGAGGAAACTACTTCAATCGTTTCTCAAAAATTATCTACATTGACTTCGGAATTTGTCACTTCTGCAGCCAAACAGGTCAGCACATCGTTGACTTTGGACTACCGACGAAAAATCTTCAACCAGAATTCCGAATTCATTTTTGGAGATTTGACAAGAGATGTCGTGAAGGCCGCCTTTTCTATTTCTGATGAGTCTCTGAACCAGTTGTTCTTCCGTTTAGAGCAATCTGATTGGAGCCAAATCAATCTGACATCCAGGCAAAAGGCTATCCTATCAGCAAACATCAGGTCGTTAGCTTCTGCAAATTTGGACATCCTTCTCGGACATCTTGCTTCGAAACCAGAAGAAAAAGAGAATTCTGGCTTCTCAATGACAGAGCAACGCCGCCTTGAAGTGGAGAACACTTATAAAATCAGTCAAATTCTTTCGAAAATTGCTATTGAGAAGAATAGAAGCGAAGATGAAAAGGCAACCTTAACAAACCTCGTGAAGCTTCTCACTTCTACCGATCTGAAGGTAGCAATTCAAACAGCTGCGTTCGAGAGAAAACCAGATGATCTTGTAGTCAGTGCTTCCATTGTTCCAGTACTTAAGATTCAGGATCATGTAAGAGAGCCAGAAGAACAAGTGATTCAAGGATTCTGGAGCAACGACAGACCACAACAAGAAACTGTTGACTTTGTGATTCGGAAGATTGATGTTCTGAAAAGTATTCTGAATTGCTACGCTGTTGCAGAATGTCAAGGAATCATAAAAATCTCGGAAACTGTCAAGGATGCTTTTGCAGTTAGTGAACAAACCTATTTCAAGATTCTGAAGGTTTTGGGATCTATGCAAAGCACTGAAATCCCGGAAGCAGTGAAGGAAACTATTTCAAAGAACTTGACGATTCTGAATTTATCACCAGTCGAAACGCTGATCCGATCCGATAAACAAGTGGCGTCAGTCAGTGAAACAGTTCGAGATAAACAGTTGGCTCAATTTTTGTTCAATTTCAAGTCAACATTGGATTACGAAACTGGAATCACAACCACGATTTCAAAGTCTTCAGAACAAGATAACGTCGTTCTCAACAATTTGGTTTCTATTCTTTCCTCTGTTAACCTTGCTGCAGTTGTACCAGAAAATGGCCAACTACCGTCAACGGAAAATTCAATTGTTGACTTCTCAATGCACCGTCCAGACGCAAGAACATCTTCTTCTACTACCCTGGATGACGTCAACATTTTGAGACACTATCTACAAACTTTCGCAATCCAACAAACATCAACGGAAGTGAACCGAGTCGTAGAGATCATCAAAAAATCTCAAAACTTCCATCTCGTCCACACGACAGTTCTTGAAGAAATCAAAACGATTCAAATGAGAATGGAAATCCTAAAGAGAGTTCTTCTGAACCAATCAACAGCCGAAGAGATTCTTCAGGAAGCGTTCCAGAGTAGTGAACAACAAATGGAGGCGTTCCACAGAATCATTGAGAATGTTCATTGGGAAGAAACACAACTAACTGAAGAAATCATTGGAAATCTCCGAGTGAACTTCAGTGCGATCCCTAGATTTGAAGGAACCGTGGGATGCTTGATGGCTCCAGAAGACCAACAACAATCTGTGGATACCTACGTATCTTCTACAATACGTGCTGAAGCTGTTATGAATCTGATGGCTGCTGCAGAAAATGCCATCTCTACAACGTCTTCTCTTTCCAATATGGAATCCGATGAGCGTCTTCTCCATAAAACTATTCTGAAGACGTTGGCAGTTTGTGATCTGACTGCACCTGCTTCCAAATCTGAAACAGAGACAATGGCACAAGGATTCTATCAGAAAGTGGAAAATTCAGAAACCCACCAACAAGTTTCTGAAAAACAAAAAAGCCAAGCTGAGCTTCATGCAATTGAAACCTCCGAAGAAGCTGTTCATAGTCTCTGGTCAAGTCGAAAAGAAAGACAATCGTCTCAGATTCTACAAGTGAGTGAACTCGAGAAAACCACACTGGCAACGTTGGCAAGTGCTGAAGAGGAGAGTTCAATATACACTGAACTTGCGTCTTTTGGATCCAATGAAGAAATCGAGAAATTGGTGACTCTTGAACTACGGGACATCATTGAGAATAGTTTCGGTATTTCAGAACAGAGCCTTGACAAACTTCTTGAAATTGTTCCGAAGATGGACTGGAGCAGTTTGACAATGCCGATAACTCAAAAAGATCTTGTCATTAAAAACTTAAAACTTCTTGTTCCTGCTAATGCAAATGTTATGGAGACCGTTGGAACTATTCAGGCACCAGAAGAAGAGGAAGCGTTTGCTGAGTTGGATCTGAAGCAAGCACGAGAAGCAAAAGTTATGATGGATATTCAGGAATGTGTCTTCACAACTTGTACTGGATATTCTGATATGAATAAACCAGAAAATTCCGAAGTCACGAGCTACTCGGCACTTCTTGGAACAATGTCCATTTGTGACTTTGTCACCATGGCAGCTTCCAACATTCAGGTTGACAGTAAATACGATTATTACCGTCGGCCAGCTCCAAAGGATGCCGAGTTGACTATCGCTGGTTCAAACACTGAAACGTTCTCGCTAGCTCTTCAGGAAACGGGAGAAGTGACGTCATCTGGAATCTGGAATACTGTATCCACTTCAGAAGCAGCAAAGACTACAGTTTCTGATAAGAAGATTTCGGTTTCCAAAACTCAGATGTCAACCAAAGCTAGCAGTGAAAACGCTGTCAATTATGAGCAGTCTCTCGAAAAAGATACAAAGGAGACAATCGAAACAAAGATTCCTCAGTCTACTCAAGAGTTCCTTCAGCAGAAATATTCGATTGATCGATCTGAATCGAATGTTCAAATTCAAGGAACACCAGCTTCTGAATCGTTTGAAGTTCAATATCCTGTATCAAATGCTGACACTGTGAGTCAAACAATGAGATCTCAAAGTCAAAGGGGTCTTCAATTTGGAGGAACTTTTGGAGAGCTGGCGCCTCCTCTACCACAAGAAGAAGATGCTGAAACAACCATCCGTCAAAGTAGGCTCTACAGGTCTTCCAGCCAAGTTCGTGCTCCATCTGAAGAATCAATTCACAGAACGGAAGCGCTGAGAAGATCAGAATCATTAGAATCAAATGCTAGAAAAACATTTGTAGAAAGAAGACGTGAAAGCATTTCAATGAGTCAAAAAGCTTCTGTGGAAAGAGAAACGAGTATGGAAGCAAGAGTTTCGAAACCAGAACAGTCTGCTCCAGTGGAATCTCTCCAGAAGACAAAAACGAAAGGGCTGACGTCTTCTAGTGTCGCTGAATCCAAGGATTATAATGTCTGTGGTAGCTGGACAACAGCAAAACCACCAATCGGAGCAAAAGTTTCATTTCAAACTAAAAAAGTAGAAAAAGAGGTCACTTCAGCCACGATGACGGTAGCTAGCGCTAGTGTTTATTGTGAAGTAGGGCTAGAGAGTAAAAAGTCTCATTGCGGTGATACTACAGGATTATTGGTTCGAGCGAAGAGTATCGAAGAAGTCGAAAGAGAGTTCGGAGTCGAAGTGACATCTACTGAGAAGATACTCGAGAAGAGAGAACAAATCGAATCATGGATCAAGAGTTTACCGCAAAGCATGGAAGAAGAGAGGTCAGCAGAGTTCGGAGATGATGAAGTGAAGATTGGAGGTGTCATGGGAGTCCTGAATGCACCACGAGAGCAGGAAGAAGAAATTGAACGCCGAATGACTGTCAAGAGAGAAGCCAGTGAAACCAGAAATTTGAAAGCTGCCACCAAAGAATCCATCGATGAGTCAGATGAGTTCAGCAAGGCGGAAGCAGATCAAGAGATTCAAGCAATCCGAAAGGAATTGGTAAAAGAGGCAGGATCTCTAAATGCAGCTGCCACGAAGGAAATCAGTGCCACCGCAAAACTCGAATATGCGAAGACTCCTTCAGAAGACATCACCGAGTTGAGTATGACAGAATCAAGAAGACAATCAAATGTCGGCCAGTTCCAAGAATCCAAAGAAGAAGAATTCGTTGGTCTTTGGAATACTGGAGCCAAGGGACAAACTGCGTCGATGATTCTTCCACACAAACCACCAATTGATTCTGCTTCAATCAGAGCCAAAGCAGCAAGAGAAAACTCCATTGAGATGAGTGGAAGTCTTCAGAAGTCTCCATCAGCCGAAGCATTGGGTGTCATTTCTCAGAAGATCAAGATGGGTGCAGACAGCAAGTTTGGAATTGCTCAAGGAGTTGCTGAGACTACTTTGACATCTTCCGAACAATCTGGAGCGACCAGCCACAACGTTCACATTTCCAATACTGGAACTGCCACTGGAACAGTCAACCAATTATCCAATAAAGAAACTGGAGTTGGATTCGTTGCTTCCAGTCTAGTTTCACCTAATCCAGAATCTGCAGAAACTGAATTCACTGGAAAAATTGTGCAACTCACTCAAGCCACATTGACCAAATCAGCTGCTGGGGATGCCGGAGCTAAAGTGGAATCCGTGATTCTAGGAAGTGGGGAAAATCAGGCTGATGTTTCTCTTCTGAAGAATGTGACTTCTACTGAAGCAGTAGAAAAAGCTCTTCAAGCTTCAAAGGATTCATTTGTTACACTGGATGCAAAACAATCTCGTGAAGCAGTTTCAGAAGCAAAGAGTGATTTGAACTTGAAGACTGCCAACGTCGAGAGTCATAAGATGAACGTGGCCGAGACAAGAGATGAGGAGAGCGGTGTATTCATTCGGTCAAGTCACGAATACGAGGAAACTCAGAAGACATTGAGACATCGTAGCGCTTCTCGTGAATCAGCTAGTCGTACTGTAACAGCCCCGACAAATCAAGAAGTTCTATTTAACTTTGACAGAAAACTTGAAGAGTCCGTTGCTGAGGGCTCATTGAGTATAGGAATAGTGAGAGAGTCGTCGCTAAGCGAAGTCATGAAACATACCGAACGGACAAGCGAACTTTCGAAATCTTTCTTGAATGAAGAAGTTGCAGGTGTCAGATCTGTCAGTGAAAGGAGAACTGAAGAATTCAGAGGACGCCAACAAGGAGACGTTGAGATTCAGACTGGAACAGCTATGGGCAGAATCGAAGCACCGAGACCTCAACGAGAGGAAGCTGAAGTAACTCAGAAGCTGACGAGAACATTGAGTGTAGAGAGAAACGCCAAAGCAGCCGGAACTGTGGAATCTCAAATGACCGCGCAAATTCAAAGAAGAGAAGATTCACTGACTTCCGAGTACGCAGCCAGAGAAAATCTTCTGTTGAAATCTTCCAGTGTCAGCCACGTTGCAACTCAACAAATGTCCGAGCATCTTGTGATGAGAAGCAAGAGTGAACATCATATCAGTGAGAAGATCCAAGAACGATTATGCGAGAAAGAATCATTCAGTTCTCAAGAATTCATCACTGAAAACCAAGGAGTTCATACTCATTGGGACGTCATTGATAACAATGGAGAAGCTCTTATCTGCTGGAAATCTGCTGAAACTGAACAGAAATCATTGGATGCCAAGCAGATAACTGAATCGTCTGCAGGAACAAACCTTGATTTAACTGTTAGATTGCCAGGTGGAAGAGATGAAGAGAAGATTGCAGAGCATGTCTTCGTTGGAATTAGCGAAGCTCTCAGTGTTTCTGAAACTAGAGCAGATATGGAGATGACAAGACAAGATGCGTTCTCCGACGATGCCACGTACGTTGCTTCTGATATTCTCGAAGAGCACAGCCTCTCCACAGTTCACGAATTTGGAGAATCCGAGGCTTCGATCACTTTCGGAATCGGAAAACTCGTGACGAAGAAACCCGAAAAGGAAGAAATTGGACGCAGTTTCTCAGAGACACGAAAACTTTCTCAATTCTCTGAAATCGCCGCGGCTATTGAATTGACTACGGAAATGGACAGTGAGATTCTCCGTTTGCCAGAATGTGATCAAAGTGAAAAAATGATTACTCAGAAGTTCGAGCAGAAGGATTCCAAAGACCTCAAGGCTACAGTGGAGACTTCATCTGGAAAAGAAGTTAACTTGGAGAAAAGAGATGTTCGTGAGCATTCTGTTGATGTGAAGAAAGTTGACAAACGGAATATTGCTGATTCGAAGAGACTTTCTGAACCGAGAAATGAGAATTTTCTATCCAAATACACCTCTGAAATCGTTGATTTGGAAGAGAAGACCACAGTTCCGTTGACCAAAACGGATTCAGCCAGCATGATTCTGAAAGCTCCTCAATCGAACAGAACCGATCGTGAAATCAGTATTGACAGAGGAGAAGCCAACCGAATGACATCGAAGAACATCATGCAACGTGGAATGTCTCGTGCTTCCGAGGAGCGTCGGTTCCAGATTCAAATGATAAAATCTGAGAAGATTTTGAAACGTGAAGACAGTTTTGACGAATCCGAATACGTCACTTCCGTATCTTTGAGAGACGAAATCACTTCTGAAACTTTCCGTGAGTATGGTGATGCCAGCGTTGAAGTTTGTACCCTCTTTGGAAAAATTGTTCAGAAGAAGTTTGAAGTTGAAGATTTCCAAGAAATCCTTCCAATGGTTCGTCGTTGGGCAGAAGTTCTCAGTATGAAGGCGTCCACAAGTGTTGATATCCAAGCTGACAACTCCATCTCTAAACCAGATTCTCAAGCTGAAAGTCGAAAGAATCTAAAAACTGCAAACAGTGAGAATCACCGAATCAATGTGAATGCTGTCCAAGAAGTAGTAATGTCTTCTACAACCGCTTTGGAGTGTAAAAAGGCTGGAGAAGACGTTGCATCCATCCGACTTCGTGAAAAATCAAGAGAAAGAGTTGAGAAGAAATACCAAGAGAATCAATGGAATCTTCTATCCACCAGTGCCGAATGGGAAACTCTTCTGAATGATTTAGAAGAGTCTGTAACCATCGCTCAAAGCGTTCAAGATTCGATGGCGTTCTCTGCTAAAGCCACAGCAACTGTCAACTTGAATTCTGAAGCATCAATCAAGAAAACAGAATCAAATCTTGGAATTCAGAAGTCAATTTCTCAAACCAACGTTGACAAAACTATTAGACAGTTCAACAGTGCCAACGTTGAAAACGAATTGTTGGTGACTAAACTTGGCATGGATTTGGAAGAAATTGAGAAACTTGTGGATGAGATCAACAGAGAACAAGCAGTTGGTGGAAGAATCCGAGAGTTCGGAAAATCAGAAACTGGAGGAGGTATATATCTGGTTAGAAGATCACTTCCGAAGGTCAAGGAGACGTCGACGCATACTGTAACTCTTGCCACGAGCTTCCGTCAAATCTTCTCAACGATGAGTGCTGGAGACGAGATCAGTGAAGCAAATGTTGAATTGACGGTTCCAAGTACATCAGTGGAAGCTGAAATCAAGAGTACTGTTGCCAGAAGCAATTCAACGACATTCTCAACTTCCCATGCTTCTGAACATACTGCGACTACGGTAGCTGATTACGCTCGAGACATTGCCATTTCTGCTTCCACAGCTGCAAGAAAGAAGGCAATCCCAGTTGAGAAAACGAGCCAGAAACTGAAAGAAGTTGGTGCAGATGGAATTGAAATTCTTTCTCTATGGGAAGGAATCGAGACTGATCTGGATGCCAGTACTAAGTTGGTAGATCTTCTCCGTGTCAAATCTTCCCTCCAAACCATTGAACCCAGTGAAGAAGTTGAAAGAATCAACCAGTATTTGGAAATGCCCGAAGAAAAAGGACTAGTGATTCATTTGATCAGTGTTCAGAACAAGGAAATATGCAAGAGAAATTTCTTTGTTTCAGTTTGCTCTTTGGATACTGCTCTATCTAGGAAATTTGAGATACCATCGGAATACTCTGTGAGCAAAGTGTTGACCGATAAACGTGTACTTCGTGAGATTTGGAGAGTGATTGAGAGTGGAGACGTGAGTTTCAACGCCGTCATTAATTTGCATAGATACAGTCTCTCGAAACCGACACTGGCACAGGAAACGGTGCTTAGGGAGGTGGTCCGAATTGCAGCTCAACCATTGTTCATATCAGCAGGAGACATTGAAAGCGACGTCGTCTGGAGTACACAACAATTGGAGAAGACGCCCTGGAGAGAGGAGACAAGCAGAACGATCATTGGAGCGAGGAAAGGAGAAGGTGTCAGGAAGAAGATGGAAGAAGCTGGAGATGAAAAGGTAAAGCTGAAAGTGGACCTGATTGGAGGAAACCAGCCGAATGAAGTGTGCGAAAAGTCATGGAAGATTCCGAGATCTGGAGACAAAGCCAAATTGGATACGGAAGAATTCGAATTCGATGAATGCTTGTTCTATGGCCAAATCAATTGTAAGAAGACTCATTTCGAAGACAAAGACCATGTCATCATCATTGCTCGTGTCACTGCCCTCAGTCTATCAACACTGGCTTCAACCAAAGAAAACGAAGATGTTCATGAAGCCTGGTCGATTTCAGATCAATCAGAAGTTGCTAACAAGTTGGTTATCATTGGAAACATCGGAGTACCAACATACATGAGAACGAAGGAGTCGACAGAAGATATCGTTGGAGTTGGAATCGCCTACAATATTCCAGAAGAGAACTTGACTTCTTCAATCAAATTGAATGAGAAGGCATCTGGAGGATACTACGAGTTGAATACAAAAGCTGCTGGAGACGAATACAAAGTCATCAGTTCTTCACTTTCCAGGACTCAAGATGTTGAGAAAGTCAAAGGAAAAATGGTTCAAAAAGTTATTGCAAAAGAAGAGATTCGAGTTGTGGAGACGAGTACTGAATCTGTGAATGCCAACTTCAACTATGAGATTCCAGAGCCAAATTTCAGTATTGGAGTAACCAAATCATGTGCTAACAATGCGGCTCCATATACCATCAAACTTCATGAATGCTTGGAATATTTCGTCAAGATGTTCTATAACATGAACAAAAAAGATGATTTCGAGTCCATTCTAAAAACGGTCATAATTTCAAATGTAATTGAGCCGAAGACGTTGTCCTGTGCAGCTGCTGAGTTGGAAGAATCCACAAGAAATCCAGAATTTAACCGTCCATCAGAATACCACGATTTGCAGAAGACCGTTGTTGATTTTAACAGAATTGAAGGCGCTTCTTTGGTTACTTTCGAGCCAACAACTGAGAAAATGGCACTTTCGACTGTTCTCAACCGAGAAAATGAATATTCTCGTACCGAATACATCGTCAAAGACAAGAACCGTGGGGCCAGTTTGAAATACCGATTTGTGGAATCCAGCGAAGAAAAGCAGAGCGTATTTAGTGCATTTGAAGTAGACTCAGAAAAAGAGAAAGTCGAACGAACGATTGATTTGGTTCGTCAAGGAGGACACTTTAAACTGTCCACTGATGCATCCGAAGATAACGAAATCACTTTGCACCGCGAGATATCCAAATCTCGTATCACCCACTACGACACATTGCACCAAATCACGCTTTCGAATTCTGCACCGCACCAAATGTTGAGCACCACTGGAACCACACAGGAGATGAACACAATCTCAGCCCAATTGTCGAAACCGGCTGAATGGCTGTCTACTGAATTGCTCATTGTCGACAAGAACACTGAGCAAACTGTGACGTGGCGCGTGTTGGAGTGTGAAGAGTGTGTTGAGAATTTGCACCCGATCTACCGTAGACCCGACGACATTTTCGATTTAGATGAGACATGGTACATCGCGAGAAACGGCGGAATGTTCGAACGACGTCTCAAAGCGAGTGGCGACGAAACTGAGATTATCAATGAAGATATCAAGAGCCGTGGAGTCAAACATGACGTCATTGATAAGAAGTTTATCGTTGGAAACCAAGGAGAGCCAATATCATTCACAAGTATTCAAACATCTTCAATTGTTGCTTCTGTTTCTCAGGACATGAGTCGATTGGGAGAAAAAGAAACTGTCAAGAAGGTTCTTCAAAACTCTAATAAAGGAATCAATGTTGAGAAGAAGATGACCGAAGCTACTGAATATAGAGCAACTATCAGTGAACAATTCAGAAGAAATGATGACTTCGACACAGCAGATCTTCTTATCAAAGACCGTCGATTGGGAGGATGTTATGAGCTTTCTACAAATGCTTCTGAACAGAGTTCATCTAGTATTTCAAGTGCTTTGATTTGTCCAAGACCAAGTCACCTTTCAACCGAGAAAACTTTCATCACTGCTCAAACAATTATTCCAGCAATTCTGAACTGTAAGGCTTCTGAATCTGTTGGTCATTCTGTAACAGAACAATGGAATCGTCCAAATGATCACTTTGCAATTTCCAAGATCATCACTGATTGCAATAAGGAGAATGAGCAGTTCACTGTTAGAGAATCTGGAGAAGAATACCATACAACCAACTGCTTCTATTCAAGAGAACAAGAAGAGAAGGTTGTTGCGAAGACGTTGCATGAAGCAAGACAAGGAAGTGGACAGACTTTCGAAACGAAACATGCAACTGATCGAACAATGGATGCAGTTCAACATCTTGAGAAGGAAAGACTGGCGGAGGCTCATGCTGAAAAAATTTTCGTCATTGGAAACTCCTCTCCAGCAGTGTCATGGACAACTAGGGCTTCATCTGAAATGCAGCACAACCAAGTGGTCAGTCTGAATCGTCCATCTGCATATCACCAAGTGGAAATCATCCGTCAAGGAGCCAATCTTGGAATTCCAACATACTTCACTGCCAGAGAAACGACATCAAAGACTGAAAATTTGGCCACTCAATTGAGCAGAAAAGAAGAGCATCTGGAAGTTTGTACAACAAAAACCACGTCATTGCTTTCTGAACCAGTTGTATTCGATTCCAACGCCTCCAAGTCACACTCAGTTTCTTTGGATAAAAATTTGACTGCTTCTGGAGATTTCGAATTAGACGCGGTTGTGGTCATTGTCGACAAGAACCGAGAGCAACCCCAGTTCTTCCGTTGCTCGTGCACTAAGGAAGCATCCACATCTGCCGCTGCTTCTCTTTCTTCTTCCGGATCCAAATCTGAATCTTGTAAACTTGTGCGTGTCGCTTCCAATTTGGGTCATCCGACTAGTCTTGTTTTGCGTGAAAGCAGCTCGGTGCAGGAGAACAACAATGTGCACTATCAGCGTGACGAGCACCATGAGCACGTTTCAGAGACCAGGTCGTACCCAAGAGACGGAGGACAGTTCAATTTGGAAACAAAAGCAAGTACAGCAAATGAAGTGCGGATCGACAAAGATCTGGAGAAGCATGCAGACAGAGACTTGGCCACAGAGAAGAAGACAATCATTCGAAATGAAGCAGAACCGGTAGAGATATTTGTGTCGGCTACGGAAGAGTCTGCTGCTGGAGTCACTGCTAACCTGTCAAGATCCAACCAATACGAAACTTCCAACATCAAATTGACAGCAGCCAATAAAGGAGAACCTGCGTACTCGAGAGTGACTGAAACAACTGAACTCACTGAAACCAATAATGTGCAACTTCGACGAGAAGAAGAACATAAAGAAATCGAAAAGATTGTTCAAATTGCTGCGTCAGGTGGTTCTTCTCTTCTACGAGCTGGATTTGCCGATGAAAAGTTTGCTGATGTTGAAACCAAGTTGGAAAGGGAAGCAGAATTCCAATCTGCTCAAACCATCAGAAACATCGGAAATGAAGACAAAACCAACTTGTCAATTGGAGCCAGTCAGGAAACTTCAGTCAACTTCGACGAGACAATCAAATGTAACAAGAGTTCTTCTGAAGAGACTTCCATAACTAAAGTGGCTAAGAACATCGAACCTCACGTCATCTTCAGAAGTACAGAAGCATCTGATATGGCTGTTGGAATCCACTACACTCTCAGAAGCAGTGATAGAGTGGATGAAACTGAAGAGATCAAGAATGTTGCCAGAAATGGAGGATCTGCAACATTCTCTTGTTTCGCTGCTGGAGAAGAATCTCCAGACAGTGTCAGTGCATTCCTGACAAGACCATCTCAAGAAGAAGTCACCGAAAAACTATTCCCAACCCCAATGATTGATGCAATCAAATTTAACTCAACCGCTGCGGAAGAGTTCGCCGTTTGGAACACTACGAGTTTCAGAAGGAAAGATCACGAGGAAGAAGTGGAGAAAATATTCAACACTTCTGGAGCGGGACAAAATGAAATGTTCTCATCAAATGCTGCTGAGGACGTGTCTGTCACTTTGGATGCTGATTTACACTTTGGTGTCGGCTACAAAGAGCACAGACAAGTCACGAAAGACGAAGCGAACCAGGGAGAAAGTACTGGAATGCACTCCGGTGCTTCCGAAGAAACAATCTTCAATCTGGGATACGATTATTGCAAACAACCAACTGAATTCACAACTGTCTGTGTCACCGAAGACAAACTTCTCATACAAGGAGCTTATGGATTCCGTGCGGCCAAGGAGGAATCCATCAATTTGGATGCTGATCTTCACTTTGGAGTCACTTATCGAGACTTGTTAGCAATGGGTCTGCATGCATCTAACAACGAAATTGAAGGTACTGGAATGCATTCCTCTGCATCCGAAGAAACCATATTTAACCTGGCATACGACTACTGCAAGCAACCCACTGAGTTCCGCACTGTCTTCGTCTCTGAAGACCATCAATTTGTTCACGGCGCGTTCGGTTTCCGAGCAGTCGGCGAAGAGCACATTGAGACGCAATTGCTGGAACTTGAGGCACGCATGGTGGAGGTCATGGTGGAGGGCAGTGTGCACAACCTTGCTCGTAGGCATGAAGATGAACCATTTGTATTGTATACAGAAGTGATCGAGGAAACCATTATCCGTGTCGACGAGCAGCTCGAGAAGAAGACCACCGTCGTTGAGACCGAGCAGGCTTCTGAAGTCAAGATGAGAGAGAAAGGCGAAGAGCGTAGAAAGGAAGAAAAGAGGTAGAATTAGAATGGAAAAAGGTTCAGATAGGTTAGGTTCCTTTTTTCAGAGTCAGTTTCGCCGCCGAAGTCCAGGAAAAGACAATGGAAGCCATCGATAAGAGTCTCGGGTTGGATACATCTATGGAGGTGAGCTATGCTCTAGATATCATTTTCTAAAAAAACAGATAACTGTAGCTATCAGAATAAGCTCAGAATTTCCGTGTATAAAGTGCTGTCCATAAATATATGAAAAAGTCTTTCTTCTCAAAATCTTTGTTCAAAATCATCTGAAAAACGCGTTTTTCATATATTTATAGTCAGAACTGTAAGATGGGTTATTGTAGAAATAGAGGCAAGAGAAAAGAGAAAAGAGGATTACTGTTAAGAGAAAAGAGGATTACTGTAGTCTGAAAACTAATGAAGTTTCTAGAGAACGTTATAGGGTATTCTGTAGCTTGGGAAATATTACTGTAGAATGAAAAGGTACTGTAGTTAACTTAAGAAAACCGTAAAATTCCATATTGCAGGTCGAGCCAGCCTTCCAGAAACCGTCCATCATCAAGAAGCCAATGAAGAAGGAGAGAGAAAGACGTAGTAGAGATCTCCGTCAAAATGCTGCTCCTGCATTGTATGATTCCTTCCTTTTCTTCCTTTTCCTTACTTCAAATTTTTAGCAAACCCGTCCGCCGCAACTCCCTTCTTCAGGCTCTTGCTATTGGAAGTCCTCACAACATTCCTCATTTCAAAACTCTTGACGATATTGTGAAGGCTATCAAGCATGTGGGTTATTTAGACTTTTTCAGAATTCAAATTAATAGATCTAATAGAGTGATGTGTGAAGTAGACTAGATAGAGATAATCACTCCCACTTGAACACCTAATTCCATTCAGACCTACATCGGCGATTTTTCAACGGCAAGTTTCATATCCACTACTCTTCTCACAAAATATACTTTCCCTTTCTCTATTTCTCTCTATGCACATACAGTACAGTAACTCTGTATCTTTTATTAGCATGTCTCCTGCACTATTTCGGACCAACTTCATTCATTTTTCACTATTATACTATCCGGGGTTCCCGTAATCACTCTAATCTATCTGTTTCAGGCTGGTCTCGAATATTCCAACTTGATTTTCGGAATTGATTACACCAAATCTAACTTCTATCAAGGAGAACGAACTTTCGATAAGAGACCACTTCACACAATTGATCCAGCTGAGATGAATCCCTATCAACAGGTATAATACAACCTTGAAAAATCAGGGCTCGGTCTGATGGTCCTTGAAAATTCTGGAAAAAAAGCCCAGCCTCTCGGGCCCATGGCATAGTGATCTGGAATAATCATTAAAACCGAATATTCAGGTAATCCAAATCGTCGGAAAGACACTTTCCTCGTTTGATGCCGACGGACAGATCCCAGCGTATGGATTCGGAGATGAGGAATTCACTGATCAAGGAATTTTCAACATTGCAGACAGATACGATCTTGACAAGGATTGCAATGGATTCGAAGGTTTGATATGGGAACTTTTGGTTTTTTTTTTTTGCAGCTTCGTTATTTCAGAAGTACTCAAAGTCTACAACGAAGTCACACCAACCATCGAAATGAGCGGGCCAACCAACTTCGTGCCTCTGATTGGTATCTCTGAACGTTTAAGATAGTTTTAAATGTCAATATTTCTAGATCGAGCGATTGAAATTTGCAAGGAGAAGCACTCCTACCATATTTTGGTCATCGTTGCTGACGGACAGGTCACCAACGAGAAGATCAACCAGAAAGCGATTGCTGCCGCTTCACACTATCCATTGAGTATTATCATGTTAGTGATTTGGATATTTCGGAACATGAAAGAAAAAAGAGTTTCAGGGTTGGTGTGGGAGATGGTCCATGGAACATGATGGGCAGATTTGATGACAACATTCCAAAGAGACTTTTCGATAATTTCCATTTCGTTGACTTCCACAAGGTTGGTTAATATTTTTGTCAACTTTCATAGAAAAATTATTCTAGGTGATGTTCAATGCTCCAAACGCCGATGCTTCATTTGCTTTGAATGCTCTGATGGAGATTCCAGACCAATACAAGGCTATCAAGGAATTGGGACTTTTGAAACACAGTCGCCGTGGCTAAATCATCATTTTTTGTTACCTAGTTCATTATTTTTTTGTTAAAATTTTCAAATGTGATGATTCCTGCCACTTGTACCTTGTTGCATTTGTCCCCATTTTCTAGAGAAAGTCCAGGTTTTCCCCAAAAACATATAACAAACCTCCCCCCAATTCTTTCGCGATTTTTCATATTTCAACTCGATTTTTTTAATTCACATCCTTTATTTGAAACTGAATATACATTCAAAAAACATTGTGCAAGCTGAATATAATTATTATGAAGATAAATTTGTCGAACGTCGAACGTCGAACTGAGACCAATTTGTGTCGACTGGCAAGGGTTAATTGTAGGGAATGGAAGGGTTCAATGAACAGATTTATTAGGGGACAGATGGCCGCTGATCAATGAGCAACGGCTGAGGAAGAAGCCGCCAACGAGTGCTCGCGTACTTTTCGGCGAAGTTCCTCCTCGACACCACCTTCCAGAGTCTCCTGTAAAGGTCAAAATAATATGATTGGAGGGAATAGTTTTCTAGAAATCCGAGAGAATGAGATCCGAATTTCACTATTACCGTAAAACCTGTAATTGAAGTTCTTTCTAATTTTGAGACGATTTTTCTCAGGTCTCGTCGAAGATATAAAATAGCTGTCAACTGATAAACTTTTAATCATTATATCAGACATTTTCTGTCACTTAACCTTTTTTTGATATCTTGTATAGGATAATTGAGCTCAAACTGGAAAGTGTGGAGCCCCTTTACAGGTTTTATGGTAACACCTCACGATTGATCCACCTGCTCGAAAATTCAATTAGAAGATTTTTGTATTGGTCGTAAGTATTTTTTAATTGATGGACGTATAGGGGGATGGGTGGTTACGGTGTGAAGCGGAACGCGATATCATCGAATTCACATTAACGTGAAACCTGTATTAGAAGGGCCCAAATACTGTCAAGTTTGGACTAAATTCTCTCAATTACTATTCAAAACATCAAGATTGTGTCAACTGACGAAACACGTCTGATATTATGATAAACAATTTATCAATTGACAACTTTTTCATACCTTTGACAGGAACCGAGAAAAGTCGCCTCAAAGTAAAAGTTAGGAGGCCTTGCTATTACAGGTTTTACAGTATCAATAAGAAAAAAAAATCTAAAATCTTATGGAACTTCTGATTCTAATTGAATTATCAATACTGACAATCGTTTACAGGACTCATAATTCCACAAGTGACAAACTTCCCATTCATAGCCCAATAAACGTCTCGCTTACCAGTGTCTCTCCGTTTTTGGTGAAGACGAACGTGGGCATCATCTTGACGTCGTACTTGGCGCAGAGGTCTTCCTGAAACACAGAATTTCAAACTGCAATTATCTAGATTTACTAACGGCTTCATCAACATCGACTTTGCAAAAGATGACTCCCTTGTACTCGATGGCCAGTTCCCTGTACAATGGAGCGATCGCCTTACATGGTCCACACCACGTGGCGAAGAAGTCCAAGACGATGACTTTCTCTGGATGCTGGCGAACCAGATGATTGAACTCGGCCTGAATATATATATATATTCAATACTTTCTGAATGGGATCACTGTGTCCTTACCATATCGGACAACTCGAGGATCGGTTCCTTGGAGAGAGACATAACTGGATAGAGGTGAGTAGAACTGGTACCCACGGTAGGAGGTTGATACTCAAACAATGATGCACAGGAAATGAAATTATGAAGAAGAAGTGAGCTGGTATAAAGAAAGAAAACTTTCAGTCGGTTTGACGCAGTCACGCCCACATAATTACAGGTTGGAATGAGCGGGAAAGGAGAAAGAAGCAGTGACAAACAGAAACGAGTGGGAGGGGAAGAAAGAGGGGGGATGGTAATTAATGTTGTCAGAAAACCAAAAAAAAATATCCGAAAATCAGTAGTTTGAGATAAAATTATTCTGAGTAAACATGAAAAGTGAGTCATGAGATAAATAGAAGAATGTGGGCGTTAATGAACTTCTGAACAGTAATCTGAAGAGAAAGTTTAGATTTAGATACTTTTAGCACTCATCGAGAGCTTATTAGTTTTCTGCAATATGGAAAAAGTCTATGAATTTAGCCAACAATCAAACACCTTTTGCCTCAAACCTTTTCAAACCAGATCCTAAGGAAAATAAGAAGTTTGGCCTATGTATTTTGCCATTGGAACTAGGGCATTTATATCTGTTGTGAACTTACCTGCTAGCAATGAGTTTGTGCACAGGCTCATATAACTTTTAGTGGGAAGGATTTCGATATTTTAGTTGCTGAATCAAGCATTTCAATTTAAGTTGAAATCTTTTCAAATTCGCTCTATCAAAAAAAAAGAATACTGAAATTAATGAGATTTGGCCTGTGTTAAATTAAAAAGTTTTCGAATCTAATTATAAACTAGCTAGATATAGCGGTTGTTTCTCTCTCATATCGATTTTTATTGAAATTACACTTTTTCAGCCAGTTTGCTTCATTTTGATTTAAGGAGGGTAGACATCAAAAATTTCAAAATTTTCATTTTTACTCAAAAGATATAACTCTGAAGTATAAATATAGCTATGTACTTAAAAACCTGAAAAAACACTTCAAGGACAAAAAAATGCTCTTTTTTGTCACCCTAATTTCTTCACTAGCTTGCTGCTGCGGCGTCGCTTCATAATGTGAAAAACTCGATGGTCGCCTCTTACACGCGTAGTGGGTACGCTCTAGGCTAGTATTCAGGAGGTCAGAGGTTCAATCCCTGCTGGTGTTTTTACTTTTTTCTTCCCTTGTTTCCTTCGGATTGAACTTTTTGAACTCGGAATTTCTGAAGGGCTACCAGCGTGCCGCCGAGGTCTCGCTCCGAGGTATCAAAATCAGTTGAAAATGAAGAAACGTGTTTTATTATGTTAACAAATAAATTATGAAAAAAACTACTATTAATTTTTAGAAAGAGACATAACAATTGAAAAAAAAACCACATAATTAAAACAATCCTCACGCAGGGCTGGTCGTCGGAAGGTGAAGGAAGCAGTAAAAATGGAGACGTCTCTGAAAACCCCAGTCATAAAACAGTTTTTTTATTCCTAAAGTAATAACGAGAAGTAATGAGATAAATAGAAACAGTGAAGAAACGGTTATCGAAGAGAAAATAGTTTTTTTTCGCATGCCTATAAAAAACACCGGCGCCTGGCAAAATAATCGGTCGATAGAACTTTAAATTTACATAAAAATTCACTTTTATATGGGTTTTATAATAAATAAGAAAAAAGAGCTTTTTTAATGTTTGAAGTCGTTAAAAATTGAAAAAAATAAAGTCGGGAAATAAAAAAATAAAAATGTTTGGGATTGCGTGCTTTAGGTGCGAACACCGCGACGTCGGAATGCACGCCCTCTGAAATTTCCCCCGAAATTTTTTGCTGTCTGGCCCCCTTTAAATAGCGAAACCAATGAGAATCAGCTCCAGCGAGTTCAGAATCATGGGATTCGGATTACTCAGATGATAGAAATTCAGGATGATTTTGCTGCGTTTTTTTGGCTGTTCAATCTGTGTCAGTGATGTTCTTTCGAACCTTGAGCCATGCTCTGGCACCCGTCGTCAAGTCATTAAATTCGCTGCAAACATTCGGCTAGGAAAAGTGAACACAATAACCTAAAAAATGAGAATTCTAGTTTCAGGTACTCTTTGTTGAAGAGCTCATCAGCTCGACATTTACACCGTCCACTCCTGTGGACGTCACAATTGCTCAACCCACTACAGTAATCACGCCCGTGCTGATGCGAAACGTAGACGCCTGCATATCAGAGATGTCCGGATACCGGATTCCGAATTCCGTGCTTTTTTTCATCCAGAATTCTGTTTTCCGGGTTCCGAAATTTTTCATTTGACCGGATTCCGAGAAGATTTTTTATTCCGGATTTTAAATATATTATATTTGTTAATTTGCAGCAATTCTCTAACTTTTTTGAACTTCCGCGACTAAAAATGCAAATAGCACGATATGTGAATTAGAAATTTTCCGCCCATTTGGAGAACTTATAATTCTGAATTCCGTATTCCGGATTCTGGAAAATTAGTTTCATTCCGGATTCCGGGAAACGTTTTTCGTCCGGATTCCGGGAAAATTATTTCATTCCGGATTCCGGATTCCGTTTCTCCAAAAAGTCATTCCGGACATCTCTGCAGCATATGTTGAGAATGAAATTCAACACTGCCAGAATTTCGATAACTCAAACTTTCAACTTTTTGATGTGTTGCTTTATGCTAATTCTTGTTGTTGGAAACCTACTTCTGATTTTTTCTGATTTGACTTCAAAAGCATCTTTCCTGCTTCAAGTTCGAATTCCGTCTCCTCTACGATTCCTTCGACTCTACTTCTTTTTATTATTTTTATAGTCCACTTCAATGAAGAGAAAAAACGAGATGGCTGAAGAAAATGAATAAAAATAAGGCAAAAAATTCGGGGGTACAATCTACCAATGATTCTGGGATACAACTTATTTCATTTAGGGGTACAATTTTTTTTGACGAAGTTTCTGAATTCCTGAATTTCAGAGCTTGAAAATCTCTGAATTCGGAATCTGAGAATTTCGGAACTTCAGAGTCTGAGAATCTGAAAATTTCGGGACTTCAGAATCTGAGAATCTGAGAATTTCAGAACTTCGAAATCTCAGAATTTCAGAACTTCAAATTCTTAGAATTTCAGAACTTTGGAATTCCAGAATTCGCAATCTGAGAATTCCGTAACTTCAAAATCTGAGAATCTGAGAATTTCGGATCTTAAGAATCTGAGAATGCTAAAACTTCAAAATCTCAGAACTTCGGAACTTCAAAACTTCAGGACTTCAGAATCTCAATATTTCAAGAAAGACAATGGAGAACTGTGAAATGATTTTAACAAATTTCACAAACGGATTTTACTGCCAGTCGATATTTTCCTCACTTCCAATTTTTCTCAATTTTATTTCTTAATTCTTTTTCATTTCCTTTTGTTTCTCAATATTCCTTCGTTTTTTCCCAATTTTCCGTTTTTCCCAATTTTTCTTAATTTTCCTCAATTTTCGCGGTAATTTAAATTTTTCTCATTTTTTAATGATTTTCTAGATCATTGATTGAAGGAAACAATCACAATTTAGATATTTCCCACAAAATTCGAAAATCCCAAAAATTGGCACAAAATGAGCTATTTTGTTTCGAAAATCGTTCGAACAGGCAATAAAACATTACAAAAATTATAAAATTGATTTTTTTCGATAAATTACCACGAAAATTTGAGCAAAAATGATGAAAAACGAAGGAAAACGGAGAAAAATGGGAATTGCGAAAAGATCTCAATTTCGCGAAATTTTCCCATGGAAGAGAAAACCCCGCAGCTCGGCCACGGCCATGGACTGATGACGTCATCGCTCGCAAATCTTATTTTTGGGATTTTCTCCGTTTTCCTTCGTTTTTCATCATTTTTGCTCAAATTTTCGTGGTAATTTATCGAAAAAAAATCAATTTTATAATTTTTGTAATGTTTTATTGCCTGTTCGAACGATTTTCGAAACAAAATAGCTCATTTTGGGCCAAGTTTTGGGATTTTCGAATTTTGTGGGAAATATCTAAATTGTGATTGTTTCCTTCAATCAATGATCTAGAAAATCATTTTAAAATGAGAAAAATTTGAATTACCGCGAAAATTGAGGAAAATTGAGAAAAATTGGAAAGTTGAGAAAAATTGGGAAAAATACGAATGAATATTGAGAAACAAAGGGAATTGAAATAGAATTGAAAAAACAAGGAATTGAGGAAAGTTGGCATTGAGGAAAGTATCGGCTGGGTTTTGAACTTAAATTAAGCATTAAAAAACTGAGTTTGTAAAATTTGTCAAGTTTAGCTTATTGTCAAAAAGAACAATGAGAAGTGAAAAATTTCTGTCGTTCGAAATTCTCAGATACCGAAATACTGAAGTTCCAAAGTTCTGAAATTCTGAGATTCTGAAGTTCTGAAATTCTTTGATTTCAAAGTTCTGAAATTCTGAGATTCTTAAATTTGGAAATTCTCAGATTCTGAAGTTCCGAAATTCTCAGATTCCGAATTCTGGAATTCTAAGAATTCTGAAGACAATGAAGAAAATTTCTGCCGTAATTATTGAAAATTCAGAAATATAGAGATTCTGAAGTTCTGAAATTTTGAAGTTCCGAAGTTCTGAGATTCTGAGATTTTGAAGTTATGAAATTCTGAGATTCTGAGATTCTCAGATTCTGAAGTTCCGAAATTTTCAGATTCCTAAATACTGAAATTCCAAAGTTCTGGAATTCTAAAAATTCAGAGATTTTCAAGCTCTGAAATTCAGGAATTCAGAAACTTCGTCAAAAAAAAAATTGTACCCCCGAATCACAAACGTTGTACCCCCAAATGAAATAAGTTGTACCCCAGAATCATTGGTAGATTGTAGCCCCGAATCGTTGTACCCACGAATTTTGTACCCCCGAATCACCAATTTTGTACCCCTAAATCAGTTGTACCCCCTTGTACCCCCGAATCATTGTACCCCCCGAATTTTTGGCCGAAAATAAAGATGTGTATGTCTCCCAAATCCAGGACACTTCGGTTGCGCTCCGAAAGCGGAGAGCCATTTTCTTGATGTGATGAGTACTAGAACTACTTCCGACATAAAAAAAAGCCAATCAAGAAGATTAGAATTTCTTTGGAGAATTACCTAAAAATATATTTCCCTGAGAACAAAAAAAATGCTTCAAATCAATCTTTATTGCGATTTCACTCGAAAAACAGTGCTTTGCATTTTTTGAAAAATTCAATGAAGCGATACTAAGTTGGGAGAAGAGAATGGGACTTTCACGGTGTGTGAGGAATGGCCGATTCTTTTTAAAGAAAAGATCGAGTAGAGGAAAAAATTTGATTTGGTACATAATTTACAAAAAATTAGATACGGAAATATTAGTAGAAAAAGAATGAGAATCAAAGTGATTAGATGAGAGATGGTTTGGATTCAGTGAAGAGTTAGTGCATTCTCTTCTTGATTTCCTTATCAATAGTTGGGGCGTAGAAGACGCGGGTGCACTCAAACTCTCCACGTTTGTCGAAGATGTGCAAATCTCCGAGTTTCAGGAAGTATTCGGTGCGAGAGACTTCATTTCCATTCTTCTTTTCCAAGCGAATCAGGGTTCTTTGGGAAGTGAAATATTCGATTGAATGGTTCTTATCAATCATTTCCTTTGTTCCCAGATTCAAGAATTTCTGATTGTAGATCTTATGATTGTAGATGGTACGCAAGGTCATCTCCTCCAACTGGAACTTGCGATCAAAGTTTGGGACTCCGCGAACAAAAAGCTCCTCCTCCAAAGTGTTTTCCCATTCCATCCCTCGGACGAACTTCTCGACTCCTTCAAAGAATTCATGATCAGGGATCCACTGACGACGGAAGGCGATTTCAATCGGTTGCTTTTCGGATAGAAGATAGTAGAGAGCAGCGTTGTCGAAGTTTCCAATCGGGCGGTTGAGTCGTCCACTTGTCTTGATGTTGGCAGTGAATTCGGCGACGCTCATTTTGAAATCTTCATCCGTCTGGGATCCTCTCTTTACACAGCCCTCCTGAATCTGAAAAAGTTTGAATGGAATTAAAAGGTACTGCTTCAGTCAAAACTCACGCCAGAAAGGAAGAAGAGAAGATCGGAGAAGGTGTTGATGATAAGAAAGGATATGACAGTTGTGAACAATGCAGCCTCCAACATTGACTTCTGTCTTGCCATGCGACCTCTCTTCAATCCGTCATACGCCTTCTTGAGAGCAGCCAGTTTGGTTGCAGTCTCAGTTTCCTTGTTGTTAGCAATCGACTCCAATGCATCCTCCTTCTGCAAAGGCAATTTTGAATATACAAACATCAGAAACGCTCAGTTACAAGAAGCTCTTCCTTCGTCATTTCTCGCAACACCTCAATAGCCATCTTTCTATTCATTACAACCTCGCTTTTCGAAACAATCTCAAAGGTCGACTCCAAGTTATCAGAAGCCATGGCTCTCTGAAAAACCAATAATTGAAAGGAAAAAGAAAGAAATGAAGAAAGAATGGAGCCGCAGCCGAGGAAAGCCAGAAAAGAGGGAGGAACTAATCTCAGCTTCAGGAAACGAATACATGTGCTCTCTCGCTGCGTTCGATAAAACGTTAAAACGCTGAATCTCCTTTTCTTCAGTCTTTTTTCCAAAAAGGGGGTGGGTAACCTACGGCGAAGAGTCAACGCTCCTTTGTCTCACGATTCGTGGCTCGGACAACAAATCGATTCTTTCCAAAAAAAAAAGTGAAAGCGAGAAGCTCTGTCGCCTGGTAGAAGAGAAGCAAGAGCCAGGAAGATGAGAAAATGCATGGTCGGGGCACATTTAATTGCGAATTTTAGTATAGCAGTGTAGAAAGGATGTGGCATGTTGTCCTGGGAATTACGATTTTTTAAAAAGGCAACAAAAGTGAACACATTTCGGCATGAGAATTATATTCAGGCATGAAATCTGTAAGAAATATTGGGAGAAAGGAGAACATCTCGGCGGTCGTCTTGTAACTTGTGGTCAGAAGTCGGAGGTTTAGCTTTTGGACGGGTATTGGCCAGGTTCTGGTCAGAACTTGCCCAAAAAATGCATGGGCCATGGTCAGATTTTGATCAGAAGAAAAAGTGGAAACACTTCTGGATCCTTGGTCAGAAGTTAATAATGGAATTACTACAAGCTTTGTTAATCGGAGTTTTGCCAGCTTTTGTACTGTTTTCATCCAGAACCAGAATATCCAGAAGTTGCCGGCGACGCCCATGGTTGTGGTTCTTGCACAACCCAATAAATATGACATTCAGACCTGCTGGAGTTGTTCAACCCCGAGAAAAAATCTGAAAAAAACCGACAATCATGTGAGAATTCCAGACAACTTCTAATCCTAAAACCAGACCTACTGGAATTCATCTCGTGATCAAATAGACATTTGAACTCTCATCTTTTCAGATCATCCATTCCTTCCTTCCCTTTTTCCTAGAATCTTTCATTTTTGAAGAACGCACGTTTCTATTTCTCGACCCTGAAATGTGACATAGGGCAGCTATTGTCCGATAATCCGATTGTTATTTCAGGTATTCCAATGTTATTCTTGAATCGAAGTGACCAAGGTCGGCAAAAACCGAATAAAAGACGACTCGATCGTTGAGAATTTTCAAAAGATGTTGGGCTTTCTTCTCCATTTTCTAGTTATTTTCTGGATAGCAGAAGCAGCTATCATCAGTCTTCCAAATACTGTTTCCCCAAAAGTTGAGAATGTGTCATCTGTGACAATTCCTAAGATTCCAATGAGACCGAGAGGATTCACTGCTGGTAGGTTAATCAGTTCAGAGTATTGTATCTAGGAAACTTCAGATCGGGACTCGAAGATATTGGCAGTCCAAAGATTCAAACTCCTCGTCTCTGATTTCTTGACAGATGCTCAACTTTCGAAAGTAGGTTTCTAGGAAATCCTTCAATTGCATAATCTTCCAGAGCATTGACGTAGCAGCTGTTGGAATGCACAAGGGTAAACCACTAGATGATATTTTGGATGGTAATCATAGATTGACATATTTTGAACATATAACTTTGAAATTTAGATGTTTACACACGACTCCGGCGAAACTTGACAACAAAACAAATCAGTGAGCTGACGAAAGCGCAAAAGGGATTAATCGAGGATCTGGACGAAAAGTCAGCCAAACTGGTGAAGGCTCGAGTAAAGAGAATGATTGTGTATTCGTTTGATCCTGCTGCTGAACAGATTCACAAGTTTGCCACACGGCCTTCAATGGCGTTTGCATTGATTGCGGAAACCATCAATGAGAGATTTGTTGGATCAGTCAAGGACCTGATTCGAGACGTTCTGACGCCGAAAGAATACGATGTCTTCCGAAAACACTATCATCCAAGAATTTTCAAGTTGGACAATGATGATAAAAGCATGGAAATCGTGAATATGACAACTCCAAGAACTGTTAATAAGCCTTTGTGGTGGTAGATTTTCCACTTCTTCCCCTTATCTTTCCCATTTCAACCCCATTCTCCCAATTCATCCATCATTTTTATTATTAACCCTTCATACAAACAATGACAAGAATAAATTCATCATAGTGTAGCTTTCTGAACAAAGTTTGCATATTCTCCTCCTAATGACAATAACTGCAAATGAGTTCCTTGTTCCACGACTTTTCCATTTTTGACAACGGCAATGCTATCAGCACCTAAAGAAATCATTATTGCAAATAGAAAATGAGGCTCCGCGTCACTTCGAAACCGCGAAGTTTCGAAACCAGTCATTTCGAAATGCGAAATTTGCAAGCTGTAATTTTTTTCTTTAATTTAAGACACACGGTTTCAAAATGACGCGGAGCCGAAAACGATAAGAATCAAAAGAGCACCTCGTATAGTTGTGAGACGATGGGCGATGACAACACAAGTCCTTCCTTCTTTTGCCTTTTCCAAAGCTTCTTGAACCAGCTGAAAGACCAAAAAATCTGGAATTGGGGATTTTATCGACTCACCCTCTCACTTTCCACATCCAAGGCGCTCATCGCTTCATCCAAAAGGAGAATCTTGGGATTTCTTACAATTGCTCTGGCTATTGCGATCCGTTGTTTCTGTCCTCCAGACAGTTTGCTTCCACCTTCTCCAACTATTGTATCGTAACCCTGAACAAAAATTTTGTGGAATAATCTAGGAATTGACCTACTTCTGGCAAGCTCGTGATAAATTCATGGGCATGAGCAATTTTTGCAGCCTGGATGACCTCTCCCTCTTTTATCGATTCTAGGCCATAAGCGATATTTTTCCGAATGGAATAATTGAAAAGAGTTGGTTCTTGTTCAACCAACGCAACTTGAGACCGCAAATGTTTCAGATTCAGATCTCTCAAATTCGTACTTCCAAAATCGATTCTTCCAGCAATTGGATCGTAGAATCTTTCCAAAAGTTGAATGGTTGTACTTTTACCACAGCCACTGGCCCCCACAATTGCTGTTGTTTTTCCGCTTTCAATCTGAAATTGGAATTTTAAAAAAATCTGAAATTTAAATTATCAAATCTATAAATAAAATACCTTTAATGTGAAATCTTTCAGAATCATTTTCCGTCCAGAAACTTGATATCCAAAGTATACATTTTTCAAGGAAATGTCACTGTCCAGCGTAGTTTTCTTTCCTGTATTTGAATCTATTTTTGGCTCATATCTTAACATTTGAAACAGTAATCCAGCAGAAATTTGTGCGCGCACAAATTCTGGAATATATGATCCAAGTGCAAGAAGAGAAGGAGATGACGAATTCAAGGATTCGATGACTCTGAAAATCAATTTTGATATTGGAGAGAGTGAGCGAAACTCACTGAAAGACTGTGAATGGATTCGCTAAGTCATGGTCGACTAGAAGAAGACCAAAACGGTATCCGATTGCAAAACTGAACGATGTGTAGCTAGTAGACAATGCGTACGATATTGACTGTAATATTCCACGTTGCAAGTTTCTGATGTGAATCGGATGCATTCCATCAGCGAATTTCTTCACAAAGCTCTGTTCTCTAGTCAAATATTGAACTGTTCGGTGTTGTTCAACCGCTTCAATGGCTAGTCTTGATGGTTCTTCGGACCTTTCCGAATCTTTTTCTCCTCTCTTTTTCAATACATGTGTTATAAAGCCTTGCAGAGAAATGAGCACTCCTACATTCACAAGTCCCATCAGAGCCATCGTCGGGCTAAACCAGAAAGCAATAGCTATTCCACAAAAAACTGCTGAGAATCCTTGAATAACATCAGCAAGACGTTGATCTATAGCTGCACGGATATTTGGAGCATCTGTGGAAAGACGAGTGATCAGTCGTCCAGGTGCATGTTCTGGAACGTCAAAGTATTCACCATCCTAAATATTTGTTTATCTTTTTATATTAAAAAAAAGAAAACCTGTCTGAGAATGTTAGTGAACAGTAGAATTCGAAGTCTCTTTGTGAGTCTTTCCCCTACATATCCAATCAAACAACCAGCGGCCATTGTCACAATCAGTGCATATATTCCAAGAGCCGTTAAATAGATTGCATTCATGCCTGAATTACTACTCTTCTCCTCGTCTGTTCCAGTTGATAGAATCTAAAATGGAAATGTATTTTTTGTTGTTGTTGGATGAAGTTTACCCGGAACATTCTTCCATAGAGGATTGAGTAAATTGGGTAATTGAATCCGCGGAGAACTGATATAAGGATGGAGATAGCAAGAAGGCCCCACTCTGGTTTTGTGTATCGGAGAATTTCAAGAAAGGTCGACGGTTGTTCATTCTCTTCTCCTATCTGAATTCATGAACCATAAATGTCATTTGTTTTATAAGGAGCACCGGTAATGGAGATATATCAGAAAGCAGTTTTTCGGATGTCAGCGAACATGATCTCGCCGTTTTTTTGCTGAATTTTTGACGAGATGATTTCGAGTCACAAGATTCCCTCCTAGATTCGAAAGAGTCTGAAAAGTGTTTCTTGTTTCATTCAGGAAATCATACTAGTACATTCTTCCATTGTCGATTCTTGCCTATTTCCCACTTCAATTTCTTGGGATTGAACCATTTTCGCATAGTGTCCATCTTTCTCCATCAGTTCTTGATGACTTCCAACTTCCACTATCTTTCCATCATCAAAAACATAAATTCGGTTACAATTCCGAATGGTACCCAATCTATGAGCAATCGTGATCGTAGTTCTTCCTTCTGCTGCATTCTCCAATGCTATCTGAACCAGAGATTCACTTTCTGAATCCAAAGCACTCGTGGCTTCATCCAAAATCAAAATCGATGGTCTGAAAGTTTTTTGCTTGCTTTCAATCAATAAGGATCCGCCTACTTTCTTGCCAAAGTTCTCGCAATCGCTATCCTCTGTCGCTGTCCTCCTGATAATTCGACTCCTCCATTTCCAATAGCTGTTTTGTATCCCTAGAATAAATTCAGATGGCTCAATCAAGAAATTCGCTTTACATTCGGCAACTGCTCGATGAAATCGTGCGCATTAGCCAGTTTGCAGTAGTATTCCATCTCATTGTCATCTAAATCTGGAGCTCCCAACCTCATATTGTTCTCAACCTAAAACGAAATCATTGATTTAATAATCAAACTTTGAAAAACTACAGTATCCGCAAACAACAATGGTTCCTGACTGACGATTCCTACAATGTTCCTCAAATGTGACAAATTCAATTCATCAATGTTTGTATCATCAATCGATATCTGAAAAAGAACTTTGAACTCAACTTTTAGCTAATGTTTCAACAAACTTTTCCCCCATTCAACTCATAAAAATGCATCATAAGGGCAGCAGTTGTACTTTTTCCACTTCCAGAATGACCAACCAATGCAATGTTTTCTCCAGGATTAGCATGAAGACTGATTCCTTTCAGAACGTTCACCTGTTGAATTGGATAGTTGAATATGCATTAAAATATGAATCAAAATTAGAACCTACTTTTTGCCGAGCGGGATATTTGAACCAAACATTCTCAAACTTAACTTTTCCTTTTACTTTCGATAATTTAAGTCCTTTATCAGATGTCCCATCAAGGATAACTGTCTGAAAAGAGTCCGTAATCCTGGATCATCTACTGTCGAACTCACTCTATCAATAATCTGGAAAACAGGTACGGCTGCACTGTAGCACGATGAGACCGATGTTAAATGTGGAATAGCTTGTCCGACAAAGTATATAGCTCCATTGACTGCCCAAAATACAGCAAGTGTGGTTCCAGGAGTTATTGATCCTTTTAGAACCAATCTGGTTCCCCACCTTTGAATAAATTATTTTATTTCATCTCAAGTAATGAAAAACCAACCAGAATGAAATTGCCATTGAAAAACACATGAAGAATGCCCCAAAAGCCCCTCAAATGAGCTCAAAGAAGCTCTCCAAAGTCCCCAGTACATTGCTTTTGATAAAAATTTTGAGTACCTAAACAAATTAATTACAATTTATTAAAACGATTATTATATGATTAACCTGTTGATTTCTTTTTGTTCTCCATTAAAAGACACAACTGTTTTGATGCCACTGATAACTTCTCCTGCTGCAGTTGCCGCCGATTCATAGGCTTCCAATTCTTTAAAAGTCACCTTTGAGATCATCTGAATAACCGTTTCCAGTTAGAGGAATTTTCATAACTATTTTAACAAACCTTGCGAGATATGATGATTGGAAGAATGAATGCAGGAGTGATGATTAGAGTCACAATTGTCATTTCAACACTGAAAAAGGCATAAAAGAGGACTACTCCTTTTCATTGATACCTTAAGTAGAATGCAAGAGACAATCCACAGAAAAAATGGGTCAAATAGGCAATTATAACACCAAGCTTGTCTCCTAATCCATCTCGAACTCTTTCCAAACCACTAAAGAATCACGATTGTTATTTCAGATTTTTTACAACCTACTCATTCATTCGAACTATAGCTGCTCCAGAATCATTTTGATCGAACCATTCCCAATCCTGACTGTAGTTATTTCAATCAAAATTACGTTAAAACTTAAGCTAACTACCGTAATAATGCACTAAAATACGCAACTCGAATCTTGAAAATTTGTCGTTCACAGAATGTATGCCAGCAGCACATCTGATAATTAGGTTAATTGACTTGTCAAATTTGTATTCTAAATCTTACCGAAACGAATGACAAACTAAACAGAAGAGTACCGTACAAAAAGTAAGTGTGGATAATATTCAATGTTTCATTATTGAACTGCTGGTGATCAAATGTTTGGTTGGTATATGATCCTTGTCCTGAAAACCGTATACTTACAAAAAAATTCGAAACTTCCTTGTTACCACTGATTAGAACATCTGTTAGGTCTCTGAAAAGAATTGCATTCAGAGAACTACAACAGCCTTGGGAAATCGAAAGAAAGATTCCGAGACCAAGAAGCAACCTATCAACTTTGTTGGAGTATCGCAACTGAAAAACAAAAAAGCATAGGTTCCACCGAGATTTGAACTCGGGTCGCAGGATTCAAAGTCCTGAGTGCTAACCGCTACACCATGGAACCGGCGGTCGCTGACCTAGTCAAACTGTGATAAAATCAACGTGTTTTCACTCACCAGGGAACAATAGCTGAAGGAATTGGAAGAAGAAGACTCGCTCGACGACGATGATTGTGAATTCGACGGAGAAATAGTTGACTCTTTTTCTCGCTTTCTGTTCATGATTTCAGGTACTTCTTATGATGTAAAAAAGGAACTGACAAAATAATTTTTTGAGTATAAACTGAAAAGTATTTGTCAGTTATCAGCTGGTTCCCATATCTAAATTACATGTTTTATTGTTCTTCACCAATTTTTTTGGTTCCGCAGCTTTCTTATCGAATAGTGCAGTGAGTGTAGGCAACGACTTTCAGTTTCTGAGTTTTTGTGTCAGTGTTCGGTTGGATTGTGATCGAGGACGCCACACGATTTCAACAGTAAAAAATTAATTTATCACGTTATTAGAATTTATCGAGATTACATTCCAATGATAGAAATAATAAATAGGTGATGGAGACATCAGATTCATGTCTTGGGAACTTTTAGGAATTCGACTTCGACATCTGGGGAGATCATGATCGACTGCCGTGCAGCAGTTTTTGTTTGCAAAATCTCAGCACTCCAATCGATTTTCCCAATTTCCGCTACAGCTTCTATGAACAGTGTCTTCGCTTTTTCCACGTTCGCAGCGAATACTTTCATCACCGAAGCAGCTGTCACTTGATCTTCATCTTTCCAACAGTCATAATCGGTGACCAAAGCAGTAGTTGCGTATGGAATACCAAGTTCCTTGGCAAGAATGCACTAAAATTAGAACTATTTGAGTGAGGTTCCTGTAAAACAGCGAAATTTACTTCCGGCATCATTGTCATGTTAACCAAACTGGCTCCCCATGATTTGAAGACCATACTTTCGGCTTTGGTCGAAAACCGAGGTCCTTCAATGCAAACTCCAAAGCCGGTGCGATGGTGAACGAGCTTGCACTTCTCGGCGGTAGAAATCAAAACCTGGAAAACATTTCACCTTCCGGAAAGATGTTTTTTAGAAACATACCTGTCTCAGTTTCTCATTATAAGTGGGATGAGCCTGGATATGAGAGACTCCAGGTGCTCCACTGAATGTACCATCGAAGAATGTAGCTTTGCGACTGTTAGTTCTAAAAAACAAACGGTTCGGTTGCATTTTCAACTGCATTTTAACCTGTCGAAAACTGAATCCGGAAATAGCAAATGCCCTGGGGCCACTTCTTCCTTTAGAGAGCCGCAAGCAGTAGAAGCAATGATGACATCAACTCCTAGAATTACAATTTAGCTTCACTCATTGTTAGTTTGAAATACCGAGAGAGTAGAGAGCCCATAGATTGGCGCGATAGTTGACGTTTCCGGGCATAATGTCGTGCTTCCGTCCATGTCGTGCCAAAAGAACACATTCGACACCATTGATTGTTCCTAAAAATTTTCGTCTATGTATTCGGAACTGTTTTTCTCCTGTTCTCCTTACCTTGTATGAGATGATCACTCGGCTGTCCGTACGGAGTATCAATCGAGATCGCTGTTGGGTTTAGAAGGATATTTGGATCCTCCAAACCACTTCCTCCTATGATTCCGACTTTGACCATGTTTGAGCTGTTCTGCAAGCCAAAAAAGTTGGGAATTTGATATCTGAGCCCGGTAAAGATTGAGCAGAGAAAGGGCAATAAACTGCTCTATCTTATCATAGACGACACTGATAACACAACTCACGACACATAATAGACGCCATAAAGAAAATCGATAGAAGGAGCAGGACGAGAAGAAGTGCAGGTCATTCGGAGGAGGAGAGCGCGCCGTGCATGAGACAGATATGGCGCCAGGGCACAGAAAAGGAGACGTATCAAATTTCTTGACGCATTTAGAAAAAATTGAAGAAAAACACCGCAAAGTGCTGAAGGAAAAATTAAGAGAAAATGAGAGTTTGGAGTGTTTTCCATCGCTGTGTGAATCGCTGTTTTTTTCCATCGCTGTTTCTACAGTACTCTGCTCCCAGAGAAGTTGTACCTTTAAAGTGACATACTGTAGCGGTATTAGCGCGAAAACTAAAACTTACTCTTCGAAATTTCAATTTTCTATGTTTAGCGTCTCCAAAATAAGAAATTCTGAGAAGAATATGCGGAAGGGCTGCCGTAGCGACCCGAAAGCGTTTGAATTATTCTTCTTTTCGCTGGACTTTGACAAAGGAAACAAACATAGACGACATTTGTGTATGAGGGACCTCAAAAGTATAAATTGTCGGAATTATCAAAATATCGCAATTTTTCTAAATATTGACAATGAGTCTTCAAACACGAGGTACCAGTTTTTTATTCCGGCAAAATTCAGTCATTGAAAGTATGTAGAGTAATATCAATTGTATCTTATTTCGTTTCACATAAATAAACAGCATGATCGAGAGCAACTCTATTCTGCACATAAATATTTATTTGATTCAATGAAAAAAACAGCACAAAAATCACTCGTTGATGATTCAGCTGCCAATTGTTATCCTTCTGAAATATGAATAGTTTTTGATATGAGATACGCAGAGAGCAGTAACTTACGTAGTATCCTTCAAAATAGACACGGTGATTGGGTGTACTGTTGTCCGACCACGCTGTCATCTGATTGAGAACCCAGAACCCAAGCTTATCTTGTGTAGCCGCATAAACCGATGTTTGCATTGGAACCGATTTACCATAGAATTTCGCCAAATTTGACAGCCAGTCTTCGAATTTCGCTGGAATTTGTGATCGTCTTGAAACATAAGAAGATTCGGAAAATCTTACACCACGTATCGAATTTTCCTCCGCAAGCATAACCATTAAATGTCTTTTGATCGAACATTTCCTTGAATGCCTTCTGAGTTTTCCACTGGAGATCCTGACGGAATACTTGATCCCATCGTCTCGAGGACAATGCCATTTTCTGAAGAGATTCGTCGCTCTTGGTCATTCTGAATAAAAATTCATCGTTATTTTCTTTCTTCACTCTTAACCCACTTGGTTTTATTTTCAGTGCAATACTGTTGGACTTGGATTATGGTCCAATCCATGAAGTTCTCGAAATAATCGACGAAGAAATTTAACCACTGAAATCAAAAACATTGATTTTTTTTTCAAAAATTGCCAGACCTTTTGAATCTGGAACTTGTATCGGTCCTTGTAGAATGTTCCTGGTTCCCCTTGATAAGTCACAGAAAAGTCGACATAATAAGTCTTATTTTCGGTATGGGTCACTTCGAAAGTATGATTCTGAATGAATAGACTTTCAAAAAAAAGTTTTAATAAAATATAATAGCACACCATGTATTTTTGAACCTTCCCATATCTCTTGTTCCAGTATTCCACAAACTGATCTGTAAACAAAAATACCGAAAACACTCTAATAGAAGACCACCCAAACTGTCAATCTTAAGCTCATATATCAAAGCTCCTGTAGAAGATATCAAAAAGTGGTCAACTGATAAACTATTTGTAATGTTATGACAAGAATTTTGTTTTTTGACCAATTTTTATATCTCTTACAGGAACTGAGATATATGGGCTAAAAGATGACGGTTTGGGTGGCTTTCTATTAGAATTATTGACATGTATTCTTACTCACTCGCTGACATTTTTCCAACGTCACAAATGTTAATGAATGGTGAAGGATTCAATTAGTTGTACATGGATTCATAAGCCGACTTATAATGAAGACCACCATCCAGGAAGATGTCACTTACCAATCTTAATCGATTTTTTGTATTCAAAATCATCTCATCTGCCAAAAATTTACTTGTTTTTCAAACTTGAAATGAAAGTTTCCACAGGTATGGCTGGTTCAAGTGGAGGAGTCTTCGGAATAGTCGAGCAATCAGACATCATCTTCAATGTGTTCGCAACAAAATGCCCCTTCTCCTTATCGAATGTAGCTGACATTGTCCATTTATCATTTCTCTTGATGTCTCCTCTGACGTCTGACCTATAATCCAGTTCAGTGGTGATATCATCGGAGCTGTCTGTTATGACCGTGCTAGTCAACTGAAATGTATCTTCTCATTTTTTTATATTATAGATGATTAGGATGTTTACCCCAACTTCCAAATAGAACTTGCTCAAGTAGGTCATCCATTTATAAAACTGATCCAGACTCAATCCATAAGCCGATGCCATACAAGTCTCAATATACGCATCCGGCGACATGATTTGCATCAAATTATTCCAATCCTTTCTTTCGCCTTTCGATAGGAAATTCAAAAAATTCCTGTTGAATCTGGCCATCATTTCAGCTCCAGTTTTTGGTATTGGTTCTTGGAAACGACGAAGTTCCGATTCAAAATCAATGTCCGGGATTTCATTGTCATAGAAGTCAATGATGGTATTCGAGGAAAGATGATTGTACTCGGAAAGGTCCAAAGACTCGAATCCCCGAGCCAATTCAGGTAGCAATAGAAAAAGGGAGAATACAAGCAGACGCATCGGAGGGAAATAGAAGAGTGAGAAGGAAGAAGGAGAACGCGCATCGTTTATAGTCGTTCCATAGGCCTCCTGATTCGTTTAAGACGATTTCCCAGCCGAGTTGGAGAAAAATTACAGTATTCCTTGCAGTTCGGAAGGAACACGTGGCCTAGACCGAAGTTTCTTATTGATTGGGTACTCTAGCAAAAAGAAAAGTTTCTAGATACGGTAGATGCGATAAACCAAGAAAGGAAACAAGACTGGACCGTAATATAATATTTTGGTTAGCAGTCGGAGGACCTCCTTCGCCTCGGTTACTGTAGGAGGATTTTTGAAAAAAATTTTAAATTTTGAAAATATTTTTATTAACTTTTCCACTTAATCACTTTTACACCTGATTTACAGCACACGAGAAGTTGACAGTTCGGGAGCCATTTAATTACAGGTACATGGTACATTTATGGTACATTTAACGGATTTTTAAATCTTTATCCGAAATCATTCATGAAACAAACATGGAATCCACAAAATTAGATTATATTTTTTTTTAAAAATCAGAAACCAATGCAAATAACATTTTCATTTTATCACAAGTCAAGAATCATTCTCTTCTTCTTCTTTTTGGTCTCATCACACTCAAAGTACATCCGATTCATTTGCCACAGTCCTTTTTTGTCTTTGAATCCAGCAAATCCCACATCCAATTCCTCTTGCTCCTGAACTTCCGTTGCTCTGCTCACCAGAAAAGTTGTCGAAAAGTCCGCAGCCACCAAATTCCGGATCCTCACATATACCGTACACTTTGCATACCGAGTAGCCACCTTTTCCATGTGCCCACGAATATGGTCTGAAAATCAAATGATTTCTTCTATCATCGCTTCAATTTTACCATAGGTTTGCCTTTTTGATCCAGCACAAGTTCCCCATTGTGTGTCGCTTTTTTCAAAAAGATCCAAGAACGATTGATAAACATCCCAATTTTCTCCATTAATCATACCACAGAATCGTTTATTTACTTCGCCGAGGATAGTTGCACCATCCAAGAGAGCTATATGCTGTGTCACATCCCTAGTACATTTCTTTGTCACCCAATAGATCTTCCAAAAACTGAATCCTTGATTCATATATGGTACCCATTGCTCTTCCTAAAAATATTTTTTATTCACCAGAATTTTCATACATTTTGTTGCCTTCTTGACTCGGAATACATACGTATCCATGAATTTGGTAGTGTTCTGAGCTTCCCAAGTAGTGGAAAAATAAATCTCAAAGTGCTGGTTAAACTTCTGGTGGGTGTATGTATTGTTCTAAAACCAAACATTTCAAAACCTCTTAAAAAGGAAATAATAATTGTTACCGAGTACAAACGAATCCCGCTATACCTATCAGCCATGTATCTGATGAATTCGTCTGAACAAGAAATTTATTGAATTGAATTAAAATCACCTTTATTCATTTTTGGCTCATCACAAACAACAATTTGTGCATCTTCTGTGATCCAGTCACCAAAATCTTCAAAATCTTTCAATTTTTCTTCTACGCCATACGGTAAAAACAATCCATGAATAAGCCTGCAAAATGGAATTTCGGTTCAAACTCTCAATAATTCGCATTCACTTGGCTCGAACTCTCTCCAGAAAGTGGTCAACTTCTTCCATTGGCTCTTGTGAGTCCCAGAACGTACTGCTTTTCATTCAACTGATTGGTTATTTCGACATCCTTAATTTGTATAAACTAATTTTGTTCTACTCTCCTAAACTTACATGTAATTTCTGATAAAATAATGATAGATAAGCCATAACAGCCCAAAGTTCATTCTTTTTCAGAGCTCTTCCGGGAACGAAACACACATGAATTTGGATTTTCGGATGGAAATACTGAGCGAGGTCATCAAAATGAGCACGACTTCTTGAATTTAAAACTCCAAAAACATCTTCCTTAAATCGTAGGTTCATCTGTCCAGCAGTATTTGGATCCGGATCCCCTCGTTCCGATGGGGTCCTCCCAACACTCTCGATCAGATGACGTTTTGGTCCGAAGTAATCAGTAGGGATATCATAATCGAATTCGAATGAATTGAAAGCTGACGTGGAAGCAAAAAGGAGAAGAAGCGGGAGAAGAAGACGCATCTCCGCTGAAGATGGAACAAGACTCGGCGAGAGGAGAATTTTTATAGTGCGATAATTCGATTTATGATAAAAGATTACGGTGGTGAGAAACAAATAAAACTGCAAACTTTATAGAAACCATTCAATTTGCATCAGAAAAATAGAAGTTTAAAACCAACTAGAAGAAACAGTCAACACATTTAAATTAGTGCTACTTCTTCGGTTTCTTAATCTTTTTGGACAGAGCCAAGACTTGACATGATTCCGGAATGGACGGTTGATAGCAATTGAGGATATAGAAGTGATTATTCCATGAAGTGTGATGATGATAGTAGACAGATTAACAAGAACTGAAAAAGAACATTTTGTGAAACATTTACAATAAAACCTGTAATAGAAGGGCACCCACGCGGTCAAGTTAGAGCGGATTTTTCTCGGCTCCTATGCGAGAAATAAAAAATGTGTCAACTGGGAAAATGTTTTTGATATTATGATAATCAATTCATCAGTTGAACACAGTTTCATATCTTTCACATGAATCGAGATAAATTGGATTAAAGTTAAAGTTAAGGGGCCCTTCTATTACAGGTTTTACGGTGTTTGTTCGAAACTAACTCTGATTCCGGTATCTCAATAAAAATGAGAAAAATGTATATCCCATGGGAATTACGATAACAGCAAGATGGGTCAAAATCTGAAATTCACATTTTCGAGTTATCACATTTCCTAGCTTTCTAAAAAAACTTTTTCACCTGTAACCACGCAGTGAGAAAGAATTTCTTTTGTAAGTTCCGAGTAGCTTGGGACATTTTGCTCTTCTCGAGAGAAAAGAGAAAATAAAAACTGAGAAATGCAAATGTGATAACTTGTATTAATATTAATAAAGAAAATAGAAGAACAGTTGAGATAAGAAGTGGAACTAAAACTGGTTTAAATGAGAATGCAGTTGTGAAGAATTGAGGAATCGGACACAGAAGTACTGAAATATTTTTTTATTGTTTTTTTAATGATCTTGATTTGGGAATAAACCTCGGAATAATATTGCTTTGCAGTTTTCTGATCTTCAAGTTTCAGAAAAGAGGATATTAGTAGACAAAAACTGACTACAAACATAATTGAATGATATGCTCGTCTTCTATGGATTTTAAATCGAAAGTGAGGCGGAGATATAGCATTGAAACGATTCTCAAAAATCATCACGACGGCAGATCCGAGACCTAAACTTGTAAAATTCCATATTTCCTGTATAATTGAAAAATCAAGGCCTGGCGGGCTCGGGTTTCCCAAACTTGAAAAAAAGTTTCGAAATTTCAGAATTCCTTTTTAACTTTTTAATAAAAAAATTTCTTTAATAACACTCTCATCTTGGAACGTTTTTACTTGACAGAAACATCGTAGATTATTTCTGTTTACCCCGAAAATGTTTTGAAAAGACAGGAGAAAAGTTTTTCTGGACACCCAAGCCGGCAGAAACATTTCTTTAAAAATTCTGAAAAAGAAGGCCGACCCGGTCTGGACCGTTGCATGTATAATGTAATGTTCTGATACAGAAAAAACCGGAGCTGTGGAAGAGAAACACCGTAGGCCGTGGCCGAAGGTCCCACAACGAAAACTACCGTAACCTAAAAATACTATCATCTTCAGGATATTTATTTTGTCGATTTTCGTACATTTTAGGTCAATTTTTCTGGGAAAAATAACATAAAGCTTGACGAAAAACAGTGAAAGTCGAGAAAATGACTCCGGAAGAAAACATTTTCAGGTTATGGTAGTTGTCGTTGTGGGAGCTGCAGCCTCGGCCACCGGCTTTTCTTTTCCACAGCTCTGATTTTCAAGGGACAAACAAACCAGAAATAATCAAAACTAGCATGACAAGCTGTATTTCCGTTCGGACACCGATCAAACTAAATACTCCAACTGGAAGAACAACGAGAGTTGGAATGAAAAAATAAGGAACCACCAGTAAAGAATACATTAAATCCATTGATCTCGTCCTAAAATATTTTATTGTGCTTCAAAAAATTTGTATTCAACGTTACCATAAAGACAAATTCAGAAGGTACCATTTCATTTCTTTCATCTGTTGAGGAGCATGAAAAAGTAAGAGATACATAGAATAACTAGTAATTATTACTTCTAGAGCTGTGAGACCAAAACAAAGATTTCGGAATACTGTAGGATTCTCCAGAAAAGATATTTCCTGGCTGCAAGACATGGGGATTTTGAGAACTAAATAGAAAGGGAAGATTTATGAATTTCGTAGAATTCGTGACCGAAGTTTGTAGGTTTTAATAGATGAGTTTTAGCAGAAAGGGAATCAGAGGAAGTCAGGCGATACTTTTTCTTGGTTTATGCGTAGGCTCCACACAATTATCATATGATTTTCAAGCGTTTCAACTGAAATTCTTCAAATTTTTCTAGCAAATTTCCTGTGTCAAGTACCTCGTCATCACTAAGAAATCCACGAATTGTTGGCAGGTGGAGAGCATCACTCATATTTTTTTCAAAGCGGTCTTTGCTTCTAAAAAGTGAAAAATATTCTAAAAATATTTTCAGTTCTCTGAATTCTCCAAATTACCGTTGAGCTGCTATCAGATCCTTCCCCTTCAATGCATCCTCTCTTTCTATTATTAGCTCTCGGAGTCCCGCCTCTCTTGCTTTTAGATCTTTGACACTTTCATCCATTGCAGAAGCTTGAGCGTATCTGAAAATTCAAACTCTAGTGAGAAAAATCTGAAAATGTCGTACTTTTCTTCCCAAATCGATTCCTCCCTTTTTCTTTCAAGAAGCCTCAACATGTTGTTGAATTCTGACATTCTCGATCCAAAGTACACCTGGAAATTATTATGAAACTTGAAATTCGATACTTTTCCGGAAAAAATTCGAACCTCTTTTCTCGGTTTCCGTTTATTTCCCTTCTCGTCAATACCCAGAATCTCATCCAATATCTGTTTTTTCGACCTTAAAATTGTTTTGTTTGTTGTTTGCACATCTGCCCATTTCACTTCTTTTTCACGGTGTTCATCTTCATTATTTGGCCTTTTTTTGCACATGACTAGAAAGGGGGCGAACGAGTACATAGAAAAACCAAGAATTTGTGACGAGGCGAGTGATGTGGGTGGAATATATATGAATTGGGAAAAAATTGAACTGAATAAATCAATGGAATCAGTTTGGAAAAGAACAAAAACATGATACAGGGGTAAGAAATGATAAAGAAGAATGATAGGATGATGCTGGGCAATCGATTCAATCCATGGCTACCTGTCCGACAGCGGTGGGGATACAGATGACTGGGGTTTCGAGGAAGATGACGATGACGATTCCTGGAAAATATGAGATTTTGAAGATATTTCTGATAAGAAAGTGTTCTCTGAGTTCAAAGTTTTCGGTTCATTAGCCTTTGAAACCAAATTTAACTCGGTAATCAAAAAAAATAGGGGCTCGGCCCGGTGGGCTCAGGTTTTTTTAACATTAAAAAAAACTGAATTTTCAGAAAATTTCCAAATGTTCTTTTCAAACAATACTCCGATTTTGTAAAAGTATTTTTTATCCCAAAAATGTTCTGAAAGTGAAAAATTGCTGGGAACCCAGACCTGGTCAAGAAAATTCAGAAAAATAGGCTGCCCCGGCCTGTTGCAATTATGTTTTTTTGTTGTTGTTTTTCGGTTTTGCTGGTGTTATCCAACTTGGTAATAAACGGAATACCGTAAAACCTATAATAGAAGGGCATCCATTTTGTTAAGTTTGAGCTAATTTTTCTTGGCTCCTATTCAAGAAAACGAAAATTTGTCAACTGATAAAATGCATGTTATATTATGATAAACAGTTTATCAGTTGAAAGATTTTTAATTTTTTTAACAGAAACCGAGATAAATTGGTCCAAACCAGCTAGGGACCTTCTATTACAGGTTTTACGGAATATCAATTCCTTTCCAAACACAAAATACCACGTACCGGTGCTGACTTTTCACTATTTGTGTCGACTGTAATTGCCTCGGTAATTGCAGATGTTGACGGTAATTGTGGATTCTGAAGTGAAAACAAACTTAATTATTTTTGAGTAAAAAAAACACATACCTTCATAACAGCTTCTTTCTTCCGTAATCTGTTCAGCATTTCTTTCGAAAATAAAATCTCCTCATCTTCAGAATCTGTATCATAAAGTCCAACGATTGTCTTGGGTTCTCGCATTTTCTGAAAAAAAAATGTTCAAAACAATGGCGATGTGCATCGGAGCATGAAGTAACAATGTTTTCTTGGATCTCAACAAGAAAGAGAAAAAGAAGAAAAAAGAATTTGAATAGGAAGAGGGTGATGAATAGTCACCAATACCCTAATACCCTGAACACAATGGACAACTCCATGTTTCCAGTCACGCTGATCTGGTAGAACTAGAATTTTCTGGTAGAAATAGTAACCTTGTTATGAAATACGAACGTTCCGAAGAAGTCATATGAGAAACTAAAAAGTCTATTGTTGAGTAGTATTGGCGGCAGTTCAACTGACTCTCCAATAGCAAATAGAAATAAGAAGAGAAAAGAGCAAATAGAAAGATCTGCCAATCCATGTTTATTTTGTTTATGATGATTATACGCTGTTTTTATATTGAAAATAAGAAGGAGAAATATAGAAGATTATTTTAGATATTACAGGATGATGCTCCTAATAACTTAGAAAACGACCTTCAATAATACTAGAATTCATAATCCTCCAGACTCCCAGAAATGTACTAAACACATTTTGGTTATACATATGTTTTAATAAAATTGCGGATGAAGAGAAATAGAAGGGAAAAGAGAAGAGTAGTATACCAACAGCGTCAGGAGAAGGTGACTAACCAAATAATAAATACGTATTTGGGGGAGAAGAGGAGGTGCTGGTGACGAATGTAAAAAAAGGCTTTTCCCCCCTCAGGAACACCTGCTACTTCTTCTAGTTTTCTCCGCTTATTTTGGTTTCATTTTGACGAGTAAATTGGAAAGAAAACTGAAGGTTTAATAACAAGTAAGACGTATCAGGTTTGACGAAAATTTGTATTTATTTTAGTAGAAGCTAACAAAGAACTATTCTTCTGAGAATTTTCAGAACGGAAGGTGTTTAAAATATAACTCAAAAGATTGAGCAAAAAAAATTTTACTGATTTACCGTATTTTCTCTAATATGTGCCCACCCAACCAGTCAATTTTAAGCTCAATCATCTCGATTCTTAAGGATGATATCAAACATTTACCAACTGATGAAATTTTGATGACATGACGATAAATAATTTACCAGTTGACAAAATTTTGTTACCTGTTACAGTAATCGAGATAATCGAGTAATCGAGATGTTACAGTAAAAATTGAGCTCAACATTAACGGTTTGGATGGGCTTCCATTAGAGGAAATACGGTAAATAATAGTGCATGTCAGAATACTTTTTTCCCCCAAAAAAACTCGGAAAAAAAATTTTAAGGTGAAAAAATTGTATGGAAACGCCATAGGCCGTTTATTTGGCAAATAAATTGGAGGGTACAAAAATTAAGATTATTGGGCTACAATGCAACTTAGGGGTACAAAATCTTCAAGTCACCCTCGGAATTATTTGCATGTTTATTTTCCACAGCTCCGATTATGTACCAAAACAATAATCCAGAAAAATCCTTGGAAAATTTTTTGCTGCTCCCCAGACTCAGAAGAAAAAGCTTTCCGAAAGAGCAGATGAAGGAGGATTTTGAGATAAAAAAAGCAAATAAATTTCTCAACCCATTGACTCTTGAGAACGACGCCATCTCGATTGATTGTCCAGGAAAAAGAGCACATGTTGCTCAGTGAGCCAATTACACTTGCTTCTTCCACACGATTGGTTTTTCCACTCTCTCTCTCTCTCTTTCCTTCTAATTTTTTTTAATTCGATTGAAAAAAGAAAAAAAATCTCGAATAGTTTTCAAACTACGCACAAGAGAAACAAAAAAAGTTATGAATTTAAAACTGACCGGTTTTGCCTTCAATGGCAACAGAATTCCTCTATCGAGTTCTACGTAACTCATCGCTTTCTGCTTTGGTTCGTCCTTGAAATTTCTGTCGAATGGCAGTATTTCACCTGCAATTTTCGGGGGAAAGGTCATTCGGACAGTGAAATTGAAAACCCGGGGAAAAGATCTCTAGATCGGTAATTAGTGTGTGACACTTTTTTTCAATATTGAATCATCTTATCTTACTTTTCTTCTCCTGATCCGCCTCTTTCAAATGATCCAAAAGCTCAAAAACTCCAATTGTTCTCTTAGTTTCCGACTCCATTTTCAGAATTCTTTTAGCTTTTTTCGGATGAAAATATGATAGAAAACGAGCCAAAATTGACATTTCTTGAAGGGGAAAAGGATGGATTCTCCAATGTTTTTATAGAGAAAAAATATCAAAAAATGGCATAGAAGAAACAAAATATTCTCGGGCTTTATGGGATGACACCGAACTTTGACTTTTTCAATCTTCGCATGAACAATGAGCGCTTTGGGCATGGGAGACATATATTTTTTCAGTGCCATCATTGAATATGGCATTGATTATGGCTTTTCATGAAAATTCATATGTCACATTTCAGAGAAAATTAAAAAGGAAATGACTGACCTGCTCCACAAATAACAACAGAGAGAATTGACACTTGACGGTGGTGATTGACGTCAGAATCCGAAAAACCGTGGATAGATATTCTGAAAAAGTAGAAGGGATCGGGTTTTTTTCCAAACTTTTCAATTCAAATAAGTGAGCGGAAATCGGGGCTTCAATTGAAATTCATGGAAAATTGAGAATAGGAAATGGGAGCTTTTTTTGACATACATAGAAGTCATGTGAATCCACTCGAAATTCCGGAGAATTTTTTTTATTAAAATTCGGTTCTGGAAAAAAAGGAAAGAAAATAATTAGCTGAAAGAAATGGAGAGTATAGCTAGAATATCTTGTGTAATGAGTTTCTGCTATCTACATAATAATTTATCTAATCGGAACTACAATCTTCAAGAAGAAGAAGACGCTGATATAGTCGTTCTTCGTGTACACAAGGCTGAAATACACTGAAAATGAGGGCAAGAACTTTTTCTAGAAACAGAGTAAAAATAACTTGTAGCAAATCTTAAAAATGAACCTTTTAAGATTTTCGACTGATTGACATAAACCAACTACCGTAAAACCTCTAATAGAAAGCCCCCCCCCTTACCTTTGAAGTTCGAGTCAGTTTATCTCGGCTTCTGTGAAAAATATCAAAAAACTATCATCTGATAAATTGTTTATCATAATATCAGAAGTGTTCTATCAGTTGACACATTTTTGAAATCTTTCTTAGGTACCTGAATTAGCTCAAACTTGACAGTGTGGGGGCCCTTATATTACAGGTTTTACAGTATACAAGGTGAAAGAGCATCTTTCAGAACTTTCAAATTCATTTTCAAAATCTGCTTAAGAAACTTCGAAAATACTGAAATTTCAGCTTCAGTACCAAAAAATATCTTTTTTCAGAACAAAACCGGAAATTTTTGCAAGTGATATTTCTCCTAGGAGGTTTTAGAACTTTAAACATTTTGATACACTTAAAACGATGCGAAATTCAACATTTAAACATTTTTCTCAAAAATTTTTTTTTGAAAGTTCAAAAAGTTGCCTACCCTTCGGGGTGGGATAATTTTCCCAAATTGCCGATTTTGAAATGAATAAAACAGATTTTTTGGTACTGAAACTGAGATTTCAGCACTTTAGAAGTTTCTTAAGCAATATTTAAAAACGGAGAGATAGACTCTGAAAAACTTTATTTTATCCTGTATTGTTGGTTTATGTCAATCAGCCAGACAACTTAAAAACAAGGTTTTCTTGTTATGGAGTTATTCAGGTGAGGCAAAAAAACGGTAAAAAACTAGGCGAAAACTTGGAGAATCAAGCAATCTGACTGAAACTTTGGGGGGAAACTGGAGAAAATCAAAGGGAACATATTGAAACTGTGGTCAAAATATCCACTTTGAAAATTTGGCTGGAATTTCAGACAATATTTTTTTTTCAAATTTTTTAGGTTTTTGCCGAGTTTTTCGCCTCACCTGAATAACCCCATTAGATGCTTGAAAATAAGAAAAAAAAGACGTATATGTAGAGGAACTCATGCGAATCAAGAAAATTTGGGAAAAAGAGAACGAGGGGGATTATGAATATTCCATTTACTTGAAATCTGAGACTACAGCAGGAAAAATAAAGAAAACATAATAAAGATGGTTGTTATGGAGAGAGAAAGGAAATGCGAATGGAAAAGTGTTGACTGGAGGAATAGGGATTGGTCGAGCATTCCCAGAGACTACTACTGAAGGAGAAAAGAACTTTCTAGATCCACTGTTACAGACACGTAGGCTACAAACTCTTGTTATTTTGTGCTCTGTGACTAAACAGTTTTGACGCATGTACACAGACACCGTTTGGTCTCTTTTTTCCTTCTCTATCTATTTCTCATTTTCTTAGTAACTCACCGACCTACTTACTACTCTCAAGTAAAGTCAACACAACGGACATTCGGTGCCAACAGCCATCTGAGTTTTTGAAAAAAAGGAGGAAAAAAGAAGAGGAAGCATGGTGAAGAGGAACCCATTATTTGCTTTTGAATTGACGAATTGACGACGATTTTTGTGCAGATATATATTTGAAATGATGTTTCCCTTTTTTGGGAGAAAAAAATCGGATTTGTTTGCTTCATTCTTGGATATTGCAGGAAGGAAGGAGCAGAGTTCTTTACTGACTTTGAGGCTCGGACAAAATATTATACTTGTACTTGTTGTCGCAGGCCCTGTCAAAGATTTTTTAGAATGAATATGTTTGACCAATTTAGTTAGATAAGATAGAATTTGACGAGGACTACAAAATGATATTTCTGATAAACTCTACTTGTCTATGAAAAAAGTTACAGACGAAATGGACAGAAAAAAAAGCAGGCCTACCCGAATCCTCCACTTTATGGCTCATAACTTTGTTCATAGACAAGATACAATTTCCAAAATAGTGCCATTTTGTAGCACTCGTTGCGTTCTATCATATCTGATTCAGTTGGTCCGTGAATATTGATTCTAAAAGAAACTATGGTAGGACCCGCGAAGGCCCGCCAGGGCGCCGTTTTCAATTTTGCAAAAAGTAGTAATTCACCTCACAAATTTTGCTGGTGAATTGAGAAAAACCGTTGCTTTCGGATGCCTCTGACCATATTCCACATGAAAATCGTCTCTGAATGAGAGCTCCTGACGAACGGAATAATCTGCATTATAAGATTTTCCTCGAGAATTACGAAAGTGATTAGATGGAATTCCCAAAGAAACTGTCAGTGATGATGCTGAAAATGTATTCTATTGTCCAGAATAAAACAATGAAAAACTTACGAGGATAGTCTTTGTGAACTGTAATTTTTACACTACTTACTAGAGATTCTTCCTCAAGTTCTAAAACCATTGACTGAGGAAATGAGTAGTTTCTGAAAAGAAGAACTTGATTTGAAAGTATGTGAATAACTAAAACTTCGCTGATATCCAGTTAATGTCAAATGTCTCGTGTTCTTCATCAGAATCGTTTCCCTCTAGAACATCTTCGGATGTTGTTGAAATTACAGAAAACGGGAGCGGCATTTTTCTAGGGGAAAATGGGGAAAAATAGATTTCTAGAAAACATAACAACACAAAAGAACTAAATAATTCAGAAGTCATTGCTATGGATACTAGCATAAGCGTTTTGGTTTTTTGATGAGCATCGAATTCTACACGAACAAGAGCTAAAGATGTCCGGATTCCGAGAAAGTTGTTTACTTCCAGATGTTCATCAAATATGTTAATCTGTAACAATTCTCCGAGAATTATTTAAAACTTTCGCTACTCACAATGCAAAAATAAAGCAACACATGTATTTCTTCAGAATTGTTCTGAGCACTGGAGATGTTTGAATAGCAGATTCCGAGAGAATGGTTTCATACCGGATTCCGTATTCCAGATTCCGTTTACTCAAAAAAAGTCATTCCGGAAATCTCTTTTCAAAAGTCTCACGCCGTGTTTTAAATTGTTTTAGTCGTGAACATATCAAAACCATGTCACTAGACAGCCAGCCGACACCACGTAGTTGCCTAGTCCCTCGATCCTAGCCCTCGCTCCACTAGGTACTATCGACTCTTCTTCTCCTGAAGAATCCGTAGAGATGAACGTCACCAGTGTTACCTCTGAAGACGGTGTTAAAGAATACGAAAAAATTGTCGTGGAACCGGAAGAAGTAGAATATGTTGAGGTGATTTTTATGCTAGCGATTCAAAAAACTACCATCTTATCCAGATCGCTACTGATGCTAAAGTAGTCGACTTGACACGTCATCGATTGAAGGAAATCGGAGACTACTCCTGGCTCACCCATGTTGAGCAGTTCTCTCTTCGTTGGAATTTGCTCAAGAAGATTGAGAATCTGGATTGTTTGACGACATTGACCCATCTCGAATTCTATGACAATCAAATTGAGAAAGTCGAGAATTTGGATGCTCTTGTCAACTTGGAAATTCTGGATTTGTCGTTCAATCGAATCTTGAAAATCGAGAATCTCGAGAAGCTGACAAAACTGAAGACGCTCTATTTTGTTCATAACAAGATCTCAAAAATCGAGGGATTGGAGACGTTGACGGAGTTGGAGTATCTCGAGTTGGGTGATAATCGAATCGCCAAAATTGAGAATTTGGAGAATAATCTGAAATTGGATCGACTTTTCCTTGGCGCCAACCAGATTAAAATCATTGAAAATGTGGATCATCTGAAGAATTTAACAGTGCTCAGTCTTCCAGCCAACGCGATTACTGTAGTTGATGTATATTACTGTAAACATTCTGATAGAGTGCCACCCAAATCCTCAACTTTGAGCCAAGATATCTCGATTCCTGTGAAAGATATCAAAAAGTGATCAACTGGTAAAATATTTATCATACAATCAAAAATATTTTATCAGTTGATCACTTTTTGATATCTTCTGCAGGGAATATGATATATAGGCTCGAAATTGGCAGTGTGGGTGGCACTCAATTGGGATACCTTATTTTTGTATTCCTTTTACTTGAATTCAGAATATTGCTGGTCTGACCAACTTGAAAGAAATCTATCTGGCTCAAAATGGAATCAAGTATGTCTGTGGAATCGACGAACATCTTCCACTAGAAATCCTTGACTTTAATCAAAATCGTCTGGAAAAAGTGGAGAATATTCATCAGTTGACCACTCTTACTGACTTCTGGGCCAGAGGAAATCAGGTTAGAAAAAATATATAGGTTGCAGTTTTCAATCGAATAAATATTTCTCCAGCTCTCCGATTGGAGCATTCTTGATGAACTCGTTCGACTTCCTCACCTCAATTGCGTCTATCTGGATAACAATCCGTTCTCCCAGGCGGATACTTATCGTGGAAAAGTTCTCCGCTTCCTTCCCCAAATTGATCGTCTGGATGGAACTCAATGTCGTGAGGTATACTTTCAATTTCAGATCAATTTTTTACAGTGAAGAATTTTTCCAGAAGTCTATGCTCCGCCCTCCGAAAACTGAGAAGCAAACCACTGATTTGGCTGATGTCGAATTCGAGAAATCCAGTGGTGGAGAACAAGAGCCAGTCGAATCAACTTGACCGACGCTTCAGCCGTATTCAACGAACAAATTTGATTCAAAATCTTTTTTTTCTCTCTTCCTGAAGAGGTGCTATAAATATTTTTTCTTTATTACTCAAGCAGGAACTAGAAATAAATAAGTGGGGGCGATTTGGAATCGGGATCGAAAAAAAAAACTAAAAGCGGAGTAATACTGGTATCAAATAATACGGGGTGGGGAGGGACTCAACCAAAGGTAGATTTCATCAACGAAAGCGGATATCAAAGTGGAATAAGCGAAACTAAGTCAGACTTGCAATGACATGAATATCAAGATTTTTACTGATAGAGTTGTTCGAGAGCCTTCTGAAGAACGTCGAAGAGGACGGATGGTTTCTGGAAGTCGTTATCCACAAGAGTCACAAGACGGAATGTGTCATGAATTGATTTGATAACTCCATATGACTTGGATTCTTTTGGATAGAAATCTCCCCTGGAATAAAAAAGAAGTTAGATTTAAAATGTATATTATCATGATACCATTGGGCCATCCACATTTGATAAGCTTCATCTCTCCAAGCACGGAACGAAAGTGGATCAACTACAGTTGGCTGAGCTATTTCTGATCCTGGGAAGACTCCCCATGTGACAGCAATTGGAGTGGTCTCTTCGCTGTTGGTCTTATCGAAAGAACTCTGAAAATTTGCATTGAATCGTGTGAATTCAGAATATAGCTTACATCCTTATCAATCGCGTGGTAGTTAACACGAACTGGATATTCTCTCTCAATGATATCAATCAACTTTTCTGAAAGTTCGGCAGTCATGAAGCACTCAAGATATGCTTTCTGATAGCAGTATCCTCCTGGTTTTCCCCATCCGACGAGTGGATCAGTAGATGGCGCTCCATTGACGGACGGTTGACTGTTCACAGTAAGAATTCCATTCTCGTTGCACCAAACAAGTTGTTCGCTGATCAATGATGTCTCTGGCTGAACTCCAGTTTCAGCCTCGGTCCATGGAAGAACAGTAACTTTCTTTCCGGAAACGTTTGGAGTTTGGGTGATGTAGTTGATGAAGACACGCTTGACGTCTTCGATACTTTCGATATTTTCCCCAAACATGGAGAGACGATCGTCACCGTTACGAAGGGTCTAAAGGATATTATGTAAAAGCTTATTTGTGTTCGTTAAACTTACTGTTAAGTTGGACAAGTAGTAGCTGCTCACGTCACCAAATGCTGGAGAAGAACTGTTTCCCCATCTTCCGTTCGGGAACTGATCCCAATCGCGAGTTCTGGTGATATAACTGCGAGGACGGAAGCTCCAGTAGATTGGGCGAACACTTTCAAGACATCTGATTGGATGTTGAGAACGATTTTTCCATGGGAACACACGATCTCCTTCGAGCTTCCACAATCCAAGAGCTTTTAGAATCTCACGAATGCTTCCCTCACGATTCATGGTATATAAATGAATCGATGGAGCTGATCCGTTATCGAGAAGACGTCTACACATTTCAATACATCGCTCAGTTCCATACTTTTGAACAGCGTCGTCATCATGCTTGATTGGCTCAAGATCTTCGAGAATGTGCTCAGGAATTTCCAGTTGGGAGAGTTTAGCGATACGCTTGATGGATTCGTATCCCATGATTGGCATGATTCCAGGAATGATTGGTTTGGTGATTCCGATTTCACGGCAATCAGCCACAAACTTCTCGAAAGTCTCTGGTTCGAAGAACAGTTGGGTGATCACAAAGTTAGCTCCGGCATCGCATTTAGCTTTCAAATACTGAAGATCAGCCTTGTACGAAGGGGCTTGTGGATGTCCGAGTGGGTATCCAGCGCAACCAATGGAGAAGTAGTCTCCGTATTCCTCACGAATCCAACGGATCATGTCGAGAGCACGGAATTGGTTAGTATCCTCGAGCTCAGTCTGAAACATGAAAATGAAAAATGAATTAGAAACGATGCCGCAACACACCCCTGGAGGTAGATCTCCTCTGAGAGCAAGAATGCTTCTGAGTCCCATCGCCTTGGCTTGTTCGAGATGCTTCAAAGTGTCAGCCTTGTTGTACTGGACACATGTCATATGCAACATGGTATCCACTCCACAGTAGTCGAGCATGGATGCAGCAATCGAGGAAGAGGATGTGACCTTATCAATATTGGCAGGGTCACTTCCCATATGCCAAGTCATGTCAACGAAGACAGATCCTCCTTCTGAAAGTCGCTCAACACGTTCGAGGAAGTTTGGAACACCATTCACGAAACGTGGTGGGAAGAATTCCAAGGAGAAGAATGGAGTCTTCTCCTCGATCAGACGTTCGATCCTTTCGTGAAGAAGCTCGTAATTTCTAAAAATCTGAGTTCAAAGGAGCAATATTTAAAAAAAAACTCACTTCAAAGACCAACTCTTACTAGTTTCAAAAACCGGCTTCTCAGTAACCACAGCATTCTCGTCGCCGCTATCGATACCACTGAAAAAAAGTACTTGAATTGTATTGATCGAAACGGTAAGACCTACTTTACGCGTAAAATAGCCATCTTTCACAAGAGTCTATGATGGACGAAGAATAAGACTAATGAAGAAGATGGTGGAGAAAAAACGGGATTATAAGGGGGAGTAGTGTACATCTCTTCCAGGATCATGTGACATGATATGAATCTCGGGAGAGAGAGAGAGAGAAGAGGGACATAACTAACAGTCATTGTACTTTGTCTTACTCTGATTTATTTTTTACTGATTTTTCATGTCTCAATTGGTACAAAACTTTCTTTTTTTTAACAGCTCGCAATAAATAAGATATTTTTGAATTTTTGAACACTTCCTAGCATCTTTTTGTTCTAAGCAACCCGTTATTATCAATGCTTCATCTCTGTTATGCGAAATCTTGATACGAATTTCTTGTCCGTTGTTTTTCGGAATCTTTCTCATCGTTTTCTTTTGTTCCGATTCCGCCAAAGATACCTATGGTTTTCCACACAAAACATGGAAAAAGCGATAAGAATCGAATGTGATAGATCAGTTTTCGATCTTCCTCCCTAGTGCAAAGGATACTGTGTCGCAATGAACTAATAGGGTTTTTTGTTGATAACGAATAGACATCTTTTGAACTATGACATGTTCGTCGGGGTTGATAAGATAAAAAGAGGTGAGAACCAAGAGTTTTAGGGGAATATCATAGATTGAAAAAAAGCTCAATTATTACTTCATCTTGATTTTTATTCTATTAACCTATTAAGCTCAACTTCGAAAAACTAGAGGTGTTCCAGTCATGATGCCGCGTTCAAAGTTGATTTCCAGTAGAAATTTCCTGGAAAAACGCTGTCCAAAGCTGTCATTGTTTTCCAGAGGCCTTCGCTTCAAAATCCGCCGTAAATCGACATGAATCAACAGAAAAAACACAGTCAAAACGAGTGCTACAGTAGTTTAGTGTTACTGGAAATCTGGAAAACAAAGACAGCTTTGGACAGGTTTTTTCCAGGAAATT